CCAGTATTGCGCTCACATGCTCCGGATAAACAAGACTTTATTTTAGTGCCGAAATATTCAATTTGTTTTTCTGCTGAGCTCAAGGTGAAATTAAACCGTGGAGCTGCATCATTTTATCTGCTTTTAGGGATTATATCTATGTTGCTTCCGTTGTTTTTGTTGCACCGGATTCACTTTAAAGGGCTTTTACTGCCCGGGGTTGATGTTCGGTTAAACTGATGACAGCGAATGAGGTCCACTTCCATAGCAAATCCAGGACAAGGTTAATGGGCCTCTGGTGTACAGTATCAGGACACAAACTGAAGTCAGCGGAGAGTTTGCATCGTTTTGGGGAAGTCAGGGTCGCTTGACTTATTTTGCACTCGCTCATGCAAGTCTGCGTCCTGTCAAACAGGAAGAGATGACTGACTTTTGGACCCTGAGAGGATGCGTGTCGTCATCGTTTCTACTCAACACTTCCACACCTATGGCTGCCCCGCTGCAGCATGAATGAGAAGCTTTCTGTCAACTTAGCCTCAGCCTGGTGCTTTGAAATATCTAACGCTGAAAGAGAGATGGCGTGCTGATAAAGACAATTGAGATTGGATCTGTTTTTCTCTTCAGGTGAACAGGCGGAAATCGGCTTAAGAGCTTAGCAGCAATTAGATGTGATCAGTGACAAATGTTGTGCGCTTACTGCAGCCTTATCAACTCTATCACATCGTTGCAGCAACTGTGCAGACTGGCAACCTTATGTCGTTGTTCTCTTTCTCTAAGAATTGAGGACTAAAGATGTGAAATGCACCTCATGCCTCTACGTATTTGGCAAGCGGTCTTTCAAAGCAGGTCACTGTTCGAGATGGAGAAACTGGCAAAGCGAGGTTACTGCACCTCAATGACTATCTAACCAGGCGGGTAAACGTCCACTATCTGGATGTCAGCTGCTGTAGTGTCGCTGTCTATCTTTGTAGTTAAAAGCTGCCCTGCCGATTCTTAACCACAAGGTCTAAATCATCTCCTAATAGTGATTGATTTGGGGAAATTTAAAGCCAGGCTCAGTCTCACTCTCATGTATTGATCCCACACAACCCTGTTACTTTTGGGATCGGGTTGCATCGCTGCTCTGCTGCCGATGTGTCACACTGAACTGACTGCAAAGCTTTTAGGAAAGTAAACATGTATTAATGTGGCTGGATCTGAGAATGAGTTCATTTTGAATGCACAGCGTTTGCTCTAGGCATCCTCAATGTACCCCAGCTAACCCCTCCCTCCACCACACTGCGGACAGTGAACTGGGCCAAGTCCAGAGGCTGCTAAGTGGATGGTACTGCAGCACTCTCTTTTTTCCTACAAGTTTGATCTCCTCTTATTTATTCAGCCAATTTACAAACGGCAGTCTAAACTATTGGTCCCCAAAGACACTTAGACTTAGCAACCTGTGCTCAACGGGCCAATTTAAACAAAAGAAGATAACTGTCAAGGTGGCATGAAAAAGAGCAGGTTTTCAAAAGGATTTATATTATTGTGAGCAATGTTTTGCAGACTGACACTCCAGCCAAGTATGACTCTAACCCACAATTTGATCCTGTCATTGATAATCATTCGTTTCCCCGCATGCGAGCACTTCTCCACACGTTGCCTTAAATTGGACACATGTATCATCACTTCTACTTTGAGTTCTGGGCCTCATGACGTTTTCACAACACTTCAAGGTGATACTGACAGATAGCAAAATAGAAAGTTACGTCATTTGAAGAAGTTGTGGTTATTTCCTTCACATATGCCAACTCAGGCATAACAACTTATATAAATATAAAGCGAACCATGTTTCTCTTCTCAGTTTAGCTACAGCATATTGAAGCTAATCGGATCTTTTAGGGTTAAGGTTTTCCCTTCAAATAGCTGTCCAAAAAAAGGGATACTTACTTTACTATTTCAAAGAAGTGGCATAATAAGCTCCTAAAAGTCTGGAGTAGAAAATATTTCAATGAATGGAAATGTGAAAGGATCAATCAGCGAAAAAGAGTCAGTAAAATGCTTGTCTTTGTGGGCATCAGTGCTGCTGTATAACACTGTTGTTATGGTTGTATTTGGAGGTCAAAGCTCCCTCTGGGCTCCACAGCAGGATAAAGCATCATCTCCTCACAATCAAATACCTTTTCAAGGAGAGCTGTCCTACTTTAAATGTGTCCTTCAAAAATTGAAAATAAAGTCTTCTGCCTTATGAATTATTAATGAGGCTGGGCGAAAGGGGCCGAGGGTTACTATGACGTTAATAATTCATTGGCTGGATGCTCCCTTGTCCACTCTCGGACCGTCTGGGATGCACACGCAGACGCACATAAAGACTTGTTATGACTTATATCCACGTCTGTGTCTGACTTCCTTGTGCACGTGTGCCTCACGTCTTACAGTAAACCGATATTGTTGAGGTCATGTACCGGCGCCTGGTCCAGTTTCAGTTCTTTTTTGGGGCTTTTTTTTGTCAAGATACAAGGTTTTTAATAATAAAACAGTTTGCTATAGTAGATGACTGGCACACTGTCACTGGGTGCCTGAGCAGCACATGTGAATGATTCACAAATCTGAGCATGTAGACACTATTTTGTATTATGTTTTACTCATGGGTCATGCATGATCAGTGACCCTACCCCTTTTGGTAAATACAAAGAGGAAGTATTCTCAGAAACGCTCCGTCAATAGTATTAATACCTTACTTCCTCTTGTAATAAATAGTACAACAGAAAACTGATGCACCTTCAAATGCAAATTTAAGCACCATTGTTTCGAACAAAACCTACGTGCTGTTTTGCAACCAAAAAAGAACCTAACTCTATTGTTTGACGGGCTATTTGCCATGACATCAACAGTGTGTGCTGGCGGAGCACTGCCACTTCCTGTGTGTCTGGAAATACACCTTGTGGCCGGCTATGTGTGTGACGGAGGGGCAGGCAGAGAGATTTGAGGCCTAAATAGGAGATATTTGAGTACATGTGTGTTTTTGTGTGCCTTTGCTGATTCTACAAAAGCCTTATAGATGAAGCACAAGGTCCACACAGTGACAGGAAGAGCAGCTGTCCCTCTTTGACCGTGCTGTGTGTGTGTGTGTGTGTGTGTGTGTGTGTGTGTGTGTGTGTGTGGTGTGTGTGTGTGTGTGTGTGTGTGTGTGTGTGTGTGTGTGTGTGTGTGTGTGTGTGTGTGTGTGTGTGTGTGTGTGTGAGACAGGGAAAGGAACTGACTCTCAGCTTCATGACTGCGTCTATTATGTTGAGACAGGGTTCACTGTAGCTCCTCCGTCATCAGTGCAACCAGCTCTGAGGCAAAGGATGGGAGATATTGCTTTAATAGCTGTTACCCTACCTCGTGTACTTTCAGAGGAAGAGCCGCTGACCTCCTCCGCTTCCTCACTGTCCCTATTGTCTGCCAAAATGTAGCTGAGTGACTATGAAATGGCCGCAACGCTCACACTACCCAAAGTAGCCCCCCATTCTCAGCTACAAACCTTTATTTATGGGAGAAAATCTGTAAAAGCCGTATTCAGTTACTCTAAATAAGTGCTTATAACTTGAGGGTGCTGTAGTGGGGAAAGGCCACTTCGAAATGGTTGCTATCATTTTGAGGAATGGACTTCTGTCTCTTATTGACAGAGCTCTGGCATCAGTAAAGCCTCCTCTCACATTTGACAGAGACATAAAGATCTTTCCATGGAAGAGTTGACTTCTAACAGGAGATGACTGTTACAATGATAGCCTGAGTGATAATCAATTGAATAAATGGATCGTCAACAAATGTAATATCCTGTTTTCCTCACCATAAAACAAACAAATAATCCAAGTATGCTATCTCACTCAAATGGAAGGCGTATCTGTCTGTCTTCCCTTCGATTTCCTCGAAAACTATTAATTGGATCGACTTCACACTTGGCGTGTGTGTTGCTGAGGACCCACTTCACACTTGGCGTGTGTGTTCCTGAGGACCCACGGCCCGAGTTTCAGCTTTTTTAGATTTAAGGAACTTATTGAACAGTGTGTTATGTGCTTAATGTTGAACAATCGTAAAGGGGTGTTCATTTATTATCTTGCTGATAAACTTCTGTTTGCCACACAGCTCATTCTCGTCAAGAAACAAATGACCAATTCCCATTGGCTTTTTTGTCAGGGAACCAGGGCAACGCAAACAAAATGTGTCATCCCTGCATCCTAATGGCATTCTGGATACAGCTTTTGTACCCTGATGACACATATACTCTAGCATTGCTAGGGGATGCAACTATTCCATGGCAGCTTTATTGCTCAGGGTTATGGAAGTTGTTTGTATGAGCGGTTGCAGGTAGTTAAGCAATACCGGAGGAAAGGCAATAGGCCTGTTCTGAAGAGGCATGTTTTTTAACTGTACTGCAGTAGTAATTATAAACAATCTCCACAAATAAGCCATTAAACATCTTGAATAAGCACTCTTGCAATAAAGTATAACAAGGACGTTAGAGAGTAGATGAACCGCAGAACTGTGGTCAAACTAGCACCACCAAAACCTGCATCTTTAGAGTAAAATATAAAAATATATATTCTGTATTCACTATAGATCTGCACATTGCAGATAAGCACTGTCTGCAGTTTCAGCCTTTCTTGCCTGGTGGCCTTGTGTCATGTTCACCAGCGGCTCTGCACCTTCTGACCTACATAAACACGGCTCATGCACCAATACGCCAGCTGTGGTGATGCAGAAACCGTCTGATTGACTGTGATGCTACATAGTCTATGACCATAAGAAGGAGCAGGTTGTGTATGAAAACACACGACACCGTGCGTCACCAGGAGACCGCGATGCATCGTGTGAATTACTATAGCGTGCTCTAATGCTTGCATGGAATGATTCACTAAGCCATTACAGAAAGAACCGGCTCAGAAGTTTATCGGTGTGCCTGGGGCCCATATATTTCTGTTTTTATTTATTGAAAGGTATGAAATTGACACATTAACAATGTGATTGCAAGGCACATATTTGTGTCATGTTAAATAGAAATGGCAGAGAATGTGAGAAGTGTGGCAGAACTCCAAGCAGACGTCAGCGAGGGGTTTCTGTTTGGTGCTGTAAGGTTAGACACTCTGAAAGCCTCTCTCCTCTCACTTCTTCATTATCGCCGCCTTTTAAATGTAAATGAAACAGTTGAGGTTGCAACTTCCTCCTCATAGTTGTGACAGAACAAAGAGGCCCCTCAGTCTTAAGTAAATACATTGATGGTCTCTAATATTTCCAGAATAGAATATGAGGGTATTTTTACACTTCTCTCCGGGATGTTTTCAGCCTTTTATTATCTGCCAAGTATGGCGATGAAGTGACATGGTGCGAGCATGAATGGTTGGTCCTGGTCTGCTTTCAGAGCCTCTGAATGCCCCTGAGTGCACTCCTCCTGTAATAGCAACGTGAACAATGAGAAAGAGCCACTGCACCACTTGATGGTTTAATGTATGTATGACATAACTGAGAGGGACATTGTGATTAAGAACAATAAGCTCCGATGTATTTCTGAAAGGGGGCATTTTATAACATGCAAACGCGGATTATGTTGAGAGATTTTGAGTATAAAAGCAGATGCTTACATAAATATGTGTCATGAAGGAAGCAGCTTCTGCATATTTTAGGACTATTACATCAGGGTTTTGTTGAAAATCACATTTTTTGTTCTCTTTTACTGGCTCAATTGAAAGTACAATGATTATCCAAACCATTACGACATCATTTATTTAAACAGGACCAATTCATCAACAATGAGAACGTTCTTTGTACTTGAAGGACCTCGTTTCCTTGTTCACACAGTCGATGGCTTTCAGAAAGGATATTAATGACTACTATTCCTTTGTGTCATTTTAAACATTTCACTGAATTGTCCAGGGACATTTTTAAAGTCTGCAAATGGACATTTTTCTAAAGAGACTAGAGACTTTGCTGCCACAGAGAATTAACTCCCACAATGATAACACTGAATATTTGTCATAATCTCAACAGAGCAGAGCTGAAAGAACTACTAGACAGAAATAAAACCGCAGCAAGCCTCGGACCAAACCAATGAGGCCTGAAACTTTAAGAGCAGTGGTCAACAGGGGCCAGGTGACAACAGAGAGCCCCAGCTGTGAGGATCCACCGGAGGCTTACACTGCCAACATCCTGCCATTTGATGAGGAGGAGGCCCCCCCTCGCTGAGCCCCCCCACAGGGAGCCCGCCGGGGTGTAGCCGTGCAAAATGGCTCCAAATGAGAGGAATGATAGGATGCTGACTCAGAGCAGAACAAAATCTGCCCGGTAACCTTGCAACGTGCAATCATAATGACTGAGTGCAAAGACAGAACAAAGTCACTTTGCTGGTTTCTATGCTGGGTTCAGACATGGATGTTCTGTAAGTTTCAAATGAACTTTTTTGTAATCTGTTTTTTTCTTGTATTATCAAGTAACGGCTATTGGCTGAAGCTGATGTTTTGTGGACATGGAGATTTACAAAAGCAGGACAAACAATGTGAGCTAAAGTTTAAATCCTTTTAGACAAAAAGCATCAGTGACTCAATCTTACCGCAGAACTGTGATGCCGCTAACACGCGGTTATCATCATTATTCAGTGCAAGCACATACCTGCATTTCAACGGCAAACGACAACAACATGGCTGTGTTCGGAAAGTCTTAAGTATCGCTCTATAATTTGCTTTTACAACAATAATGACTGTTTTTAATGGCAGGGGTTGCAGTTGACTGATGGAGCGTTTAAGATTATTTGAACGGCTCTGCTAGACAATAGGAACAGAATCTGAATCCACAATATGACACACACACACACATGTACCGTACACACACACAAGCTCAGTTGGCTCGTTTGGTGCAGGAAATAAAAGTAGGCCGATCGATTGAAGAGTCTCCTCTGACTCGGCTCCCCTCCTACTCAACCTGGAATAGCACCACAGAAGAAGCCTTTCAGAGGAAGAGCCGGCCCTCGGATGTAAGTTATTAATCTAAAATAGCAGAACTCTTGCGCATGTATGCTATTTTGGGTCATGGACATTTTCGTTTATATCTAAGGGCTTGGGCCAAAAAAAGTACGGGAGTCTTTTCTGTTGGGTTGTTTCACATTTTAAACTTGAGCTGTGTTAGCTCCAGTGCGACTGTTCCCTCAGTCAGGCAGAAACCACCGATCGTCAAGTGTCAAATAAAACTCAAAATGTGCTTATATTCTGAATTTCATTGTATCAAGCAGAAACGATAAGTGAGGTAAGAAAACGAGTTTCTATTCATTTATTTTGCTATGATAGTAAACTATATAAACTTGGGTTTTACACTGTTGGGTAAAACAAGAAATCTAAATATCAACTTGTGCTCTGCTAAATTATGATTTAATCAGCCAAACTATAAAAAAGTTAATTGAGAAAAACAGATTAATCAAAATGGCAAATTCTGAAATGAACTCATTATTTTCAGCCCTAATCCACACATCTATTATCTCTTATCATCACTGAAAAAAATATGTATTCCTTACTAATAACATAATGGCTGACACGTTACGGTCATACATGTTGGAGGTGATTCAATTATGGAAAATAACGAAAACGAACGGGCGCTAATTGCTAAACTACTTTACCAATTGAGCGCATTTCATTATGATTTGGGAAACACTTCTTTACGAGAGAGGGCAATTAATAAAGCAGTAGTGTTTGGCAAAAAATCAATCATTCCATTTTCATGGGGATAATTATGGACTAAAAGTGGCTTCAGTTATAGCAGTGTTACTGTAAAAGGCCTTACATGTTGAATCTGTGCCACTGCTTTGACAAATAACACTCTGGATTAAGGTATGGTTAGTATTTTATAGATAAAAGGTATACTGCTTGAGTAAGAATTCGACTATTCTGACACATACTGCCGAGTAAACGCAGCGCCGTGTTTGGCAGCAGAACAAAAGTCAGTGTTGGCTGATCAGCTGCATACTGTTAGCGCCGTGATGTCATGCATTCACCATAAAGAATAACTGCATGTACAGGAAAACCCATTCAAAGTTGACCCTGATGGAAAACATCACACCCTCCTGCCAGTCAGGAACACTCACACAATGCCTTCAGGTCACACTCACTTATCCCTCCTTCACGTCAGGTGGAACTGCATTTATTGTTAAAAATGCTAATGTCAACCACAGTGAATACCACATTGAATGAGGTAGCTATGCAGCTCAATGTAAATTAAATGGCCTGTCCTCTGAGTGCACTGGCTTATGTAAGCTGCTTGTCTCCACCCCCCCACCCCCCCCAGCTCTCCATCCCTGCCTTTCTTTCCCTTCAGCAGCCTTATCCATCCCCTGAAACCCAAATGTCTCGTAAACACACAGCCCCGTCCTAAATTGGAGAGTGCAGGGGGTAGAGAGGGGGCTGAGGAGGGGGAGGCCTGACTCACGCAGCCCTCATTTTTCTCTGCCACCTTGAAAACAACACCCCAATCCCTTGGTTGTGGTTCTCCATGCCATCATTGTTTGTGCACAGTAGACTCACAAAGCTCTCCATCAACACAAACTGGCCTTTTGTTGTCTTAGAAAATCAAAGATCTAGGAAAAATAAACCCTGTTCTTCTTTTTGTTACTGCATCTTCTTTCTCTCTTGTCTCCCCTTTCATTCTCTCAGTGTCCCTCCATCCATGCCTCCCCTCCCCACCTTCTCCCCCTCCTCCTCCCCTCCTCCTCCCCTCCACCTTGCCCTCATCTCTGAGTCCTGCAGCCGAAAAAAGCGCTCCATGGCGAGGCTTTCGCAGTGGCGTCTTGACAATGTCACAACTGCGTTTTCTGAGACAATCCCTGTCTCATCGGAGGGTGCACAACGGAGAGAGACAGGAGAAGATGATGTGGGGGGGGGGGGGGGGGTTAATGTCGGGAGAAGGAGGAGGAGAGGGGAGGGTGGAGGGGGGGGGGGGGGGGGGGGGGAAGGCCGGGGATGAAATGCGACAAAGGTTGTGAGCTGGATTCAAACCTACAACGTCGCGTGTAAATGCTATGTGAAGGGCTGGCTGAGTGAAAATGCATTTGTAAGCTGGCAGCGACACAATGCGTAGAGAGGCAGAGGAAGGACAAGCTGGACGGGGATATGATAAAGCCAAGCCATTATTTAATATCCTCTACACAGCTCTCACACATTGTCTCTGAGCATAAGAGCATGCCTGCACAGAGGTATGTGGCAAACACGGTGTGCGGATCCATCCATCTGATTTCATTATCATCAGGAAGAGGACACGGGCAGGCAGGAATGTGAATCCTCAGTAACCTCATTACAGAAAGAAAAAGGCTTACCTCCACATTTCAGCTCAGCTCGACCCTGCCTTGTTTCATCCTGTTCCTCTCTGCCGACTCCCTCCCCTTCTCTCCCCATGACAGCATTTTTCTGCTATCTATCTCCACGGTGAGGCTCTTTCTCCTCCTCCTGCTTCAGTTCCTCCCGTCTGCCGCTCTCTTCCTCTCTCCAAGCGTACAAATAAAACAGAACCGACACACAGACACACACACACTTCCCGATCTCTGTGTCTACCGGCTCTTCTATTCTGTTGTTGAAGTCAAGAGGCAGGTTGATTTGTGCCGTCCTCCTCCTCCCTCTTTCTCCCTCTCGCGCTGATTCTATTCCATTCACATCGCACTAAAGCCAACCCCCTCTTTCTCCTCTCTCTCTCTCTCTCACACATACACACACACACACAGGCTCTCTCTCCTCCCCCCCTCATCTCCTTGTCAGAGAGAGGTTGAGGCAGTGACGGACAGCAGCGGCCAACAGAGTAGAGCTCCCTGTGACTGCAAATTAAAAAATGTGCTGAATCAAGGACTCAGGATCCCCCTTAATAAACGTTGACACGCACACGCAGAAATGTGGAAGATTAGATGCTGATGCAACACTGTATCAAGATCCAACAATGTCAATTTCTCTGCCGAAACCGACACTTCTGCACGAGGGAGATAATAGCAGACTCGGGGGCATAGGTTAAAATGGCAGTGTGTGTGTGTGCGTGTGTGTGTGTGTGTGTGTGTGTGTGTGTGTGTGTGTGTGTGTGTGTGTGTGTGTGTGTGTGTGACAGTCTGTTTATTTGTAGAGACCTCTGTGTACTCCCCAAACGCAGCCAGTGTGGGTCGAGACCATAACAAACAATCAACCTGCTTTAGAACAATGAGAGCACAGCAGTGTAACAACACAGCTTGCCTTTTTGCTTCCCCCTCAGTCACTGCATCTTTAAAAAAACACATACCTGATCATTTGGGTAAAACCATTTCATGATTTTAAGGAGAGGAGATGAATCCCTGCAGCAGGGCCAAGTGTCCGGCACCATCCCCCTAATTACTGCATGGAGTCCCGTCCTGGACGTACCATATGGCTGTGTGTGTTACCAGGTCAGTGGCTCTGGTCTGTTGGGGGAGGAGGAGGAGAAGCCTGCGTTGCTGGTGGTGTGTGCCTTCAAGAGATAAGAGAAATAAAAACAGAGGCACGAGTTGATAACCAGTTTTCTTAAAAACAGGAATACCTCAGTGTATGTCCATCCGCGGTCACGAGGTGTTTCTGCAGATTGTAACTTCCTCCGGTATTCAGAGTTGTTCCAATCTGAAATACAAGACAATACAAATTATTATATTATATTAATAATTCAAACCAAACATTTCCATGTCATAACTCGTGGATTTTTCACAAACATGAACTAAAAGATTTAAATTAAATCTAAGTTTGAATTTGCTGGCACTGATTTGAATTCTGATGCCTTGAATACATTATTCACTTGATTTATTGGGATTAATTTTTGCTAGAGCACAACTTGTGATGCTCTGAGCCAGAGGTCATGTTGGACCTTTAGTGCTACAGTGACACCGTGTGGAGATAATCCATTAAGACTCTTTCCAGCTCAGCAGAGGAACACATTTATCTTTCTGAAGTTGTCTCATTACACATTTTATTGTATGTGCAAAGGCAGTCAATAGGGTCTCCTGAACCTAGAGCACGATAACAACCAAGACATATTCTCAAACCTTTGACAAACTGTTGAAAAACAAAATACATACTTTACTACATATCCTGATAAAAACTAAGAAAACCAGCAAATAATGACAATAAAAAGCTGAAAATGTTTGCCTGAAAAGTGACTCAAACAATCATATTTTCTTGAAATAAATGTGTTGATTTGATTGATTAATTTACTAATTCCTTCAGCTCTGATGTTTTAAAAATACAACCAGTAGGTCATGGACATATATAATGCTACAACACATGTACTAACCATATTACATGCATACTTAGCACCACCACCTCCATGTTTTCATTTATTTTAATATTTATAGATACATAGCAGTCCCCTATTAATATATCTCTATTTGATAAACATCTTTGTATTATACTGTATGTAGATTAGAGCATTACATATATATATGTTAGCCTCCTTACATCTCTTTAAGACATCTATTATCAGATGTACTTTTGTTTGACTTGCATTTAAAGTATTTTAAATTGTACCAATAATAGTTTAATTACTAATCGTTTTTTGTTAAATGTCCTTCATTGTGGTGCTTTGGCAACACATGTCACACGTTTTGCAGAAAAAACCTATTGAATTGAACAGAAATGAATGAAAGTAAAGTAAAAACACATGAAGCCACATATGAATATAATCTCAGAGGCCCAGATAACACACCACCTGGCTCCAGTCAGGAATCCGGAAGAGGAGAAGCTGCCCAGGTGAGTTATGTGCTGCTGTGATATTAGATTAGTGTGAAAGTCTCCTGCTGTGGCTCTGCAAGTGGAGAGGGAAAGGGTCTGATGGGATGGAGGGAAACTCAGCAGAGAGCAGAGATATAAATAGTTTCCTATGTGTTTTAAATGTTTTGTTTTATTTTCATATATGCACCAAAACACTAAGTCAAATTCCTCGTATGTGTTAACCTACCTTGTAATACACGCAGGGCCGCCCCTGCAGGGGGGTCTGGGGGATTCTCCCCCAGGAGATTTTTTGAAATACTAACATAAAATACACATTCTGGTACTCTCTTGAGAAGAAAAATACATAAATCTATTACTACACATTTAAAAAAATGAATGCCATTTTAGTTTGTTGTTACTTTGTTCTGAAAGCTGAACCTGCTGCTCCTCACAGAGAGAAGAGGGAAGAGGCTGTGTGAATTACTTTACATTGTGGATAAGGGTGGATAGCCCCCATTGTTCTGTGGGTCAAAATGAAAGACAGCCCACACACCTATCAATCATCAAACCGTGGGGTCTTATTTCATTACGTGTTGATTTCTATCAACACGTAATGTTGTATCGATGTATATAGAGATGTACTACAGCAAAAGTATTCTCCGTCGGGACTTCCTGCAACAACACCACGCCGCTATCGTGATTCTGATTGGCCAGAAGACATTATCAAAGATGTTTTATTGAGAAGACACTACGTGACAAAGGTTTTCAAAACCGTTTCTAGTCTTCGGTATTTCCAGACAAGTGGCTACTGAAATCAATCTCACTAACTGCTGTCTGTACAATTTACTCCGCGCCAGTTGGCGGACTTTATTTTGCTTACTTTAACATCATTTTTCATGGTGGGGCTAAGCAATTTCTTGGTATGGCTGTAGCCTACCCCAGCCATACCCTGGCGCCGCCACTGCTTGTACTTGAGTACTCAGATCTTGTACTTGAGTAAAAGTAGAAGTACTCAGATCTGGTACTTGAGTAAAAGTAGAAGTACTCAGATCTTGTACTTGTTAGCTAAAACTAATGATGAAAGAACTGAAAACACAGACTAAAGGTAATGTGTGTATATGTAGTGACGGTGGAGGAAGAGACTGCTAAGGAAAAACTCAATTTACAGTGAAATGAAAACATATAGAGTTTGAGTTTATCATGTGCAGGAAGATAAACAAAATGGTGAGGATAACATCGGTCCAGCTCAGGCATCAATGGTTCACTTTTTATTTGATGTTTTATTTGTTCAATGGTGGGCTAGAACTTTGAAATCATAAATCAATGAAAGAAATGTGTTTTGGTGCCAAACATAACAAAAAAGTCCATTCATATTCTGGGAGAATACAGTAATAGATGCAATAAATGCAGCAGGGTTAATAATCCAGAAACAAATGTATATATATAATAGGGAACAATTGAATGCACAGTTAAAGGTGGGGTAGGTAAGTTTGAGAAACCGACTCGAGATCGCTAAAATTTGAAAATACACAGCCGGAAAAAATCTGCCACTTCCTTACAGAGCCCCTCCTCCAACACACACGAACGCGCACATGACTAATGAGGGCACGAGATAAGTTTGTGCACAGATGGAAGGCTGACAGGCAGGTAGGCCATCCAGTTATTTTAGCCGGGCCGGCTAAAATGATTGGTCGTGCTTTTTACAGTACTACAGCTTCCACAGAGGACATTTTTTTATGGATTTTTTGTCAAAGCACTTAAGATATTCATTGCTATCGGGATGTTAAGAGCATTCCATGGAATATAACAAAAAGTGTATCTCGAGCCGGTTTCTCAAACTTACCTACCCCACCTTTAACACTAGAGTACTTAAATACCTCAACACTTTAACTTCAGAGAGGTTTTGAATGCAGGATGTTTACTGGGTTATTTTCACACTGTGGTATTCATGTTTTCTATAACTTTGTTGAGCTTGTTTTTAGCTCTATTTCTATCTCACTGAACAGAGTCCCTGGATGTGAACTGGTTCAGCTGATAAGGCTGGTTATAAAACAAAGAGGGAGGAGTTGCAGACAGGTGAAGGTGTTAAAGTCCAATTAAGAAGTCAGACTGCTAGACGCCATTTTACAGCTGGACGGAGCAGAAGGAGAACAACAGGGTGAGTGTTAACACCAGGATCTGCTTTAAACACATTCATTATTTACTCTGTTAGACTGATAACATAACTTCTTTGTTAGAAATCAGCGTCCTAGAGTCCAATGAGACTTCTGCAAACTCTTTTTATTTCCTGTTAGCTGATTCATCAGAGTTACATAACATGTGACAGCGCAGTCAAAATGGAGAGCGGCCTGTCTGAAGCATCTGAAGTCTGACCAACCAAGTTTATTACTATGCTGGTTTGGATTGAAAAAAGTGTGTTATTATAGTGTGTGTGTGTGTGTGTGTGTGTGTGTGTGTGTGTGTGTGTGTGTGGTGTGTGTGTGTGTGTGTGTGTGTGTGTGTGTGTGTGTGTGGTGTGTGTGTGTGTGTGTGTGTGTGTGTGTGTGTGTGTGTGTGTGTGTGTGTGTGTGTGTGTGTGTGTGTGTGTGGTGTGTGTGTGTGTGTGTGTGTGTGTGTGTGTGTGTGTGTGTGTGTGTGTGTGTGTGTGTGTAGTGTGTGTGTGTGTGTGTGTGTGTGTGTGTGTGTGTGTGTGTGTGTGTGTGTGTGTGTGTGTGTGTGTGTGTGTGTGTGTGTGTGTGTGTGTGTGTGGAAGATGAGTGATTTAAAAGATGAGGAAGAGGACACACCTTCAGTCTCCAGCGGTCTGTCTCTGAAGAGTGACTGGTCTAAAGAATGGTTTCCAGACTTCAGAAATGAACCTGGACCCTCAGACACAAAGTAAGAGTTTCTGCTGTAAACTAACCTGAAGAGGATTCAGCTTTCATAAAACCTAATATATTAAGGATATTTCAATATGCAATCATTGTATCTGTGGCATTACATGGTTTTAAATGGCACAAATATTGATAAATACTAACTAAAAACTAAATATATCGTCTAACATTATTCACTACTTGGGCATGTTTGTGTATTATTAAGATGTTTATTAATAATAGTGATAACCTGGTGAGCTGGTTGTGTTTAGCATTAGCAGATATAATAATAAATTATATTTATATAGTGCTTTTCTGGAATTCAAAGACGCTTTACTAGGGCTGTGCAATTAATCGTATTTTAATCGCAATTACGATTTTGGCCTGCCACAATTACGAAAACAACATAATCGAAAAAAACAATTATTTTGCTTTGCTAGGTTGTGACTGCACTGCAACATATTTGATCGAATTAATTTTGGTCTCATTTATTTGTATTTATCATATTTATATATGTTTAGTAGCTTGTGGAAGTGCGCTCCAAAATATTTGTTGATCTTGTTTATTGGTATTATTTATTATTTTGATATTATTTATTTAAATGTAAATATAAATGTATCATTTATTTCATTTATTTTTGTATTGGTTTTTCAGTTGAATTATACGTTCAGGGTAATCAACAGTTAAAAAGATACTGTTCAAATTATTATTTGTATTTGTTTTAAAGTTCAATAAATGGATGTTTTTTTAAAGTCAATGAATAATCGTATTTAATAATCGTGATATCAATTATTGACCCAAATAATCGTGATTATGATTTTTGCCATAATTGCACAGCCCTAGCTTTACAGTATGAGGGAGGGTAGACAAACAAGGACAGGCAAAACAAAAGAATATATATATATAACAGAGTTTTGTGAGATTACATGTAGAGTCAATGCAAAACCCCAGATCTGTGTCTGGCAACACACAGGAAGTGAAGATGTGAAATTCATGTCACCTGCGTATTCGTGCAGCGTGAAACATTTCATCTTGAGTGTAAAGTGACGCTCTGCCCATTGGTGAGAGTCAGCTCCACTAATGTAAAGTGCTATAAAGGATGTGTTCATCTCCACAGAGCGAAGAGGAGGAGTCCTGCCAGTCAGACCAGAACTGTACGAGGTAAGAGGCCGAATTCATGCAGCGCTTTATTCCTCTTCCTGGTTCATTTGTTTTTGTTTAGGTATACTGTTGTAGAGCATAGACATTAAGCTGTTTTATAAAACATTTAAACTCTGTTTTTTAATTAGATTCTCAGCGCATTTTCCTGATTCTCTCATGTTTCCTTCTCTTTCAGCAGATAGTGGTCTGCAGGAGGTTTTAGATGAACATAGGCTCAGTCTGAAGAGGAGATGTGAACGTGTGACTGAAGGAACTGATGAAAGTGAAACCCTCCTGAACAGCATCTTCACTGAGCTCTACATCACACAAGGCCAGAGTGAAGAGGTTAATACCCAACATGAGGTGAGGCAGCTGGAGACAGCTTCCAAAAAGAAGACCCTCCATGACACTCCAATCAAGTGCCAGGACATCTTTAAAGCCTTAACTGACCAACAGGCTCACATCAGAGCGGTCCTGACCAACGGAGTCGCTGGAGTTGGAAAAACCTTCTCAGTGCAGAAGTTCACTCTGGACTGGGCCGAGGGTTTGGAAAACCAAGATGTCAGTCTGGTGATCCCGCTCTCCTTCAGGGAGCTGAACCTGATCAAAGGTGAGCAGTACAGTCTTCTCAGGCTGCTCCATGTTTTCCATCCAACCTTACAGAAGGTCACAGCAGAGCAGCTGGCTGTCTGTAACGTGCTGCTCATCTTTGACGGCCTGGATGAAAGCAGACTTTCTCTGGACTTCAGAAACAATGAGGTTGTGTCTGATGTCTCTCAGCAGTCCTCAGTCGACGTGCTGCTGACAAACCTCATCAGGGGGAAGCTGCTTCCCTCGGCTCTCGTCTGGATAACTTCCAGACCTGCAGCGGCCAATCAGATCCCTCCTGAGTGTGTGGACAGGGTGACAGAAGTACGAGGCTTCACTGACGCCCAGAAGGAGGAGTACTTCAGGAAGAGATCGAGTGATGAAGACCTGTCCAGCAGAATCATCTCTCACATCAAGAGCTCCAGGAGCCTCCACATCATGTGCATGATCCCAGTCTTCTGCTGGATCACTGCTGAAGTTCTGGACCACATGTTGACTACAGACCAGAGAGGAGAGCTGCCCAAGACCCTCACTGACATGTACTCACACTTCCTGCTGGTCCAGACCAAGAAGAAGAAGCAGAAGTATGAAGAGGGACATGAGACGAGTCCACAGCAGCTGACGGAGGCTGACAGGGAGCTTCTTCTGAAGCTGGGGAGGCTGGCGTTTGAACATCTGGAGAAAGGACACATCATGTTCTACCAAGAAGACCTGGAGCGCTGTGGTCTTGGTGTCACCGAGGCCTTGGTGCACTCAGGAGTTTGTACAGAGATCTTCAAAAGAGAGAGAGTGATCTTCCAGAAAACAGTCTACTGCTTTGTTCATCTGAGCATTCAGGAGTTTCTGGCTGCAGCCTACATGTTCCACTGTTACACCAACAGGAACACAAAGGTACTGAAGGACTTCCTGAAGAGTGACTATAAACGCAGCAGTGATCAGGATTACTCATCCCTGGATGTCTTCCTGAAGAGAGCCATGGAGAAATCCCTCAGAAGTAAAAATGGCCACCTGGACCTGTTTGTCCGCTTTCTCCACGGCCTCTCTCTGGAGTCCAACCGGAGACTCTTAGGAGGCCAGCTGAGTTACAAAGACAACCAGCCAGAAATCATCCAGAGAGCCATCAGCAACCTGACGGAGATGAACAGTGAGGATATCTCTCCTGACAGGATGATCAACATCTTCCACTGTCTGACAGAGATGAAGGACCACTCAGTACATCAGGAGATCACAGAGTTCCTGAAGTCAGAGAACAGATCAAAGAGACTCTCTGTGATCCACTGCTCTGCTCTGGCCTACATGCTGCAGATGTCAGAGGAGGTTCTGGATGAGTTGAACCTGAGTCAGTACAACACATCAGATGAGGGACAACGGAGACTGCTTCCAGCTGTGAGGAACTCCAGGAAGGCCAAGTAAGTCCAGATGTGATTAACTTTATAAACTAATGTGGATCAGAAGTTTAATTATTCAAATGAACACGATAACATTTCTGCTGTTTAAATACTGAGAGCAAAATAAACCAACACTGTTCTTCTATTTATTTATAATAATAGTTAAATTGAAGCGTTCCTCTCTTCATATTGAGTGATGGAGGCGACATGTCAAACACATGAAGGACTTTAGAGGTTTCTCAGCATGTGATCACACCACACAGCAGGACTTACAGTTATCAGAGAAAGCACTTATTACTTTCTAGTAGTTTCTTTATCATTAAACACACGTCTTTATCACAATGTGTTAAGAGTTTAAAATAAGATCTATATAATGTCCCACCAATAACAGAGTTATGTATTAATGCTGATATACTGGGAACATCTGATGGTATTCAGATGAAAATATTGAAACTTTATTGGTTTGTTAATTGTGTTTGTTTCTACAATAAATGTTCAGATGCTCAGAGAAGCCAAAACATCCTCCATTCATCATTCACATCCACATTGAAATATGTGCATCTCTAATATTGTGATTTAATTAATTTAATTTCTGTTTCTTTGGTAACAGTCAGTGACAGCAGGAGCACAGACATGTGATCAGATCACACTGACAACACATTCAACTCTTATTATTATATATCATATTAAATGGACTAACAGCAAATATCAATCAGAACATATGTCAAATATTTTTTCTTCAAATGCTTGAGGTTAATATAATGTTTCCTCTTTTTAACACATGTTGTAATTTATATGTTATTATAGACTGACTGGCTGTATACTCTCAGAGACTGAATGTGAAGTCGTGGCCTCAGCTCTGAAGTCTGACCCCTCCAATCTGAGAGATCTGGACCTGAGTGAGAACCCTCTGCAGGATTCAGAAGTGAAGCTGCTGAGTTCTGGACTAAAGAGTCCAAACTGCAGACTGGAAGCTCTCACGTCAGTTCACTGACTGCAGTTCATATAAATCTATTTGTGTTTATGATTTACTGAATTTCCCTGAGAACAAATAGAATATTATTGTTATTTTGTCCACTGTTGCTAATGACTGAATATTGATCAGAATAACAAAGAGAAGGTGAATGTGTGAGGGAGAGTGTTTGAGCTTCCACAGACTCACTCTGTGCTCCATGAGTCAGTGGAGATGCTGTCAGTACTGATGAGCTGTGAGGGAGATGAAGGAGTTGTTAAACATCTGATCAAAGTTCCAGATTATCAATGGATTGTTTCTACATCATCTCTGACATTAAAACCCTGTTTAACTCTGATCAGATTATTAAACCTGGAGTTATTGCAAACAGGAACATTGTTTTCTAAAGTTACATCATGTTTTCTTTATTCAGACTGTGGGACTGCAGTTTGTCAGAGATCAGCTGTTCTGCTCTGGCCTCAGCTCTGAAGTCCAACATCCATCTGAGAAAGCTGAACCTGGGTTTCAACGATCTGCAGGATTCAGGAGTGGAGCTGCTGAGAGATCTTCTGGAGAGTCCAGACTGCAGACTGGAGACCCTCAGGTCAGTAAGGGGTCTCTGCTGGTTCAGCAGTATTGTATTAAACACAGGGAGGTGTTTCTCTCACTGGGGAATCACAACAGATCAGTGATGTTACCCACTGACTGCAGGCTCTCTCATTCTTCCATCAACTATAGAAGGCCAGCTGGAAATGCAAAGCCACACTTTAGTAATCAACTCTCTAACAGACATATGGGGTTTTACAGAAGAGTGGGAAAGGTAGTCTGTTTTTTATTTGAATGTTTTTTATGTGATGTTTTTTAGTTTGTAGACTAATGACTGGCATATCATCACATCTGTATGTCATCATGCTACCATGAGCAGCTGGTTAGCTTGACTTAGCAAACAGATGGGGGAAAACAGCTGGCCTGGCTTGGTCTGTTTTTTGTTCTTTATCCTTTAAAGGTAGGGTAGGTAATTTTGGAGAAACCAGCTCGAGTGCGCTAGAATTTGAAAATACACAGCCGGAAAAAATCTGCCACTTCCTTACAGAGCCCCTCCTCCAACACACACGAACGCACACATGACCAATGAGGGCACGAGATTAGTTTGTGCACAGATGGAAGGCTGACAGGCAGGTAGGCCATCCAGTTATTTTAGCCGGGCCGGCTAAAATGATTGGTCGTGCTTTTTACAGTACTACGGCTTCCACAGATGACATTTTTTTAATGGATTTTTTGTCAAAGCACTTGATGTTAAGAACATTCCATGGAATATAACAAAAAGTGTATCTCGAGCCGGTTAATCAAACTTACCTACCCCACCTTTAATTTTCACACAATTGTTCATTTGAGCAATGCAGACTTTTAAAAATATGAAAATTAGAATCACAAGAGAAACAGACAAGCTAACTCTCCAAAATATGTCTTTCTATCCATTATGAATAATCACGCAAACATAACATCTAGTAAAATGATGTTCTCCTCCAATGCATGGGTCTATCCCCAGAGAAGGACTTCTAGCAGCTCTGCAGTCACAGAGCAGAATAAGGGAAACCATGCCTCCCACATAGCCTACCACAGTGTGCCTATGGGATGTGATTGCGTATTGAAGTTATTCGCCTTTGGTTATGGACCAATCTTGGTGCTCCACCCCTTTTTACCAATTGTACCTGACCTACCAAAAAGGCAACCTTAAGAGCTGAGATGAGATATAACAGACTAACTCTGTGCTCCATGAGTCAGTGGAGATGCTGTCAGTACTGATGAGCTGTGAGGGAGATGAAGGAGCTGTTAAACATCTGATCAAAGTTAAAGTTCCAGATTATCAATGGATTTTTTCTACATCATCGCTGACATAGAGTGGTGCAGGGATGACGTATTTACCCGGAAGTAAGCTGCTGGTTCCCTCGACAAAAAAGCTATGGGATTTCTCCATTGGATTTTGGAAAATAGCTCGAAATAAGGTCTGTGGAAAACGAACCTGTTTGATAAATGCACGTTTTGTTCAGCCGGATAATCTCCACATGTCTACCCTACTTTTATAATGTTCGAATCATAAATGTAATGGCCAGAAGCAAAATGCTAACGTTATGCTATAAAGGAACTACAGCCGAGTACAGCAGCACGACTTCAACGTCACGCCAACTTAAGATCCATATTCAAACATACAGATTCTAAATGGTACAAGTTGAAGCATTTGTTTGAACAGTTTGCAGGAGGCAGGTACTTGCTTTCAAGCAGAACAGGGCAAACAAACTTAGCATGAGTGTTTACGTGTTCAGCGTAATGACGTACAACGTCCTCCACAACTTCTGTAGTCCTATTCAGCCACATGTTAACAACCATCGTTTTTCAGACAAGTCAACTCTTCAGAAATCACCAGTGGGGTCACTGCTGATGGGTTTAAAGTCGCAGAACAAATCGTGATCCATCTCTTAAATTTGTATCAAACACAGACCTTATTTCCAGCTATTTTCCAAAATCCTATGGAGAAATCCCATTGGCTCTGAGACGAGGGAACAGGAAGTGGTGAAATGCTGACTCACTTCCGGGTTTTAGGACTCGTCCCTGCAACACTCTATTAACTAGGGATGGGAATTTGAAAGCAAATTTATATTCGAATATTCGACCCCCAAAAAAACAGTTAACCGAATATTCGAAATGTACATATCCTATAATATATATATTTTTAATAATAAATGCATTTCGTTTGTTGTGTAGGACTCTCCGTTAGAGCGTAACATTCAGGGGTTAAGTTGGTGTTTGATATGTGGGGGGGGGGCTCTCTGTGGAGGTGCGAGGGTATATATTAAATTATTAATATATAAAAAAAAAAAAAGGTTTACAAATATCCAACCTTCAAATTACTATTTTAAATCAACATTGCTCTGCACACTTGCTAAAGATCATTTGTGTGGAAATCTCAGTTCATTTGTAGGGCTGCACGAGTATAGCCAGAAGTATGTGAGTAAATCTCACTGCAAACTATTTCATCATCACCAGATTCAGTGATCATAACTCAGCTTTATGCACACACACACATTTAGCATGGCTTAGGAAACGGGCTCCGTGTTACAGGACGGGTCGGGGGGGTTTGGCACACACACACACACACACACACACACACACACACACACACACACACACACACACACGCACACACACACTGATCGCAGCAGAGACACGTTCCTAAGCCGAAAAACTATATCTGGTCACAGAGATCTGCTATTTTAAATTAAAGTCAACACATATCGACCTTAAATATAGTCTATATTAGAACGAGAAAAGTTTTAACATATATATATATATTTTTTTGTAAACATATGACAAATGTGCGAGGGTGATGACGTCAGAGCATCGTCCTCTGTGCTGAGCCCTGGTAACGTTACACGTGTTTTTTTGTTGTTGATATTTTTCTTAAGATATTTTAAATGGCACGGTCGTAAACATTTAGTTAATCCATTTGATAATATGAAATCAACTTAGGCACCCCTCCCATAAAAACAATAATAATTACAATACAAATATTCATAACTCATATTCCAATACCTGAATCATTTTGAATATTCGATGAATCATTCCCATCCCTAATTCAAACCCTGTTTAACTCTGATCAGATTATTAAACCTGGAGTTATTTCTAACAGGAACATTGTTTTCTAAAGTTACATCATGTTTTCTTTATTCAGACTGAGTTTCTGCAGGTTGTCAGAGATCAGCTGTTCTGCGCTGATCTCAGCTCTGAAGTCCAACTTCCATCTGAGATATCTGGACCTGGGTCACAACGCTCTTCAGGATTCAGGAGTGGAGCTGCTGAGAGATCTTCTGGAGAGTCCAGACTGCAGACTGGAGACCCTCAGGTCAGTAAGGGGTCTCTGCTGGTTCAGTAGTATTGTATTCATTTTAATTCAAAAATTAAAAATGTTATAGATACCATTGCTCCAACTAAGGTAAAGGAAGTGATTAGCAAGAAAATATCTCCATGGAGAAAGGCCATGACCGTGAGAACAGAAAAAAGAGAGTGTCGAAAAGCTGAACGTAGATGGCGAAAAACAAATCTCCAGGTTCACTTTGAAATCTATGAAGAGAGACTTGGCCTTTATAATTTGGAATTGAAAAACGCACGACAGTCTTTCTTCTCTGACATCATTACCAAAAACAAAAACAACGCACGTGCCTTGTTTGCTACCGTCGACAGACTAACTAACCCCCCAGTGTCAGTAGCCTCTGAATTTCTATCCACCAGGGCGTGCAATGATTTTGCCTCCTTCTTCACTGACAAAATTCAGAAAATTAGACAAGCAGTCAGTGCCTCTACATCAGGTACAGCAAATGTTTTGTCCCTATGTCCACCTAATATCAATTCAAACACCATGACACAATTCCATCAGATTAATGGTAAAAACTTAGAGGACATTATTCAACTTCTGAAATCCTCCTCCTGCTGCCTTGATATTATTCCAACAGGATTTTTCAAAGATGTTTTTCCTTGCATGGCCTCAGATCTACTTCATATAGTAAACACATCTCTTCACTCAGGTATTTTTCCAGAGGCCCTGAAAACTGCAGTCATTAAACCGCTCTTAAAAAAGAATAATCTAGATGCCTCAGTAATGAACAATTACAGGCCAATATCAAACCTGCCATTTCTAGGTAAAATCATTGAAAAAGTAGTATTTCAACAGTTGAGTAACTTCTTGCATTTAAATAACTCTTTGGATGTGTTCCAGTCAGGATTTCGTCCAAACCACAGCACTGAGACTGCTCTTGTAAAGGTCTTCAATGACATCCACTTAAACACAGACAGTGGCAGAACTTCAGTGTTAGTATTATTAGATCTCAGTGCTGCATTTGACACTGTTGACCACAACATATTACTAGACCGACTAGAAAACTGGGTGGGACTTTCGGCAACAGTTCTAAATTGGTTTGAGTCCTACTTAAAGGACAGAAAAAACTTTATTTCTATAGGTAAATACACATCTGAGTTGACAAATATGACATGTGGGGTACCTCAAGGCTCCATCTTGGGGCCTCTTCTCTTTAACATCTACATGCTACCACTGGCTCAGATAATGAAAAACAACAAAATAAGTTACCATAGCTATGCGGATGACACACAAATTTACGTAACAATTTCACCAGGAGATTATGCTCCAATTCAAACACTGAGTAAGTGCATTGAACAAATCAATGACTGGATGTGTCAGAACTTTCTCCAATTAAACAAAGATAAAACTGAGGTAATGGTTTTTGGAGCCAAGGCAGAACGTATAAAAGTTAGCGCTGAGCTTCAGTCTGCAATGTTCAAAACAACAGATAAAGCCAGAAATCTAGGTGTAGTCATGGACTCTGACCTGAGTTTCAACAGTCACATTAAAACAGTTACTAAATCAGCCTACTATCACCTAAAGAACATATCTAGGATTAAAGGACTAATGTCACAGCAGGATTTGGAAAAACTTGTCCATGCTTTTATCTTCAGTAGACTCGACTACTGCAATGGTGTCTTTACAGGCCTCACTAAAAAATCTATTAGAAAGCTGCAGCTAATTCAGAACGCCGCTGCTCGAGTCCTCACTAACACTAAGAAAGTGGATCACATCACTCCTGTTCTGAAGTCTTTACACTGGCTTCCTGTGTGTCAAAGAATAGATTTCAAAATATTGTTGCTGGTTTATAAAGCTTTGAATGGTTTAGGCCCAAAATACATGTCTGACCTACTGCTAAATTATGAACCATCCAGAACCCTCAGGTCTTCAGGGACTGGTCAGCTTTCTGTCCCCAGAGTCAGAACTAAACATGGTAAAGCAGCATTCAGTTATTATGCTCCAAATATCTGGAACAAACTCCCAGAAACCTGCAGGTCCGCTGCAACTCTTACTACTTTAAAATCCAGGCTGAAGACTTTTCTTTTTGCCGCTGCTTTTAATTGAACTATTCACATCTTAAACTGCACTGTAACTTTTAACTTTTATCCATGTATTTTTTCTTTTAATCTTTATTTTATTATCTTTCCTTTTTAATGACTGATTTTAAATGCCATTTTTAAAATGTCTTCCATTTTTGTAAAGCACTTTGAATTACCTTGTGTTGAAAGGTGCTATATAAATAAACTTGCCTTGCCTTGCCTTAAACACAGGGAGGTGTTTCTCTCACTGGGGCATCCCAACAGATCAGTGATGTTACCCACTGACTGCAGGCTCTCTCATTCTTCCATCAACTATAGAAGGCCAGCTGAACATGCAAAGCCACACTTTAGAAATCAACTCTCTAACAGACATATGGGGTTTTACAGAAGAGTGGGAAAGGTAGTCTGTTTTTATTTTAATGTTTTTTATGTGATGTTTTTTAGTTTGTAGACTAATGGCTGGTATACTGTATCATCACATCTGTATGTCATCATGCTACCATGAGCAGCTGGTTAGCTTGACTTAGCAAACCGATGGGGGAAAACAGCTGTTTTTTTTCTGTTTTTTGTTCTTTACCCTTTAATTTTCACACAATTGTTAATTTGAGCAATGCAGACTTTTAAAAATATGAAAATTAGAATCAGAAGAGAAACAGACAAGCTAACTCTCCTCCAAAATATGTCTTTCTATCCATTATGAATAATCACGCAAACATAACATCTAGTAAAATGATGTTCTCCTCCAATGCATGGGTCTATCCCCCGAGAAGGACTTCTAGGAGCTCTACAGTCACAGAGCAGAATAAGGGAAACCATGCCTCCCACATAGCCTACCACAGTTTGCCTATGGGATGTGATTGCGTATTGAAGTTATTCGCCTTTGGTTATGGACCAATCTTGGTGCCTCACCCATTTTTTGCCAATTGTACCTGACCTACCAAAAAGGCAACCTTAAGAGCTAAGATGAGATATAACAGACTCACTCTGTGCTCCATGAGTCAGTGGAGATGCTGTCAGTACTGATGAGCTGTGAGGGAGATGAAGGAGCTGTTAAACATCTGATCAAAGTTAAAGTTCCAGATTATCAATGGATTGTTTCTCGTCATCTCTGACATTAACTAGGGATGGGAATTTGAAAGCAAATGTATGTTCGAATATTCGACCCCCAAAAAAACGGTTAACCGAATATTCGAAATTTACATATCCTATAATATATATATATTTTTTAAATGTTAAAGAAAAATATATATTTTTAATAATAAATACATTTTTGTTTGTTGTGTAGGACTCTCCGTTAGAGTGTAACGTTCAGGGGTTAAGTTGGTGTTTTATATGTGGGGGGGCTCTCTGTGGAGGTGCGAGGGTATATATTAAATTATTAATATATTAAAAAAAAAAGGTTTACAAATATCCAACCTTCAAATTACTATTTTAAATCAATATTGCTCTGCACACTTGCTTAAGATCATTTGTGTGGAAATCTCAGTTCATTTGTAAACTATTTAATCATCACCAGATTCAGTGATCATAACTCAGCTTTATGCATTGCACTCGCATACTTTTAGCAAGGTTTAAGAAACAGGCTCCGTGTAGGACGGGTCGGGTGGTCTCACACACACACACGAGCAATTTGGGGTGAAGTGTCTTCAGGGACACAACGACATGCTGACTGCAGTGGGGCTCGAACTTGCTATCCTCTGATTCGAAGATCAGCGCACTAACTCCCTGCGCCACACGCCTCCCTGAGAGACCCGTTCACTAAGCCAAAAAACTATATCCGGTTACAGAGATCTGCTATTTTAAATTAAAGTCAACACATATCGACCTTAAATATAGTTTATATTAAGAACGAGAAAAGTTTTAACATATATATAGTTTTTTGTAAACATATGACAAATGTGCGAGGGTGATGACGTCAGAGCATCGTCCTCTGGGCTGAGCCCTGGTAACGTTATGCGTGTTATTTTCTTTTCTTAATTAAGATATTTAAAATGGCACGGTTGTATGCATTTAATTAATCCATTTGATAATAAGTAATCAACTTAGGCACCCCTCCCATATTCTTTTTTAAGTACAATACAAATATTCATAACTCATATTCCAATACCTGAATCATTTTGAATATTCGATTCATCATTCCCATCCCTAATTCAAACCCTGTTTAACTCTGATCAGATTATTAAACCTGGAGTTATTTCTAACAGGAACATTGTTTTCTAAAGTTACATCATGTTTTCTTTATTCAGACTGAGGGGCTGCAGGTTGTCAGAGATCAGCTGTTCTGCTCTGGCCTCAGCTCTGAAGTCCAACATCCATCTGAGAGAGCTGGACCTGAGTACGAACGCTCTGAAGGATTCAGGAGTGGAGCTGCTGAGAGATCTTCTGGAGAGTCCAGACTGCAGACTGGAGACCCTCAGGTCAGTAAGGGGTCTCTGCTGGTTCAGCAGTATTGTATTAAACACAGGGAGGTGATTCTCTCACTGGGGAATCCCAACAGATCAGTGATGTTACCCACTGACTGCAGGCTATTTCATTCTTCCATCAACTATAGAAGGCCAGCTGAACATGCAAAGCCACACTTTAGTAATCAACTCTAACAGCAAGGCCGTAAAATCACATGCGACCCCAAACACATCCTGTTTAGAGTTTGAGTTGCGGCAGAAGGTATAGATTACCAAACTGTAAATTGAACAGGTATAAGTTTTCCTTTATTCCACTGTCAATCAAGCTGCTGAACAGTCAGAAACAATTGTGATGATGCGGTGTTAGGAGTTGTTGGGAGGTGCAATGTTTACAGTGTAGTTTGTGCAATCGAGAAGGTTAAATAGGGAAAGTGCAATATGTGTAAATAGGTATGAATACAATAGGGATATGTGCAATTTGACGGACACTATGCATAGGTGCAATAGGGAAAGTGCAATATTTGATTTGTGTAATACAATAGGGAAAAGTGCAATATTTGATTATGTATGAATGCAATAGGGAAAGTGCAATATTTGATTGATGTATCTGCAATAGGGAAAGTTCTGTACCTGTATGTTGCTTGTTTGTTTCTTTGCCATGTGATATGTGATCTCTGTTCTGTATCTATGACTGATTGTCCTAAATGTTTTATGTTTATTATCTCGATGCCCAAGACAAATTTCTCCTAAAGGAGACAATAAAGCTCTATCTAATCTAATCTAAAACAGACATATGGGATTTTACAGAAGAGTGGGAAAGGTAGTCTGTTTTTTATTTTAATGTTTTTTATGTGATGTTTTTTAGTTTGTAGACTAATGGCTGGTATATCATCACATCTGTATGTCATCATGCTACCATGAGCAGCTGCTTAGCTTGACTTAGCAAACAGATGGGGGAAAACAGCTGGCCTGGCTTGGTCTGGTTTTTGTTCTTTATCCTTTCATTTTCACACAATTGTTAATTTGAGCAATGCAACATTTAAAAAAATATGAAAATTAGAATCACAAGAGAAACAGACAAGCTAACTCTCCTCCAAAATATGGCTTTCTATCCATTATGAATAATCACGCAAACATAACATCTAGTAAAATGAAGTTCTCCTCCAATGCATGGGTCTATCCCCCAGAGAAGGACTTCTAGCAGCTCTGCAGTCACAGAGCAGAATAAGGGAAACCATGCCTCCCACGTAGCCTACCACAGTCTGCCTATGGGATGTGATTGCGTATTGAAGTGATTCGCCTTTGGTTATGGACCAATCTTGGTGCTCCACCCCTTTTTGGCCAAATGTACCTGACCTACCAAAAAGGCAACCTTAAGAGCTGAGATGAGATATAACAGACTCACTCTGTGCTCCATGAGTCAGTGGAGATGCTGTCAGTACTGATGAGCTGTGAGGGAGATGAAGGAGCTGTTAAACATCTGATCAAAGTTAAAGTTCCAGATTATCAATGGATTGTTTCTCGTCATCTCTGACATTAACTAGGGATGGGAATTTGAAAGCAAATGTATATTCGAATATTCGACCCCCAAAAAAACGGTTAACTGAATATTCGAAATGTACAAATCCTATAATATATATATATATATTTTAAATGTTAAAAAAATATATTTTTTTAATAATAAATACATTTTCGTTTGTTGTGTAGGACTCTCCGTTAGAGTGTAACGTTCAGGGGTTGAGTTGGGGTTTGATGTGTGGGGGGGGGGGGGGCTCTCTGTGGAGGTGCGAGGGTATATATTAAATTATTAATATATAAACAAAAAAAGGTTTACAAATATCCAACCTTCAAATTACTATTTTAAATCAACATTGCTCTGCACACTTGCTAAAGATCCTTTGTGTGGAAATCTCAGTTCATTTGTAGGGCTGCACGAGTATTGCCAGAAGTATGTGAGTAAATCTCACTGCAAACTATTTCATCATCACCAGATTCTGTGATCATAACTCAGCTTTATGCACACACACACATTTAGCATGGCTTAGGAAACGGGCTCCGTGTTACAGGACGGGTCGGGGGGGTTTGGCACACACACACACACACACACACACACACACACACACACACACACACACACACACACACACACACACACACACACACACACACACACACACACACACACACACACACACACACACACACACACACACACACACACACACACACACACCGGAGCAGAGACACGTTCACGAAGCCGAAAAACTATATCCGGGGAAGATATTTTCGTTTGGATTACTGGTCTGGGGGAAGCTCGCGTGTATGTATGTATGTATGTATGTATGTGTGTGTGTGTGTGTGTGTATGTGTAATTTTGCATTTGTGTGTATTGTGTTTGTTTCCCGGGGAAAACACTCAGGAGAAACACCGGCTGTTGTTATGCCTGCTGTGACGTCAAGTTACTCCGTTCTCCGCTTGTAATTATGCCGTTACAAGCTTCAAAGTTGTATTTATCATCTGGATTTGCCGAAAGAAGTTTAATATTCTGAAAGCCAAGACTTTGTTTATTTGAAATCAGATGAAAACAAACTGTAACGGAACCTGCCGTGTTTTCTATGATTACTATACGCCTTTCATTCATAATGTGAGCCGGAGGGAGGGGGAGCTGCGCTGCGGAACAGCAGAGTGAGAGCTGTCTTCTTCCCTTTACAAGCTTCAAACATGTATTTATCGTGTGATTTTGGAAATAAAAGTTTCATATTCTGAAAGCCAAGACTTTGTTTATTTAAAATCAAACAAAACACCCAATCCCCGAAAAACTATTTTTTTTTTACGCGTTTATTTTGAACGCCGTTTATATCGCCGTTGCGATTTCCGACTGATTTCGATAGAGCAGGTCACATACAGTATGTAATCAACTTAGGAACCCCTCCCATAAAAACAATAATAATTACAGAACAAATATTCATACCTCATATTCGAATACCTGAATCATTTTGAATATTCGATGAATCATTCCCATCCCTAATTCAAACCCTGTTTAACTCTGATCAGATTATTAAACCTGGAGTTATTTCTAACAGGAACATTGTTTTCTAAAGTTACATCATGTTTTCTTTATTCAGACTGAGGGGCTGCAGTTTGTCAGAGATCAGCTGTTCTGCTCTGGCCTCAGCTCTGAAGTCCAACATCCATCTGAGACTTCTGGACCTGAGTCTCAACGCTCTGCAGGATTCAGGAGTGAAGCTGCTGAGAGATCTTCTGGAGAGTCCAGACTGCAGACTGGAGACCCTCAGGTCAGTAAGGAGTCTCTGCTGGTTCAGCAGTATTGTATTAAACACAGGGAGGTGTTTCTCTCACTGGGGAATCACAACAGATCAGTGATGTTACCCACTGACTGCAGGCTCTTTCATTCTTCCATCAACTATAGAAGGCCAGCTGAACATGCAAAGCCACACTTTAGTAATCAACTCTCTAACAGACATATGGGATTTTACAGAAGAGTGGGAAAGGTAGACTGTTCTTTATGGGATGTTTCTAGTTTCTAGTTTCTAATGACTGGTTACTTCCTGTAATGCAGCTGAGAGCTGTGGCAGGCAGTCGTAGTGTTTGCAGAGAAGATATGATGGGATGTAAAGCATGAAATCAGAGGCCTGTACTACGAAGCTGGTTCAACCTAACCTGGATATGTTTGAGTTAGCCGGTTGGCCCAATCCAAAACATACGCGCTCTCGCTAAACTACTACGACACTGGTTATCAAGTGGATCGCTCAAGCCAGCCGTGTCCTATCTAGTTAGGTGCGCGTTCACATGAAAGGGGTGGTATTTGGAGCATTCGACCAATCTCAAACACGGACAAGCGTACTGACAGCGCAGCGTCATACTTCCTGAATGAAAAGTGAACTTTAATATTAGTCAAATATGAAGAAGTTAAACTTTAAACATCCATGACTTAAACACTTTATCCAGGATAAAAGCCACATAGCTGCACCTGCAAGGTGAATACACAACACAAAAGAAAAAGTGTTTGAATGCGTACATTAACAGGTTTATGAAATCACTGCCCCGTCCAAGACACGAGTGGATCTGACTTTAATTAGGAGAATTTGACTCGAGTGTTTCGTCAACTTAATGTGTTGCTTAAAATAATACTTCTGCATACAGTATGTGACACTGTGAGTGTTGCACGGCCAGATACGGCTCAAGAAGCTGACTCAAATAAGGAAATATATGATACATTATGATGTGATATGATATGAATGATAATGGGACACATCGACGTCTGCACTCACAGTGCCGCGGACTGTACTTAATGTTACTCTGATCCGGTTACTTATGTTGTGGCAGATATTTAAGTAAGCTTTCTTAACGCTAATATTATAATAGTCAGATTGCTCTGAAGATGGGAGGGGATATTCTATTAATTTTCACGTTCACACAGTCAGTTGATTTTGGCCGGCCGTCTTTCCTGCAACGGCAGTTTTTCTGTATTTCCTCTATCCTGTAATATGAATTGATCGCTTTAAACTCCGCACACACGGAGCTCTGATTGGTCAGCAGGCGGTGCTTTCACTGAGTTGATCTCTTAGCCTGCCACCTAACCTGCTCCGGAGCAGGTTTGCCGCTCAGCATAAGTTACCATGGAAATCTAGCCTGCTAAAAAGAGAACCAGCGTCGTAGGACCGGAAAGCCCGAGATTTCCCTGAAGTTAGCCGGCTAAGCGAAAATCCAGCTTCGTAGTACAGGCCTCAGGACTCTGAAGCTGACTCAAAGAACACACACTTATTTAAACTTGATCTAAAACTGTTAGATTGTGTTCGTCCCTACAGGATCACAGATAATGAGACGATCAGAGCCACGATCCAGAAGACCTGTGAGTACTGAAACCATATCCTCCATTCAGCAAGATATGAAACTCTTTAATGGAGCGTGACCTCAGAGGAAAACAACACTCTTGTTTTTCTCTCTTCATCATTCTGTCTGTTTCTCTTTTTGTTTTATCATCATTATTCTCTCTCTCTCTCTCCTTCTCCTCTCAGGTGACAGGAAGTGAAGAAACACAGAGAGGTGAGAGGTCGTACCGTGTGAAGTTTAGTCATTGAGGTTTCACTACAGAATAAAATGTAGTTATTGGTCAGTGTTTTCTGGGATTCAAGACAAATCTGTAAGCTCAGGTTTTATTTGTTCAGTTTATTTATCACGGGGCGAGTTTGAGACGTACAGAGGATCGTGGAGGCATTTTGTATATTTATATAACCATCCTTCTTTCATTTCATGCCATGTTTGCACACGTCTGCACAGCCCTCCACTTTAAAATACAACTCTCTGTAGTTTTAAATATATTGTCATATTTTCATTCTCCTAAGTGGTGTAGCTTTTAAGGTTCTTAGTATATTTACATTTAAATTTGGTGTAAATACTTGTCTAATTCTTTTTTTAATGGTAAATAGTTTCTTAAAAATACTGATTTTTATTATCTTTATATTTTTGACCTTCTATTGCAACTTATTTTGTTATGTTGTTTATGTTCGCACCACCAGACACTAAATCTACTTCCTTGTGTGTGTAAACGTACCTGGAAATAAATGTGGTTCTGATGAGGGGACTGCATTCAGGAGAACCTCTGCTATACAGTACACTAACCTAGGATGGGGTCAGCCTAACATAAACATTGATACGTTCAGATAACAGGTTCAACCAGCAGGGATTCTGAACCAGAGGCCTGTAAATACTCAGGTAGAGCACATCAAAATGGTACTTTAGTACAGTACATGAGTATATATACTTAGTTCCTTCACACCACTGTCTGTATATACAGTACAGAGAGGTGAGAGCAGATCAGAGAGAACAAATACTCTCTTCTATCAGTTGAAGAAGCCCGTCTACAATCTACTGTTGGTTTTATAACCAAAGTATTTCCCTGTTTCTCTTCCAGGTCCCAGAGGGTTACCTGTTGACCCGTGTCCATCTCAAAATGGTCCGCAGGCATCCCATAATCCTGCGTTTGGGGTGGAGACGTTCTCCCTGTAATCAAAGCACTGGGTTCTCTTGGAGACGCTCTCAAAGTCTTTGAGGACAAAGTCAGGAAAAGCCAAGAAGAAGAAATTATTTGAGCTGTTCTTTGTGTTCATCACCCTGGGTTCATTTAAAGGTCTCCTATCATGCAAAACGCACTTTTTGATGTCTTCTCTACATAAATATGTGTCCCCGGTGTGTCCCTATGTGTCCCCGGTGTGTCAGGAGACTCACAAAGTCTCAGGAAATAAAACCCTCTCTCTTTTCCTCCTTACCCAAATCTCTAAAAACGGGGGAACAACGGAGCTGATCCAGATTTACTGCGTCATGACGACACTACTAAAATGTGGGCAGGCTTTCACGCGATACTTAAGCCACGATACGATACTATCGCGATACCCAAGCCACGATACGATAGTATTGTGATTCTACGATATGCTAAGTATTGCGATACGATATATTGCGATATTGCAAATCACATGGGTCATATCCATGTCCGTCTTCCCTTCCAGGTTAAAACATGTATTTTCAATATGAATAGTTTATGTAAATAACCCAATGTGTGTTCTTTGAACCTGAAAAGGAGATGGCATTGTTTTTGTTATTGTTACTTTCATTGCAATTGTATACATGTCTTAACGTAACTTCCTGTTTTATATACGACCATCTTTCGGAGGGATATGCTAGTTTATATAATAAAATATCGATACTTGGCATCCGTGCATCGATACAATATCGCCGCCCAAAGTACCGCGATACTATGCTGTATCGATTATTTCCCCCACCCCTAATAGACATGTTTTTTTGTATATATCTGAGACCCATAATATATGCTTAAAAATAGCATAATAGGAGACTTTTAATATCCAATCAAATGTTTCCGTTGATTTGTAACTCTTCTAAAGGAGCTCTGCCTGGTGTCATTGAAACTCTGCTAAAGCTTTGTGTGCATGTAGTCTTTATGACATGTGATCAGATGTTGTTGAAACCTTTAAGATGTGTTCTCTTCAGAACCGCTACAGGATGTGTATTTTGTAAATTGTGCCATTTTAAAAAAAAAAGAAAAGTATCTTTAATATTTGTATGCATGCTTCTTAGTTAACGTTAAGCTGTCTTTGGCTCTTTTCTGCTGGAACAAATGTACATTTCCCCTCTGGGACTAATAAAGGTTTTCTGATTCTGATTCTGTGATGTCTTTAAAATGAAATGCATGAGCAGCTGAGCAGAGAGGGGATTCAGTTTATTGACAGGTGACGGGGGTCGGTGTCCACGTATAAAGAATCAAATAATAAATTCATAATGATCTTTGTTATGGATATGTATAGAGTTATGGATAAAACAATACAATGATGATAAAGAATCCATAAAAATGTAATATAAGTAAATAAAAAATGCATACGGTAAATTCTCACTTTGTTTCTGAGCTGTTTATGTAACACCTCCTTCTTAATCAGCAGATTGAAACTAAAGTAACCAGCCTGTTTTGAAAATGTAAGAATTAGAAAGTACAGGTATTTGTGTGTGTGTGTACTTTTATATATATATATTTTCCACGTCTGTCAGAAACACAGACCATTTCCAGTAATTCACAGTCTGCTGTTGGGCTCTAAGTGTGTGGGTGTAGTTTTCTGTTTGTCCACTAGATGGTAGTCCAAGCTCTGTTTTCTCAAGTCTTTTCTGTGATTTCCACCTGAGCAATGAACAGAGGTGGAAGAAGTACTCAGATCTTATACTTGAGTAAAAGTAGAAGTACTCAGATCTTGTGTAACCGGTGTCGTTAAGCGGTCTCTGAGTTGTGTTTTGCGTTGTTCACTAATTACGCCGCATATAGTATCGTATCGTGGCTTAAGCCGCATTTTCGGCTCAGTTGAGGCTCCCTAAGCAAGATGAGGCCCCCTCCGCAAGATGACGCCCCACGCAGTCTGCATGATCGGCCTGTAGGGAGGGACGGCCCAATACACGTGTTTCTGATTTTGAGGCAGGCTGATCACAACCATGAAATGAAACAGCATCAGGCCTGAGCTCTGCCGAGAGAGATACAGATTAATTTAAACGAGATCAAACTATACTAAACAGGTTAAAATACCGCGTATTAGACTGTTTAAGTTGTACCTATTTTAAAAAGTATTTGGGCAGGATCTAAAGTTAACCGGGAAAACGACTGAAGGTTCTCGGTTTAGCATCACATTTCATTAGTTCTCCACCTACCTGTACTTGGATAACCACATTTGACCCGCTGTAGGTGTCCATTTGTTGTTTGAATTTCCGCAGCTGGAGCAGAATAACACGTTAGGTTGTATTATTACACTTTATTTTCAACAAGCATGCCTCTTAACCAATTTTGACTTCTGTAATGTAATTCTGCAGACTCAGGCAGGACAGTGTGTGATGCTGCCTCCTGGTGGCTGTTATATAAACATGCTAACGGCTAGTGCATTGATTTTCAATTTGTTAATGTGTTTCCAATAATACTCTGTCACGATCAGACACAATATATATTCTACACAGTTGTGCACGGCTTTAATTGTAACAGTAAAAGTGATGTCTTTACTAATTTGAGTGACTAATACATTATTTTGATTTCTTACCTGTACCTAAAGTTCATAAAGCTGGTTCTCTCTGCCAATAATGATGCACACTGAATGGGGAAAATCGTATTCAAAGACATATTCAGGACACTTTTATGCATTTTAAGGTTGTTTTTATCAATTCAACAAGCTTTTTCCATATCAAACGTTCAAATCATACTCCCGACTGTGTTTGACTTAAAGATATACTAAATCAATTCAACAGGGTAAACTCAACATCCTTTGTGACGTGTAAACAAGAAACACAAACTGAAAGTAAGATACCACTTATTATTAACATCGTCTTCTCCTGTTGATATTGTGCAGCCAGTTATTTTACATGAAGTAAAAAAAGACACTAGACAACTGTACACCAAATTTACATTCCTCTAACAGTTCAACATGGCTTCTGTCTTCTAAGCTTTTTTTTTGTACAATCAGGTTCAGTATGTACATTTACAGGAAACAATGTGTAACTTGGGGATTTGATTTGTCTCATTGCACGCTGTACAGATGATAACGAGGGAATTGTCTGGAAAAAAATTAAGAATCACCTGAATGATCACAAACAAAACACAATAAATACTTCCAACTATTTAAAACATAGGGGAAATTAAGCAGAGCTACTTCTGTAAAAGATAACCCTGAAATGACCACGCATGTTTATTTGAATATTTTTTACAAGAGAACCATATTACTACTAGAACGTATCGCTGTTTGCTTGAGACAATAAAATTCAGGCACTGGAGGAGTATCGCAATAAACTGAAAATTACTATCTGTACGTTGAGATGAGGATTTACAGTTTGAATGTTGTGCTCCTGAAAGAGATCTTATAACTTCTCTCCTTTAACACAATAACAATACGTTTTCCATCGAGTCACTGTGACACTAAGCTGTTAATCAGAAGGTATTGTTTTCTGTGCAATTTAGGGGAAGAAGCGTATGAGAGACTTTCCGGAGCCTGCACACTTTGTACAAAAATGTATATTAAAAAAACGAAAAAGAAGTGATGAAAATATTTTGGAGTGCTGATCAAACATATGATAACGACATGTCATGTTGTTAAGGAGTGCTACAAGTCTTTTTGTAATTAACTATATTTTAAGTATGAGTCAAATTAAAGTGGTTATTGGATGGAGTCACACAGGGAATTTGACTTTTTGGGGGATATACAACGAGAACATTTCAACTCCACTTTTTTTGTGGTGCAGATACAAAGGACGAAAGACAAAGATCACACACTTGCATTTATGCCAAAGAAAATAAAATAAAATGTCTTGTTCAATTTAAAGAAATTCATTTCCCTTAGTGGTTTTTTTCACAACAAATCCCTGTAGAAGTCAGATTCTTTTCAATACCAAAACCATCTTACATCCATTATGTGGCCTGTATGTTAGGCTTTAATTTACACTTTTACACAAACACCATATTTCACTTTTAACGCACTGTTGGTCGTGAGCAGGATCTTTTACGCAGCAGGAGGTGTGTCTTTACATGTTGGCGGTGTCACTGTGCTAACTCGTTTCAGAATTGTCCCCAAGTTTTGACAGCTTTTTCAAATTCACAATATATAAAGAATATTCACAATAAAAACAATTGACAAGTTGTGGATCCAAAGCGGAGTCCTTGGGATTAAAAAGGTTTAGAAGTCAAGGGTTTCAGCGAGAAACTTTGACAAAAACCTTTTTCTGATCCACAATTTGCTTCAAGTCTGATACTGGCGGTTTGGGGGTGGGGTGTCAGTGAACCAGGGGGGGGGGGGGGGCTTCTACCACTTCCCCCTCTTGCTCCAGTCCTTAGGTGTGAAGTGCAGGCATTTTGAATCTATGCGCAAGTGTCTCTTCTGCATCGCTCTTTCATGTCCGTCCACAATGTCCTCTGAGAGAGTCAGGATGTACTGACCCTGCATTCAAGACACAAAACAACAATTTAAGAAACAGAAAATCACATTTTCTACAACATCGTTATGGGGGGAATTACCACACTGGTTAATCAATATGTCATGTTAGTAGAAACAACAAGTTATTTTTAGGGATAGCAGTTCCCTAATTTAAGCGATTTTCATTTGAGCACCTTGAGCAGCTTTTCCCTACCATGACATTAAAAAGTAACAGGAGTAAGATTTAAAATCAACAGTAGAACATAAAACTGTGTAAAGAGAAATTACAGAAGTGCGCAGGGCCAGTGACGGTCAGATCGTTTATCCATGATAGCCGTTTAAGATGTTTTTACAATTTTTAAAGTTCATAAAAACGTGTTTATTCAAATAATATTAACTGTATTGCTTGCAAAAAGTGTGTTCATTTCAATGCTTTATCTGACGCTGAGCCACGCTCGGTGCAAACGTTGCCGTGTAAATGGGGTTTTAGTGCTGTGATATAACTCCCCCTACTCCTGCAGCCCCCCACCAACAATGGGATTCCTTATCTGTGATCTCTAGTAACGATGATTGGTCGATATGAAACGTAAACGACGGTGTAAGCCATCGAGACAAAACCTCTTTTGTTCATTCATTTACATTCACCTATTTGCAAGCCTTTTCAGAAAGCCTTCCATGCCAAGTTAAAGTAAGCAGAGGGGCGTCTGCTGCCATGTTTATTTACACAGCACAATGTTGCAGATACAATCAGAAAGGGCCATCACAGACTCTATTTCTCACCTTGTAATAGTTGATGAGGTTGAGGTACTGCAGCGTTGAAATGACGTCTTCTTTCTTTACACTTGTGATCTCACTGATCTCACTGGAGGGTTAAAGCAAAGTCAGAGTCAATCATTAAACTGCTGTTATATACGTGATTTCCAAGGTTGAGATAAAACGCCAAGAGTCACATACTTGATGGTGATCTGCGGCCTTTCTCCGTTGTCCGGTTTAAGTTCCATGAGTATTTCCAGGATGGTCTGGGACCAGTAGGAGCGGTAGGACAGAAGGCCGAGGTCAGAGAGCGGCTTCTCAGGAGTGCCCGTCTTCCCTTCTACCTTCGACAGCTCGTAACCTGACAGAAACACACACAGAGAACAGATGACACGACTACAAGGTGAGGGAAACACAGAAAACACCGTAAAACTGGATGTATATATAAGAATGATGTAGATTAGCGCTAGGGATGGGTACCGAGCCCCGGTATTAAACGGGCCCCGGGGCTGAATTATTAAAGACCGTGGTACCGTTAAGCTCCGACGTTATCTGTCTTTTTATCGGTACTGGAGACATGTACAAAATATGTCATGTATTATTGCTACACAAACATTATATTGCAGTTTTAGTGTCGCCAACTCCGTTTCTAATACGCAAAAAGACTGCAAAATTAGTCTATGATTATTTTTAGTATTATCGATCTTTCCAATCCAGACGAGAGATCTCTCTCCCCCGTCTGTGTGCGAGGGGGCGGGGCAGTTCACACACACGCAGCTGCTACATGCAGCAACACACACACACGGAGGAGATGGCGGAGAGAACGCGCTCCGAGGTGTGGTTAAACTTTACCCGTCTCGCTCGTTGCCTAAAGTGCAATAAGAGTTTAGCATGTAAGGGCGGTAACACGAGCAATTTGTCGAAACATTTAGCAAAAGTGCACCACATTCAGACGGAGAAATGCACCGGGTTCGACTGTCTTTCTAGTAGCTCTGTAACCCCATCCACGAGTAACGTTTCCACGTCAGGTGTTATGTATGCTAGCAGCAACACACAGAGTTAACTCATTATTCAAACATGGGCTAATGATTAGAGGGAACTGAGTTATTTATTTTGTTAGAAGTTTCAGCTATTCTGTTTACAGTTCTGTCATCACATTATTTAATACGATTTGTTAAAGGTCCCATGTCATGGCCATTTCTACTGATCATATTTCCATTGTTGAGGTCTACTAGAATAGATTTAAATTGTGCAATTTTCCAAAATCACATTGGTTTCTCATCTCTGTATAGTATGTGTATTCACCAGGTATTCACTCTGTCCTAAACGGCTTGTTGGAGCTCCTGCCCCCCCCTCCCTGTGAGCCTAGTGTGCTCTGATTGGTTGGGACGTTGCGAGCTCGTTGCTGCTGCGAGGAGCGGACAGATTTCCGGGTCGGCGATACAGCGAGAACAAGCTAAACTCATCCTGAGCACACACAAAGACTCACAGCCGAAGTAAAAACAATAAGTGTGGCTTGATATTGAGTAAGAAAAAGGTTTATAACGCTGTGAGAATGGGTCTGCGGAGAGCATTTCTCCGCCATCCCAACTCGTCTATTACCAGCGTTCAGGGAGCTCTATGCAAGTCAATGGGGACTCCCTGTTAGTTAGCCAAGGGATCCTGGTGTGTGAGGTGCTCCGCGGATTGGTCCATTTGGGCCAATCCGGTCATTTGTTGTTGATTTGGGTGTTCACACGCCACAGAACCCAGGAAGCAAACAATGGAAAATGAGAAATCTCCAACGAGGCGTTCTGGGGCAGCATAGACAGGTCTTTTCTGTGTTAGAGTTTTACTCGCTACAGGGTGTACTTTGAGGGTTTGTGACTCTGCAGACAGTTTACATGCAGAAAAACCTTCATAACACACAAGGGGACGGGTAATAACCGGAAAAGCATGACATGGGCCCTTTAAAACACTGTTGTTTCTTTTGATGTTAAATATTATGTATTTAATTTAAATAAAAAGCAATGTTAGTTTTGTTCACAATTTGTTTAGTTAATTTACCTTATTTCTTTCTCCAAAAGAACCGATAGAAGTACCGTTAAAAGACCGGATCGATAAGCAGATAAAAGTAGTAGTACCATTAAAACCTTAACGATACCCATCCCTAATTAGCGCCTAAATGATATATGTTGCATTCTTTTTATATCTTTACGGGGTTCAGAAAGGGGACGCTGTGTTTTTTAGTTCAAAAACTGTCCATGTAAAGAACATATTCTGCTTTTGTTCAAAATGTTTAAGACAACAATATATTCCAAATATAAATATATGGATGTTTGTTGTAATTGTACAACGCTTTGGCAACACTGCAAGTCATTATGGCCATGCCAATAAAGCTATTTGAATTTGAATGTAAAGATATTTACTGAATATTGTGCCTCTGTTTTTTAATACCACACTTACTGAACTCGATGAGCAGTTTGCCGTAGCCCCTCCGCTGGTAGGGGGGCAACGTCAAGATGCAGGCCACGTTATAATCTTCAGTCGATTCTTTCTCCTGTGTGCAGAAAAGAGAAATATAATTTAGTTTGGGGTTTGTTTAGATATTGGACTTTTTCCAAGCTGTATTAAGTGAACTTCACAAGGAGATTTGCATAACGTGTGTACCTTAGAGTAGTATCCCACTATGTGGAAGCCTTTTGAGTCATACTCGGTCATAACATAGAACAGGAAAGGGTCCGTGTCGTAATACAAGGTTTTGTGGTCCAGGAAACATTTAGCGAGTAAACACAGGTTCTGGGAATAATTCTGGAAAAACATAAACAGACGTACATCAATCAGTAACACAATAAAAAAACATGACTTTTGTGAAAAATTGAAAAATAGATATCTAAAAGCTTACTTTGTTTTTCCTGCCGTCAATCTCAAAAAAAGAGATGGTGCCTTTGCGGTAGATCTCGTTGCCCGGCGGATGTCTGAGATGGCATTTTGTCTGTGAAAGAAACAGGAGGATGAGTGCAACGATCTAAGACCCCATTTACACGCAAACGCAAACGAACCGAATACGATATCAAAAAAGTCTTCCGTTCAAACGAGACCGCTCGAAAGCGCTGGAGACGCTGTAGTACATATGCCGGGCCTGTAAGTGGCGCTGTACTACCGCCACAAAATACACCAATAAGAAGAAACAGACTGACGCGTAAATACCAAGCCCCCAGGAAGTGCGCCGGACTCTGAGGAAAATATTCGTTGTGGCCAAACGGCGGTACTACACTTCCGTATCAGTCGTTGGGCCCGGAAAGACTTTTTCCCATTGACTTACATTGGGAAAGAGCCGTCTGTAAATCGTTGGATAATTTTTTTTAAACTAAATAAACTACCCAGTATGAACATTTGTATAGCCCCTATTAAAAACATTCGGTCCTCAAGTTGTAAAATGTGCTAATAACGTTATTCTGAGAGTTATTTTCCTCGGCATTATGAACGCGGATCAAACCCACGGGACCGCGCCGCCCGGCACGTTCATGTGACGTGTTCAGTACTACATGAGTTTTACCTTTACCCATGGATGCACAATAAGAACGGATTATACTTTCGTGACGTTTCGCTCTCTCAAAAGTTGGGCCATTTTGTGTTCATGCGCCAATGAGCAACTCTCATAGCAATGAACGAGGCCCCGCCTCCCACGCTGTATCCAGTTCTTATTATACATCCATGGTAAAGACACACTGTTTTCACACACACATGTAAATAATATGTACACATGACCAAATATGTATATATGTTCATTTTAATTAATTTCTTATTTTATAGTTATTTATCATTTTAAATGTGTTATCTTGTGACTTTATCCTGTTTTTCCAATAGTACCCTGTTGCTGTTGAACTACTGAATTGCCCCACGGGGATTAATAAAGGTCCATCTTATCTTATCTTATCTTAAAGATGGAGACACGCTGAGGATTCTTACCAAATGCCTCTGGAGACACTTGAGGCTTTTGAGGTACTTGAGACAGAATTCACAGAGGTAGAGGATGGGCAGCGTGGTGAGTTCCTGCGGGTACGGAGAGAAGTACCAGGGCTTCAGCCTGTGGCGTCCCAACTCTATACACTCGATGTTCTTCATGCGGGTCACGATGTCGTCATGGCTACGGTCCGACACCAGACTGCCCGTCATGCGGGGCGCCGTCGGGACGCCGTCAGAACTGTCCTGCGAATCCTGATGGGGAAAAATGTCGACATTGTTGACACTCAGTTATTTCAGGTTAATTGTGCTAAAACACAAAAAGCTGCTTGATCAAATGGAATTGCATTTCTACAGATCTAGATTTCTTTAAATGGTGTATAATCACAGTGGCTGTACGTGTTACTAAAAGGACTGGTCTGAGGTAAGCAGCACCTCTGTTTTATTGGTGAATTTGCACAGTAACACACAATCAACGACCAATAACAGGAAGTGAAACAGACCTCTGGTGGTGGTAGAAAGACACTGGCACTTTGAGGGTTGTTGTTATACTGCAAAACCTTTATCATCTATCAGAAAAAGAGAAAAAAAAGACTTGCTTTTGGAAACAAAAAAGGGGGATAAAACGGTTCTTATTGACACTGAACAGTTTGGTTTGATTGAAAGCAGAATTTAAGTTCAGTGTCACATTTGATTTAGAACAATCCAGAGTGGGTTCAGCCTCATATTCTCAATCAGAGGTAGTAGGGTTAGGGTTAGCTTCCCGCTTCTATTGAATGAAGCGGGAGGTAAAATGAAAACACTTAGGGCTGCACGATTTGGGGAAATAATCTAATTGCGATTTTTCTGACAGATATTGCGATTCGATTTGCGATATTTGTTTTTAAGCGACCCAACGGAAGTGTATTGTAAAATGCGGCCATATCTCCGGCTAGGAAGGTCGTATCAACGCGCTCGCGTCTCTAGCACCCCCGCAGCCCGAGCTACGAGTGAAAGAACTAAACTTACATGAAACTTCCGTTGGGTTGCTTTAAAGTCAAGCTTGAGTTTAAGATTCACCCTGTAATAGAAACATGTGATGGAGCATTACTAACCTGACTCAGATGCTTTGTTTCACCATCTAGGAAAGCTCCATTGGAAGCCATTTGGAAAAGTATTTCAAAAATACTTGGCAGGTGATTGGATCAATCTGTCTATCACCTACTATCATGGGCCACTTCTGATTGATTAACAATGACTGGTACATGTGGAGCACAGCACTTCTGATTGGTGTGGATGACTGACACACAAGAAGAACAAAACTAAAAAAATCGCAGGCTTTGCGATTTGATAATTGCATCATTTCAAATCGCGATTTCGATTTATTTATTTATTGTTTTGGTAACTTATGACACACGCAATGTCAAGGTCATTGGAGATGATGTGAGAATGTGGGAGGACACAAAATCTGAGCTGCTCATGTCAAGTTTCCAGAAAGAGCAAACCCTGCAAATCATGGTCTGACCTGCTAACATTGTTTAGTCTCATTTAGTGATATTAAATATTTGTTTTGTTTAGAACTGTACTGTTACATGTAAGCAATGACAAACGGTCAGTTCTCATGAATCTCTCAAAAACCAAGAACATAGATTTTTGATTATTTGTCATAGGTCGTAAAAATGTTCTACAATACATTTTTTATAAATCTAATAAGCTTGCAAATGAAAAATGTCAAAATGTCAATAAATTCTCTCATTGTACATTTGCAATAATTTATTCAGTCACAGTATAGAATTTAAAAAATCGAGCAAAACCAAATGCCAGTATAAACAAATGTAACTTTGCATAACATAAAACGTGCTGCTATGTTGCTGGTCATGTTTATTTCTAATTATTTAAACCAAGTAAAACCTACCAACAATGTTTTAGGCTCAGGATCATGCTATCAAATCACGTTCACAGTTGTGACGTGTAATGCACCGCTTGAATGCGACATTACTTATCCAGCAAACACTTTCATAATATAACTAATACAAAATATGAATTGGAAAATATGCTCTTCATAGCATGTCGAAAAAAGATAAGGGTAAAGCATGTCACTTTTAAAGTAAAGGACGATAAAAACAATAATGTGAGAAAAATGTTTGGACTTTTCTCAAATTTGAAAATGAAATAACTTGAATAATTCTCCATTTTATTCAGGCAGTATTTGTGATCAATTTGGCTTGAATTGAAAGAAGTGTTTAATGTTTCAATGTTTTAGTTTGAACATTCAAAACAAAAAGATGAAATCATTAGGGCTGTCAGTCGATTAAAATATTTAATCGCGATTAATCGCAAATTAATCGCACATTTTTTATCTGTTCTAAATGTACCTTAGAGGAATATTTTTCAAGTTTTTAATACTCTTATCAACATACGAGTGGACAAATATGCTTTATGCAAATGTTTGTTTATTATCATTGGAACAATGACAAATATTCTCCTGAATATTTTCAATACAACAACCTGGAACCTCTCTCTCTCTCTTATGGCGCGTTTCCACTACGGCGCGGAGCACGGTTTAAGAGGGCTGTGACTTCAGCGGCCCGTTTTTGGTTGCGTTTCCACTTGGCCTAGTACCGGCCGGCGGGTCCTAATTCACAGTTTTTCTGGCCTCATAAAATCGTGGGTCCAGGGCCAGAGACAACGAGGCTGAGTCGGGCTGAGTATGCTAAACTAGAGAGAGGAGCGCTGCAAGGGGGCTACAACTACAACAAGATGGACATATTTGACCGTGATTTAATTGTAATACACGTTTCAAAATGATGCCGAAGTAACAACATACTGATACCGGTTAGTAAAAACCATGAATTAATGCTTTGACAAGTCTGCAGACAGACGGCAGGCGAAAAACCTTTTAAAATGCGTGTTTTCTAAATGGAGATTGGCTAAGCTAACGCAGTATATGCTCCGACCGTCCACACTCACAACAACGGCCTATACAGACATAAATAAAGCAGCGACTGTATTCACCATGACACAGGCAGTCTGTGGTGTGTACTTGTTTCACTTTTGTCTAGTTTCTGAACATATATGAGGAGCTGTGAGCTCTGAGTGCTAACAGCTAACGGCTGTGTTGTTTTTCTGGGGTTCTCATTGAAGATGACGTCACGGCTCCGCCTACACTGCGTTACTATAGATACTACCCCAGTTCCTAAACTGTAATGGGAATGCGCCATAAAGTGAGCCAGTCCTAACGAGGCCTAGCCATACCGAGCGAGGCCGGCGAGGCCGTGTAGTGGAAATGCGCCATTACACTCTCTCCCAACCCTGTCTACTTCTTTGCACTGAGCCAGTTGCTCAAACAGACAAGCCTGTTTACAGTTGTCGGCGAAATGCCGCTCCTCTGTCATCATCTTCAGTCAAAGCATGAGACTGAAGTTCCCACTGTGGGTCAAAATAATGCGCTGTGATGTGCAGTCGACACGTTGGATGCGATCCGAATGATCTAACGCAGCCCCTCGTCCTCCACAATGTTAAGCTGTAGCCACCCATTTAGCTATCGTTGTTGTTGTCCAGGCGTCTCCCCAGCAACTTTCAAGCGTGGTCTGCCGCAAGCGAGCGGCAGGAGCGGGGCTGTCAGCATCAGCTGTGTGCTTGGCTTGCTGTTTAAAAAACACCTTTTTTTGTATCCATATCTCTCGCTAGAATCTCCCACCATCCAACTAACAACAACAACGTCAAGCCTTTGGGCTCTGAAACTACGGGGCGGACCGAGGACAAATACACATGCATTAACCGCACGTTAAAATAATTAGTGGCGTTAGTTGACAGACCTAGAAATCATGCATCTTCAAAACCAAAAAGCAGCAGAGACATGGTAAACACTTAAAATAAGAAAATAATAAGATGCCTGTAACGTTTTAAATATATTGAAGATACACACCTCGTCCGCTCCCCCACAGTTGGCTTTCCTCTTCCTCCCGGGCTGCGGGGGGATGAGTCGTCTGGCGGTCCCGTTCTGTCGATATGATACAAAGATAAGTGGCGAATTAGCCAAGAAAAAGAAAATACAAAAATGTCCACAAGATTCTAAGGTGTTGTCATATGCACATTATCTACAGTGTAGAAATGGCAATGAGATTCTTCTGACCCGAGCTCCTCCAACAATGCAACATATATTATAAAATACAAATACAAAATTGTGCAAGAAGTCTATATACATTAGGGCTGCACGATATATCGTGTCGTGACGATAATCGCGTTATACGCATGCGCGATATTCACATCGGACGTACGATTTTTTTTTTTTAGGACGTGCGATATTAAGTAGGCAAATTAACTCAAACACGCCATGTTACAATTATTTTGCTGCTTGCTACAAAAGGAAAACTCGCGCGGCTCTCATGACAGGGGTACTTGAGTGAGTGATCAGATCACAGCAGGATAACCGAGCTAGCTCAGCTTGTTGCTCTGATAACTTAAGATCCGGACGTCTGTGACTAAAATCCTTCATCCGGTTAAATATAGTTAAAAAAATACCAATTGTATTGCATTAAAGTTCAAGAAATGATGGTTTGCGGACAAAAATAAATGTATTTTCTTCAATTCCTGTATTTTTTCATATATCGCAATATATATCGCAGGGGAAAAAAATATCGCAATGTCAGTTTTTTCCAATATCGTGCAGCCCTAGTATGCATGTCAATAGAATATGATATATACAAGAACAGAATGTGAAATTAAATATTGTACATTAAGACGAATATATGGTGAGAACTATTTATATAAATTAGTCGATTGCAAGAGGACAAACAGATGAATGTTTAGGGGCGTGTCTTTACTGTAGTGAGCGAGGCGATGGGTTCATTGTCTTCACGGGACTTGAAGGTTTCTCTCACGGCGGGAAACACCGCCGCCTGAGAGGCTTCGGCTGAACTCTGCAGCGACGGCACGGGAGTGGCCGGGGGGACCTGCGTCGCCACGGGAACGGCCTCTACTTTCCTCTTCTGGAAAAACAATCAGTGTCAGGCATTTGTCTTCAAATAAGTACAAATAGAGAAAAAAAAGCTTCAGAAAAGTTTTTCTCCAAACGAACTGTTTCCAGTCAAATCAGAGGCATTTTTTTTTATGCCACTCAGAATTACATTTTAAACTCAAATTTGCACACTTTGGCATTTGGTTACAAAAAGTTGGTTACATGTTACCAATATTTTTTGGGAAGAATGTTACCTAATTCCTAAAATACCAATTCCCAAGTACTTTTTAAAGATTTTAATACCAATTATGGTCTTATTTTACATCATATTTAGATAATTAATTCTCTCTAAATATACTCTGCGGGTATATTTTAGATAGGCTTCTTTAAAGTGCACCTATCATGCTATTTTAAGGCATATATTATGGGTCTGATATATAAAAAGATATAAAAACATGTCTATGATGTGTTTTTCTCAAAATACAAACAGATCATGCATTTTAGACATCCCTCATATCCAGTGGTGTAGTGGGCGTTGGACGCGGGGGTACGCCGTACCCCCACTTATTTGAAGCATGATTTTTTTTTAATAGTCTAATAAATATAAAATCATTGCCAGTGTTATCAGTTGCAAGTGTGTATTTGTTGTAATAATGACGAAAACATAATAGGCAGATTTCACAGTAATTATAATAAAAACGTAGCTCAAGCATTTATGCAACTTGATTTGAAGCGTGTGTGTGTGTGTGAGGGGCAGCACCGTGTGAGGGGCAGCACCGTGTGTGTGTGAGGGGCAGCACCGTGTGAGGGGCAGCACCGTCTGTGTGTGTGTGTGTGTGTGTAGGGTGACCAGGTGTCCCGCTTTGTGCGGGACTGCACACACAGCATTTTTATTATTTGTCCCGCGTCCCACAAATTGAGACTATGTCTCGCATTTGAGTGACAGTCGCGCAGGAAGGCCGGATCGGTTCGCTGACGGCCGGCACCGCCCTTTATTATTATATTGTTTAAACGGCATCATGTAAGTTGCGCTGACAGGCGACACAGAGGTCCACAGTGTACCCCCCCCCCCGAATTTCTGAAACAGTATGGAGCTCAAATGCTTTTTTTCTTGCGGGTTTATCACAAGGTGAGTTCCTTTTTTTATTACCTGCTTTTTAAACGCATGTACTCTCCAGTACAGGTTAGCTCTGAGTGTTAGCGAGGCTTGCTAATGTAAACAAAGACGAGATGACGTCCAAAACATGTCAGGCATTGTTTCTGATAGCAACTTTCTGTGGGTCCACCATCCGAAATTACGTCATATCGGCAGCAAATCTGTATCCGCTCGTTGTACCCCCGTTTTTAAAAGATGTGGGTACGGAGGAAAAGAGAGAGGGTTTTATTTTCTGACGCTGCGTGAGTTCCCCGACGCACCGGGGACACATCTTTATGTATAAAAGCCATAAAAAAAGTGCATTTTGCATGATAGGTCCCCTTTAAGCTAAGGGTTTCATCATTTTGTTTTACACCTCCAGATAATAAAAGCTCATGAAACAATCCGTCTTCAGCACAAGGTGAACGATGAGACACAGAGAGAGCAGCTACCTTGAAGGATTTGGGGAAGTTGTTGTTGAAGTGTGGTTTTACGAGTCCAGTGCAAACACCCGACAAACATTTGGAGACGTTGTTTGTTAAATCACTTCTAGGAGTGATCTGCACCACCGGATCAGGCTCTTCTTTTTTGATTTCATGGTTGTTTATTTCTGGAGTGGCGTGCAGTTCATTGTGAGCCGAGAGCTGTGTGATCAGAACAAGATAAAGGTTAGCACCAAGTTCAAACAAGATCTCAGACATTTCTACAAGGTGTGGATTCAAGTCGTACCGGTGTGGGGAGAGTTTTTCCTCTGGATGGAGCCGAGGCCGACTGTGCGTTGAGCTCTAAACTCTTCCTCTGAAATAAACAGGAAAAAAAAGGTTAACATTCATATAAACTAGGGATGCTCCGATCAATCAGCCGATATTCACTCTCGGCCGATCGATCGGTGCTCTCTATAAAGGCCGATCAGGAGAGCCGATCACATGACGTAAAATACATGACACTTTTCTCTGTGCGCTGCAAAACAAGCTCGCCAAAATGGCTTCACCGGTCTGGCATTATTTTAAGGTGTCCGTAAAAGACAATAAAATAGCGGTATGCAACGTGTGTGTGAAGCAGAAATCCTGCAGCTCCGCCCGCTGTGACGGACCGGTGAGCGAAACACACACTAAGAGTTAGACCTAACACACGTAGCTATTTTATCTACCTCTGGAACAAGCTAAACTAGTTATACATATATTTATTCTTCACTGTCGGGTCACTCATTACTGGATCAGTGAGCTGCATGAGATACTGACGGGCTGTCAGGAGAGAGGGAGGGAGGGAGAGAGGAAAAGAGAGCGCTTCTGCTCATTTCTCCCGTGTTATTATCCAAAGTTAATGTAAACTTAAATAATGTACTTCATTTGAATGTAATAATTATGTTGGTTGTTGTTTGTGGAAGCGCATCATGTATTGAAAAATGTATCTGAACTTTTTGATCCGTTACGATTATAAACTGAAGCAATATAAAAATGAGCCCCATTAACTGAGTTTTAAACATCACTTTAAATGGAAGATCCCCATAGCCCCCCCCCCCCCCACCCTATGATCGGTATCGGCCGATACTGATTCCGGCGATCGGCCCCAAAATTGGCGATCGGAGCATCCCTAATATAAACCTTGAGGGATTCACTCTTTACACAACGTACATATTGTTGCGCATCAAGAAAAACAGTTTGAGTGGAAATCGAAATAAGAGGAGTAAGTGTTTCTTTAAATATTGAACACTTCGTAGAGGTTTTGCAAAAAATAAGTGTCGAGGCAGGGTTAAAAATAAAAGACAACACATATAATCCTGCGCCCAGTCGGCTATCAAATGCATCATGTATTGACGGAACATTTTTATACTAAAACGACCACATATTTGCTAATAATTTGTAGATATTATTGTAGACTGAGTTTTTGCAAACCAACCACCAGTTAAAATGATTAACTTGTAAAAAACAGTTACTTTTTGTCTGTGTTTTCTCTAGTAGCTAAAGATGAATACGAATATACATGTATTTCCATCTACACCACACAGATAATAATACCCACTTAGAATTACTTATAACACAGTGATTGAGATTGACATTAACTCAACTCTGTGAGAATTGCACTTTTCTAACAGCAATAGCATCCACAGGTTTTAACACTTCTCAGTTTCGGTCGTCAAAAATGCTGGGATGTAAAATGAAGGCCAATGTATGAACTAGTGTCCTCACAATGGTAAATAAGATGCTGACAAAAGCTGAGTTGGTGATGAAATGTTTCAGGGTATGAGATCAACATGTGGCAGAGCACGGGCTTACCACGTCTCTCTCTGGGGAACCGGGGCGGGATCCTGGAAGACCGTTCTTGGTTGGCGTTTTAGCTTCTTTCTTTGGGAACTGAAGCTTCTTCATGTCCAGCCGGTCTCCTGTGACCCACTCATCCAGGCGCTTGTTGACTTATAACGCAAACAAGAAGGCATTAGCTGTCAGTGTAATTTAATTGAGTCTGTAAAATGACTGTTACAGGTAAAGTTCCTCAGAAGAAACAAGAAGTGACACAAGCTATACTCACAGTCAATGTAGTGAACATAGTAAAGCTTTCTCGAGGAGACTTCCTTCACGCTTAGAATTTCAGCCAATGCTGCGAGGAAAAAGGAGATATGTCAAATAAAACTTGCAACAAACGTTATTTCAATTAACAAAATGATTGTGATAGACTTCAATTAAATAGCTGCTAAAACATTATGGATCTGCCATCATGCTTAACAACAATTCCTTACTGTGAAATAGATTTAAGGCGACACAAGGTACTAAAAATACTGCGGAAATAATTGAAATATAAAAAAGAAGACATAGCCTCATTTGCATACATCTATGGTTATGATGGACCCTTGCTCTTGATAAAATATTGTATGGAACAGTCAAATGAATTGTATTGTAATGAATCTGAACCCCCAGCTCAACTCGTTTGTCTGTTTGGATGCATTTGCTTATATAATGTCTACAGTGTGTTGAACAATATGGTTTTAAGTGAGTTTTATGTTGTTGAACATTGTCCAACCATACCTACGGGTCAGTGGTATGGCCATTATCATATATTTGATTGCAAAAACATTCAATTAAGAAGGTGAAAGAAAATAAAGAATTGATACACAAATGATGTATGACATATTCTTGTTTTAAACTTTTAGATTGCATATGAGTGGATAGTTATACCTCTATTATACATTCATTTAAATAAAAATAAGATCATAAATCGCAATACTCATCTAGACACATGCAACCTGTAACAGGGGGAAGTAAACACAAAATTAAGCTAAAACGTTTGACAACCACTGCCAAAAACAAACTTCAAGATGAGGTTGAAACTTGTGTCAAAGGGTCAAATCGTGTGTATTTCTTTGTGTTTTGCTGAGGTGTTAGGACCTTTCTGAAGCTCAACAATGACAGTTGACTGAAAAAGTGTCACTGAAATGCGAGACTGATTTTTATGTGGCACTAACTTTTCTCATCTTTCGAACTATCATAACAAATAGGAGCACTTATACTCTTTTGAGTGAGCCAAACTGCATTCAGAAAACCAAACACATCACCTGAAAAATCCGTTTTACATTTGTAAACAACAGCCTGCTGTCAGGTGGATTTTGCTCAAGTAAGTCTTTCCCAACAAAGTATTTTATAAAAATGTCCCTGGGAGCTAGCTAGCTAGTATAATACGGATTTACTAGTGGCTCTGGCAAGTGTTTAAGTTAACTAGAGTCACAATGCAAAGCGACATGTGTGCCCCGTGTGTTTACAGCGCTCCGACTGAGGCCGTCTGATAACAACAGCTGAGGTCCGCTAGTTAGCATTAGCTAGCTTAGCACGGGAAAACAACCGCACAATACTTACGCCATTCGTCTTCGTGTTCCTGGTTTTTACGAAGAACGGGGAGGCGGCAGCCCTCAACGATATCCACCTGTCAGAAATAACACGTTAATTTGCACCCTGAAAGTGGTCAATGGCTCTAAAATAAAATAATATCGCTCGAAAACCTACCGATGATGCGTTGTCCGCCATTTTCGTCATCTGTGAGAGCAGCAGCAGGGTGTTGTGGGAAAATGCCGGTCCACAACAAAGACGACTTAAAGAGCAAGATGAAGCCGTTTCAATCAACTCGGAGACCGGAAGTCGTAAAACCAAACCGGAAAAAGAGAAGCAGGGGATTTCTCTCTATGAACATCCATGTTTTTAAGGGGTTTTACTCTTTGTTCACTGTTTTTAATCAATCGTTCCTTTTCTTTCTTTCTTTGGATAACATATATATATAATAGTATTGTTATTATTATTATTATTATTATAATCTGTGATATTTTTGATATGTGAAGTAAACGCTATTTTTCAACACACTTGCAAACTTCCATTTACCCTTGTATAAATTAAATACTGGGGTCCTTTGCGAAGAAAACGGGCAACATGTGAAAGGGTAATCATTTGTGGACAACATTTCAATGATAGTCAATTCAATATCTTTAATCTGTCCAAAAGCTGGTCCACCTTGAAAATTGGAAACGGACATATAGAGATAACCAGGCATAGCAATACAATGGTGATACAGTCATATACCAAACAGAAAGATAGATAGGTGAGAAAATAAGAAGTGGCCATTATTATCATATTTTTGGTGGAGTTCTCAGACCTGATCTGTCTCTACTTAGTGTATTCACGACTCTGGAACAATCTTTAGATACATAAAACCAGGCAAATACATTACATTTTACATATTCACCCTCATACATACTGCTTAGGCACTTTCTTTGACAACTTGATGAAGTCCTGTATTATTTTCAAGATGGATAGTATACACTTCTCGCCAGTAGGGGTCCCTCTTGTCTACAAGCCAATCAAGCCCAGAGGAAAACAAATAAACAGGCTTTGAACAGAAGGTGACCTCCACAATGACTTTCACTGACAACATTAATTAGGGCATAATACACAGCTTAATGAAGATTAAGATATTAATAAGACCGTATGGGTTCTGAGTCTGAATAACAGCCATGGATACATAAATCCATAACGACTTAATATTTATTTGATGTTTTCAATTTTGCTTTTGCCATTTTATCTCCCCAAATCTTTCTGCAACAATAGATGCAGCTCATGGTTTAAGACAGCAAGCTAGTGTCCTAACATGACCCAATCTGTCTTTGTATATGAAGCTCCTGTGAGAGTGTAGAGAACAGCACTGAGATTACAAAATCAATCAAATCTTTCTTAAAGTCCCATTGCCTTTCTTTTGTAACCTGCTCTCCGCTTCCTCGTGTAATGATGAATATAAGTTATTTTTGAATACACTGCTTCACCACTATATAATAGAGGCATTATGCACATTTGCAGAAGTACATCCCTCTCAGCATGCGGCATTGTGTTTGCTGCTTTTGCAATCATCAGGACAATGGTGCCTTTCGGGATGAAAATGCTTTAAATAAGTGAGCTTTCATGGTTTTTGGAGATACTGACACCCAGCTTTCCTTTTTTTTAAAGAATACTTCTCATAATATTTGATTCATTTAATTCAATTGACAAGAATAGCGCTTACATTATAAAGTAAGAGTTAGTTGCTGTAATAAAAGAGATGTTTTCATATTAATACATTAAACCCCAACCAAGCTTCTGGTTTCAGGCAGAGGGTGAAAAGAGGTGCTGCAGCAAAGGCAGTGTGAGAAAAAAGAAGCCATTTTTTTAACATTAAAGGTGGGGTAGGTCATTTTGGAGAAACCAGCTCGAGTGCGCTAGAATTTGAAAATACACAACCGGAAAAAATCTGCCACTTCCTTACAGAGCCCCTCCTCCAACACACACGAACGCGCACATGACCAATGAGGGCACAAGATAAGTTTATGCACAGATGGAAGGCTGACAGGCAGGCAGGCCATCCAGTTATTTTATCCGGGCCGACTAAAATGATTGGTCGTGCTTTTTACAGTACTACGGCTTCCACAGATGACATTTTTTTATGGATTTTTTGTCAAAGCACTTAAGATATTCATTGCTATCGGGATGTTAAGAGCATTCCATGGAATATAACAAAAAGTGTATCTCGAGCCGGTTTATCAAACGTACCTACCCCACCTATAAAGCATGTTAACTTGGCAGAAAATACAAATATGAACCTAAAAATGAGCATTAAAGGCCCCTAAATTCCATAGTACATCAGTGCCCAAAGTGTGTATGGAGAAACTGTAATTAAGTGATCTGACTGTACATACACTTGTGATATATGATCGACCAAACAACAAATTACCAAATAGATATTCACTTAATTATCTTTGTGGCCTTGTATATCCTCACACATGAATTCAGTCTGATGTTTGAGCGAATCATCTCACTGAGCAAGGGTAAAGGTTATAAATGATCTTTATTATAATCCTTGGAACAGCGTTCAGTACAGAGAACTTGCATTTTTTTGTTATGAAACCATTAGTTAATCTGTAAATGATAAACAAACTATATAAAACAAAAATAAAAAAGACAGTCAGTGTTAAACAGCCTTTCCAACACTTATATTCAACCAGACCATCGAAACGTTCTGTAGGATTAGCCTGCATATAATCATTAACCATGCATGTTAGAGTGCACTGTCAGGTGGCTTATTATGGCAAACAGGTGAAATAGTGACATGATCATTCAAAGTGTGAAAGAAGAGTGAAAAAGCATCGACCATACGCTCATCAGCTGCATCCTGCACACTTCCACAATACTGCTCACATGTGATTTTCTCCACTGGAGCTAAATAATATTTGTCAGTGATCACTTTTATGACCTGGAAATGACAATGGAAAATCTTAAGAAACAATTTCAGGATAGATTGAAAATCCAATTAGCAGGAAAATCCAGTTGGATTTAGATTACTACAAACATTGTGGGCGACTTTTCAGAGCTAATTCTTTGGCCAGAAATGTAATGAGAACATTTGCTGAGAGATGAACCCACTTCTTTTCACATTTCGCAGCAGAGGAAGGATCATTTGTTTTCTTCTTTGGTACCACAGTCCTTAAGCCCTGAGGCCAAGACGTTCCCAGACTTGTTAATGACTGCAACACTGCTAATTATCCCTGCTTTTCTCCAGGGTTAGAGCTCTTTATCTTCCTCATGCAAAGTCATCCTTACAGGTCTGCTACCAACACTTGAGCTTTTCGTGTAATTTGTGGAAGAATAAAACACATATCTGCTGTAATGGCCCTAAAAGTCACTTTATGCAACTTTTATACATTTTCCTGCACTAACTAGAGAACTTTGACAAAGTCGGACATTAAAGTGGCAAAATATTACTACTAGTTTCAGCTTATTCAGACCCGTCTACAGTACGTTTTAATATTATTGTTCTGCTTCTGTCCCTCTAATTAGACCTAAAAAAAAACATAACCAAAGATGAGACAGAGACAGACTGCATGATTCCCTTCATGAAAACACCATCGGATGGTTATTGCACATAATAAAACTGTTAGGAACAAAAAATACTCAAATCAAGCTCTCAGTAAAAAACATATGACTGATGCCACAGCAGTGGGAGGTATAACTATATCACAATGTTAACTATTGCTATTAATGACAGAATCCAGACGTCTGCAGGACTCCACCTGCTGATCAGTGAAGCAGATCAGCGCTCACGGCTCTCTCTCCAGTCTGTTTCTAAAGAGACCGCCACTCTCTTCAGCTACATAATTATACATTTGTCTCTTGTTAATCCTTCTTCCTTCCAGCACATTTCACACATTTTCTACATTACATTCTCACTCCTGATTCTTTTTCTTTTTTTTATCTGCACCAGTGACGCACTCTGTTCCAGATATTCTAAAAATGTTCAGCAGAAAGCAGAGTATTTGCATCTCCACGGCAGGATACATTTGGATGAGAAAAAGGAAATCGTTACACTTTACCCCGAAATGTACTATTTCATAATTCCTAATTTGGACATGCAACATTCGGTTGCTGTTTTCCCGTTATACTATCAAGCAGCGCTCATCACATAGATATATAAAAATTAAATTAAATTAAAATAAATAAATAAAAACATACATTGAAAAGTGCAAATGTACATTTGTTTACAGCATGACATACTCACTGTACAATCATTGATTATATACCCACATCGTTTTATGCATTATAATAAGGATTACTAAGTAGCATAGTTTAAGTAAGAAATATTTCAAAGCAAGTCTATTGGAAAATATTTGCATTGCCCTGCAACAAGGAGAGGCTCTTCTAAACATTGCCAAGGGTGTGTGTGTGTGGGGGTGTGTGTGTGTCTTTGTGTGGTTGTGTGTGTGTGTGTGTGTGTGTGTGTGTGTGTGTGTGTGTGTGTGTGTGTGTGTGTGTGTGTGTGTGTGTGTGTGTGTGTGTGTGTGTGTGTGTGTGTTGACATATGGGTGTATGTGCAAACAATGAAGCAAAGTGAAGGCAACTCAAATCATTCTATTTCAGAGGCACGAAAAAACTGCCCAGCCAGCGTTTCAAGATATCTAGCATTGTTTAGGACAACACACATCTGTCAGACGTCAGCAAAGCAGAGGGAAAGAGGAGTTAGGGAGGAGGCAGCTAAAGAGTCATACAATGAGAATGAGTGGAAACAAGCAGTTCAAAAAACTGTGTCGAAAGAGTGACACCGAATAGACTTTTTTAACCATAACAGCTTGTTGCACTTCGCCCCACTCTCTCTGTGCAGCAGCTTTCTGTCAGGCTGGAAACAGCAGTCATGCAGGCTTTCTGAATGCTTCCACGATGATGGTGAACGTGTTATATTATGGTAATGAATCACAGGCCTGGGTTCTACCACCGTCAATGGTAGGGCTGCAAAAATGATTCAGTGGTTTGTTAAAGTCTCATTCTGTAAAGAAAAGCCATAAAGTTCAACGTCCTGGTACCTGATGAGATGTTTCTACAGAAGAGCAAGACAAGTTTTCTGTTCTGGCACTGTGAGTTTGCTTTTCCTGATGGCCTTTTGAGGATGTCCGTCTTGAGATCTGGTTCCTTGATAGGTGCTGATGTGGAGTCGGATGTGATGATTGTCTTTCCAGGCATTGGATTGAGAAGCTACGCGATATTGGACACTCCGGCACCAAGGTACTATGGCTCCCCATAAACCCGGAGGCTTCAGCTTATGATTCACTTTCTCGGACTGGCCACAATTTCTCAGTTTAAAGAGACATGCTTTCTGTTACTTTGTTGGGTATTCTGTTTATGTATAGCGCAGATAGTTTCGGAAGGTAATGGTGATTTGAAAAATACTATTACCTGTAGGATAAGGGATGTTCCCTTTCTTCCAAAAACAAACCGTTTAAAAGATAATATTACACTGTACAGTTTGGTGTTGCAGCACAGCTTCGGATGTTTTTTATGAGCTGGACTTGTGTATGTCTTTGTACATGTACTGTATGAAAGTTTGAGACAAAGAATGAAGACATTATATGTTTGCTAACTATCTCACACTGGTGGGATATGTGCAAGCATCCAAATCCATCCGCCTCCGGACGTCTTAACGCTCTGACTTGACCTTGTAGCGCAGAACCAGGTAAGTTGCCAGTCTGAGGGCCAAAAAGAAACCCCCCAGCACCATGAAGTCGACATAGAGCTTTGCATCCGCCACATTCAGCAGCTGCAGGACCTCCTCCGGTTTTTGGAACTTACACACCACGCCCGGGCACTCCAGCTCCGACCGGTTCATCCCGTAGATGGAGAGTATCACCCCCTCAAAGCCGTACCTGAGAGTGGAAATGGTTAACTTGTGAACCTAGGTTCGTTCAAAGAGAGTTATGTCACATCATAGAAAGCCTGAACACTAAGATCAATGGGCAAAGCGAATTTAGCAACTCTTTTAAAATGCAATAAGTTGATGACAGTACCTGACATAGGAAACATACGAGCTCCACTGTAGGTATTTGGGAATGGTGTCAAAATTGACAAAGAAGCCAGAGAAGAGGAGTACTGGTATGGCTGTGACTGGACCCACAAAGGTTGCCACCTGTGGAACAAATGCGTAATATTTAATAAAAAACTGGCACAGGGAAACATCTTGTCAGTATATACTTATATAATGTGTTTCTCTGCCGTTAAAGTAATGAGTTATATTGCTATGTTACTTCACCATCGTAACTCATCAGCTGTCCCTCACTTCAGCAGATACATATGAAAACATTATAATAATAATAATAATACATGGGATTTGTATAGAGCTTTTCCTAATGCTCAAAGACGCTTAAATAAAATCAGAACAGAAACAAAACAAAGGAAACATAAACAACAACAATGTGACATTACTGGACATAAAATACACACTGTTTCCACACATTCATGTAAATATATCTAATATGTATATATGACCCAACATGTATATATGTTCATTTTAATTCATCTCTTATTTCATAGTTTTTTATAATTTTTTTATTTTTATCTTTGATTTTATCTTCAATTTTATGAATCTGTGTGAATCTGGGCTGTCCTGTTTTTCATCCTTACCCTATATTTATATAAGGTCCATCTTATCTTGTCTTATCTTATCTTAAACAATAGTCATTCATAGTCAGAACATTCTTCTTGTGTCAAACTGCACATACATTACATTTCACAGTGAAGGTCAAACACCAAAGTTAAGTAACGAAAAACCAAGCATATGTGTATAGGAAGGGGACTTTAAGCCTACCTGCAGAGATGAAGATGCAGCCCCTATAAGCAGACCGAGGGATTGGGCCACTAGGGCCGTGGAAGTGGACAAAGCCATAAAGAGCAGGTAGCGACTCGCCTCTGGAGGCTGCTCAGTCATCCAGTACACAATACTACAGTAAATGATCGGACAAATCACCTGTAGAAGAGATTGTGTAGTTTGAAAAACACTGTACTCCAATGTCCAAACCATTGTGTGCACAGTTATACGAGCATTACCTGGAACGGTATGTCAGCCATGGTTTTGGCCAAGTAATAGGCTTTCAGGCTGTACCAGTAGTTGAGATGTTCCCGCATGAAGACGGACATCTCCAGAGGAACTGGGGAACAACAGCAGCGTTAAAAGACTTCAACAAGAACACTGCAAATCAAAGTTTCCAAACTCTCAAGAGACAGAGCATCTTACATGTTAGGATGGTGGGCATCAGGGCAGCAAACATGAGGAACAACATGGAGAAAAAGAGGAAGCCAGTGTTGTTGAACACCTTGCTGGCATCATTTCCAATCTTGAGATAAAGCAAGCCAATCAGCACTCCAATAAAAATATGGGACATCACCCTTAGGTGGGTCAGCACCTTGAAAACAAACAAACCAACATCACCACGACTGAAAAGCCCATTGATTATTTTATAACAGTGTGAGTTTGAGCAGGGATAGTTATATATAATTATTATTACCATGTCCCTGCATATCGTAATGAAGGTTCTTTTGAAGAGGATGCAGAACTGTGTGAATGTACTGGTAGCAAAGCTATGTTTCTCAAGGGTTCCTGTCTCCTGTGGAGAGAAATGGGGACAGCGAGGAGTTAGTTATGTGATACACACTCGATACAAGAAAACTGTTAGCAATAAAGATCAAAGAGAACATCATACCCTTTCTTACGGCACGGTGCAAACAGTAGAAGAATATAAATGCACACATCTGCAACACTAAGTGATTATAAACGGCAGATATTTTTAGCGGGAGAGGAAAGCGACCAACGTTATAATAACATCTGAAATTAGCATTCAAAGACAATATTTAAAAAAAAACACCATAATCCCTGCGCAGAAAAATCCAGATAGATAGAAAGGGCAACAGAGAAAATCCATAAATTGACGATATGTTTAAAGGACTAACAGGGCAAAACTGCACCATGCAGGAGTAATGGTATATCAAAGTGCTCTTGGTGGTTTACATTTACCATTTTAGCATTTAGCTGATGCTATTATCAAAAGTGATCTACGAGGTGGAGAAAGAAAGAGTGAGAGGAAGCTGAGCGAGGCGGAGGAGACGGATCGATAGAGTGGAGCAGAGGAACAGTTTGGATCATATAGACAGGAAAGATTTAAGGGTGTTTTGTTTGGATCTAACATCATTCCCTGTGTGCTCAACTTTGATGTTCTTTTTCTTGCTGTAAAAAACGTATGTGAACCCCAAAAGTGTTGTGATACGAGTACTGTAGGTCTAAATGGATGCATCCAATGCTATTATGTGAAAATGCATGGTCGGCAAAAGGGTCTCTTTTCACCCTCTGTCTGAAACCAGAGCCCATTCTGCTCTGATTGGTTAGCTGGCTCTGTTGTGATTGGTCAATGGCTTAAAAATGTCCCGCCCCTTAATGTATCACGTACAATGTGTTGGAGCGCTAGCCAATAGTAGCGCGAGTGTTAAATAGTGATGTCATTATGTTACAGAAGTAAACATAGGAGTCAAATGGAGGCTGGGGGGGGGGGGGGGGGGGGGGAGAGAAACTTTGGGATTTTAGCCTTTGCAGACATGCACAAAAACCTATATAACACACTACAGGAAAGAGAAAACCCCAAAAGCGTAAAAGAGCCCCTTTGAATAAAACCAAAAGGTGTGTTACTTGAAGAGAAGGGTGGTTTTACTCACACTGGGACATGTCGAGGGACATGAGGAGTCACTTTTGTCTCCGGAGTTCTTCTTGCTCTGATCTGAGCACAGTCCACCCTGGACCGCCTCGAACAGAATTGAATTCAGATCCCCATACTCCCCTGACGCCACCTCGATGACTGTGGACGGAGAGGACACGATGGTCAGAACAACAACACACACACACACACACACAGACGTACGTAAGGAGATGCTTGACTTACTGAAGTCAGCAGGATTGTGATACGTCGGGCAGTGGAGGCCCAGGCTCTTCAGATAAGGGATGAGGTAAGGGACCGTGCCCTTGTATATGCACTGACCCTGACTGAGGATGTACAGCTGGTGAGGGAACACAGGTACAGAGTAATCAACATTGTTTCCAACACACTGACTCTCTGAATAATATATGAACGACTGACAAAACAACAGGCCTGCGTATCGACTCCTACGCAGCTGGACAAAATGAATCATGCTAACCAGCGCCCGGGCTAATGGAAATATAGACGTGTCCGGCACTATAAGCACTCAAGTTACCTTATCAAACATCTCAAAGAGCTTGGCACTGGGCTGGTGAATGGTGCAGATGATTGTCCGTCCTCCCAGAGCCAGAGACTTCATGAGGGAGACCACCTGGTAGCAGGACGAGCTGTCCAGACCACTGGGACGCAAGGAGAGACAGGAAACCAGACAGATCGATGTGTTAGAGACAGCTTTTCGGCATTAAAAAACAAACCACTGATATTGATGCAGTCTGGAACCCATTCATTGATACATTGAATTCATAATCCTCAATCCGATGTCAGCCACCACCCCTTTCTACTTCTTTAAGGTCATGCTACTATTTACATATCCCCCCCCCCTAAAATACATGACTATTATATTGTTACTCATATCATTTTAATTATAACTTTGTCATTTATTACTCTCTTTTTGTCTAATCCCTCAAACGCACGCACGCACGCACGCACGCACGCATGCACCCATGCACGCAACATAAAAGAAAGAAAGACAATCCTAGTTTGTTTATTATATTATTTGTGTTATGCTTCCTTTGTTTAGATTTGTTCGACTATTGCAAAGGCCTATTTTCTTTGTTGAATGTGTGTGGAAAGCTTTTTATCCTTTTTTTGATAAACCACGAGACGCATTACTTCAACACATCATCTGAAGCCAAACAAGCAATCATTACTCTGAGGTAAACCAATTAAATAAAAGATAACGCATTAGAAATGTCTAGTTTTAAGCCGCGAATACATGCACCCTTTAATCTGGAAATGAAAATACACTCCCTCAAAGTAGCTGAATATTATCCTACCTGGTGGGCTCGTCAAAGAACATGACGGGCGGGTTGTTGACCAGCTCCAGGGCGATGGCCAGTCGTTTACACTGACCTCCAGAGATAGCGTTGGTGCGTGTCTGAGCGCACTCCTGCAGACCCAGAGCCGTCAGGATCTCATCCACCTGCACACACACAGAGACGGATGTTCGTACATGATGACACCTAACTGATGAGAGTCCTACAAATGACTTTCATGGTGTGAGTTTCATTGACAAATACGGGCCTCTTTGTTTGTGTTGATTCACCTACACTGTGACAGTAGAGGGTGAATTAAATATGAACCTATTTGTATGATAAGATCTTTAGTACATATCAGTTCATATAAATGGTGCCTGGTCACCTTACCTTCAAAATGACACGCATAATTTAATTTCCTATTCAATCTTTGCCGATAATTCATGTGTGTTTTAGTGTTTAGGATGGACTAGGGTATTAATGCCATATTTTCTTTATTGTATTCGAAGACAATCTGTACACATCTATTCCAGATTTAATTACATTTGGATATTCTTTTCCAGAGATACATTTGGTAAGGCTGTCCCTTTTGGAGAAGCCTACATTTTTTGTTATTTAGGTTTTGGGGAGGATCCACATTACAAGCAAATAGACTCATTTTGCAATAAAGTAAATGTATAAACCATCCATTTCAGAAACTAAATACATTAAAGTATATGAAGCTAATGTTGTTGCTTAGTTCTACATTGGATAGGGGTATGTATGAAACTAAAGCCAAGAAGGACCTCGCTGCAGAGAAGATGGACATCAACGAGGATTGTTATCAATAATGTGTTATAATAACTAGTGAAAGAACCAGATGAAAAGGCCTCTAATGGCGTATACAGTGAAACAGATAGCTTACAAAATGAGTACATCATTATGTTGATACACAAATCCTGTAAATCCATTATAACCATACATTTGGCTGGCTCATCAATATGCAATTACACACATGACAAGACATTACATGGATAGGTACTTTGCTATACTCTTGCCCATAGTTGAAATATTGCAATGTAAATACAATCAATATATATTCAGACTTACAAGTTCCTTTTTGACCTGCATGGACTCGTTCAGCTTCAGATTGGCAGAAACCTGAAGACAGAGAGAAGTCGGCACGTTAATATTCCACATTAGGATTTAATGAGGTGTTTGTTTTCTGTTATCTTTAGAGGACATTACCATCATGGCCTCCCGCACGGTGAGGTGAGGCAGCAGCATGTCGTCCTGCATGATGTAGCACGACATCTTCCTGAAGGTCCTCAGGTCCCTCGGCCGGCCGTTCACCTTGATCTCCCCCTTCATGCCCGTCTCTCTGTTTCCCACAAGAAAATATAATGATATTTGTTAGAAAAATATCACTCGTCACCGGCTTGAGCTTCAATAATCAGGATACATGTATTTATTATCCTCTCCAGAATGGAAGTAGTCATCATACAGAGCATCAACTAGTTCCTGAACAGTGTCCTTCACATGCTGATATCCAAGAGAGGGAGTTACACAGTCACAAGATGGAGGAATATAAAGCAGTATTCAATGTTTACTTCAGATTAGCTCCACGTCAGAAATGATCATGCTTGTCATATGTCTATCTCCATAGAGGCTGAATCATCATGTTAATCACATAGCTATCATATGCCTAAAACAGTCCTGATGCTCTTCTAGGTAATCATACATCCTGTCATGTACACAGCTACAGTTGGGATACCTTTGTTATCATGTGCTACTCTGATATTGGAAGAGTACATTCAGTATTTCCCCAACAATATTGCTGCCATTTTCTAAGCTCTAAATTAAATCAAAAGTACGATTCTTCTAATCTATATCTTACCTGTACCCCGCCAGGATATTCATCAGAGTGGATTTCCCGGCTCCAGAAGGACCCATGATGCCGATCAGCTCTTTGTTTCTGAATCTTCCAGACAGACACTTAAGTAAGGCTTTGTAACCTGACAAAGATAGGAGAAATATATATTATTTATAGTGGTGACATTGCTCTGAAATTGCTCTTATCAATAATTCTCAGACATTTTTATGTAACTTAATCTAAAACAATGAGCTTTAAAGTGATTTGTTAAATGTAGTTATATGTTTCTAGCCAATTTACTAGATTCTAATTAATATTTATTGTGTGGAAAATATTTCTAGTGTCTTTTTCACATTCAGCAATCACTGACAAAAAGGAGACAATATTGGAAAAAGAAAGCAGGGTGAGAAAAGTTACAAAATTAAGCACAATAACAATAAAACATGTAATAAAAGTGAGGGAAAAGTCAACCTGTTACTGAAAGCATGTTTTACTCACACATTACAGGGCAGAACAGGGCAACTATTGAGGTATGAAATGACATGTATCGTTTATTTATACCCTATATTCTTCCATTGGTTTACAGTGTACTCATGTGGGAAATTACTAAGAAAGATTTAGAGCCATGAGAATGGATGTGTGCTCCTTACACAAATAAAACAGCTGACACAATATTAATTTACATCCTGTATTCAGTTTGCGTTTACCCAACAGTTATATAAGTCATGGTCCATCTGCTTTATCATGTATAAGTCTGCTCACTTAAATATCACCTTCATAACATGCCAGTGGGAAAATAAAGCAGGTTGAAAAGCAGAATAGCAGTCGAGTGTAATGACCTGTTTCTATTGTTGTCACTTACTGAGCTCTGTTGCACAGTGACACAAGTGTTTCTGCAGATCATTATGCAGACACTGAGCCTAATTTCTCTCCAGCAGAGAAGGTCACAGCCTATTAAATCTGAGTACAAGGAACCATGATGCAAGGCCACTGATGCTGCGGATCTGCAAAATTAGCAGGCTACACTACAGCAACGTTTTTCTTCTAGAAATTGTGTATTTTAGGAGCAACAATCAGATGGATAGATAGTCTGAAGTGTAAAGAAGATGCCAATGTCATATTTGAAACAACGTGTACACCCACCCACTCAGGTAACAACCCTTTTGTATGCAATTGATATATTTTTCTTAAAGGCACCATGTGATTTTTAGAGTTTTCCCTTTCCTGTAGTGTGTTATATAGCTTTTTGAACATTAAAGCATGCAGACATGTCACAGTAGAGGCACACAATACTAATATTAACCTAAAAATAAGCATAATATGGCCCCTTTAACACACTGACACAATAATTACTTTTTCTTGGATGTAATATATGTATTTATATAATATATTTGTTAAACAATTAATTAGGAGAGTTAGACAGACACATTTGTGCAAGCTGTTATTTATGTCTAGGGAAAATAAATAATTCAAGGTGAAGTTTGCTGCAGAGAATACAAAGCTTGCATTTTATGTAGCTGGGTATCAGGTGTGCTGCGAGACATTACTGTAAAACAGAAATAAAAAAATATATATATATATACAAGACTAGATCATTGCTCCCTAAGTGGCGCCAGGAGATGAACCACAGGCTGTAGCGGTTTTAAAAAAGGTTGAAGTTGTGTGGCCTTCTAATGAGGATGGCTCAGGTTTTAACACTTTCAGAACTGACAGATTCTGAAAGCTTCCAGATATCGAAAGTGCAGGAGCCCTCACCCATTTCTCCACTGTCTTCAGGGATGCTTCCTCCTGTCTCAAGCGTTGTAATTAGGGTCTCAACAGAGCCGCCAGCCCCCTCAAACCCTCACTCTGGGAGTAAAGTATAGCCTAATGGCCCCCTCCTCCCACGCAGTGTTATTACATCAGACAGCCTCCACTCAGACAGCAGAGCGGCCTGCTGTCAGGAAGCAGCCCTGCTCTGGCATGTGCTGCATACTGATGGTCTAACCCGGTGCTGGGAGGTTGTGCATAATAATGGACTTATCTGTGAGAGCCACAGAGGAAACAGCTCACCTCACTGTCAAAGACACGGCGATGTAACAGCATGTGACAGTGTACATCCAGTCTGATCTCAAAGGATGTTTCACAGTAATTGTTAGACAAATGATTATGAGTCACAATTGAGGTGGATGGCACCCTCAAATTGGTTGTTTGAAAGAGATGTCAACTCAAATCTCTCACTTGGATTATAATGTGTTCAAAAGTAGTTATTTCTCTCTTTTTCAATGAATCGTTTCTTTACTACATTTCTTTAACCCTTCTATTGTCTTCGTTCCCCCCCCCCTTACTTTGGTGTTTGCGGTCAAATTTGACCGGTCCTGTTTTAGCTGCTATTACATTAACACAAAAACCATGAATCAACACCAAATGTCATTTAACACCCTTTCAAACTGTAAATATTGTATCAGACTACTGGTATACATGAAAAACTGCAGTAAATATACAAAGAATAGACACTGAACATGTATTGCGTGTGCCAGGTGTGATTCACATGGGGGGATGGGCACATAAGGGGGGGGACACACATCTAGTGTATGTGTGTGGGTGTGGGTGTGGGTGTGGGTGTGGGTGTGGGTGTGGGTGTGGGTGTGGGTGTGGGTGTGGGTGTGGGTGTTTGTGTGTGTGTTTTATCTGATCCCGATGGTTACTAATTCCTTTTCTTTATGGTGGGAACATCATGGGTGTTACAAAGTTGACTAAATCATCCAAAATTCAATGAAAGTGGTGATCAGCAATTGTATATGTTCAAATGTCTACTGTGAAGGATATCATAAAGCCTTAATGCAATCGAATGTAAAACAAAAAAGTTATGATTGATGGAAGTAGTAAATCGGTCAGATTTGACCCGAAGATAACAGGAGGGTTAAAGGATAGACAAATCTGGCGAATAGGCTCAATGATAACCTTTGCTGGAATGCAATTAAAATACTAGTACCTTTTTTATTTGTACATATTGTATTATTTACCTTGTTAAATAAACTATATGCAAACATCCAAAGGTAGTGGTTGCTCCTTGAATCTAATCCTTTTCGCCCCAACAGAATTATAACCTGTTTACATAAAATGCAGTCATGTGCACATGATAGATACATGTTTAAAAGACTAGACCACAGATTAAGCATTCACTTGTATGTACTTTTGGATGTAGATGTGCAATAATTTATCATCTTTTTCACCCCACACTGTGTTTTTCCTTATCAAAACCTTGTGCCTACAAAACCAACAGTGCGATCAGTTCTGTTGGAGGATCAGGTGCATGATGCTAGTCTAGTTATAGAGGTGTGATACTGTCTGCAGACTTTTTTCTAACTCGTCTCAGCGGGCAGATTTTCCAAAACATGGTCTTAGGCTCCAACTGACGCTGTCTCATGTGACATCACCAGAGACAATTTACCAGATTGCACAGCACCCTCTGGAGCCACAAAAGGTTTTACACAACACTTTCAATTACATGTAACAGGCTTTGATGTGTAAAAGTTGGACGTCTCTTTTAAGTAGGGCTATTTAAACTTCAGTTAACTGCATAAATCAAGCCCATTTGACTCACCATGGTCAGTTGCAAGCAGCTTTAGAGAAAGGGCCACGTATTTTAAACAAATCCACACACTGAAGAATGAAAATGACAGGATGAAAGAAACCAAAATGAAACAATAAGATCTGTCTCGTGCCCTAGATCATTTTCTAATCTTACATCAGTACATTTAGCACATCCTCTGTATCAGGGCCGTCCCTGGCCAGCATGAGGCCCAGTGGCGGCGCCAGGGTATGGCTGGGGTAGGCTACAGCCATACCAAGAAATGGCTTAGCCCCACCTTAGCCCCACCATGAAAAGTGATGTTAAAGTAAGCAAATTCAATTAAATAATAAGCTAAATGCAAAATGTTGAGAACACGGATTGCGAAAATATACGGGTCGTGTCCACAACACACAAACTGATCCTGCTGTAACAACAAGTGCACGTTACTGATGCAATATGGTTGAGACCATTCGGGTTTATAGAAGAGGGGTGCAAGGAATAGTCTAAGTCTACTGATTGAGATCAATCGGAACCGCCATTCAGTATCCCTATTGGATCTTCAACGTGTACTATCATACGTCCGTTCACAGTGATCCCTTTCTATTTACTATAAGACAAATGTGCCGTTTTATTTCATACAGTTCCATTTTGATTGAGAAAGGGAAATAATCTAAACCTCACGTGTGGCATTTCACTGTTTCACGGGGTGCGATATAGCGTGTATGTAATTCAATTGCAAATACTGACTTGAGCACCACCACTGTATGGGTTAGCCCTACCATAGATTACCCAACAAAAATACCCTGGCGCCGCCACTGATGAGGCCCCACGCAAAGTTATATGATGTGGCTCAGTTGAGGCTCCCTCCGCAAGGTGAGGCCCCATCCGCAAGGTGAGGCCCCCTCCGCAAGGTGAGGCCCCCTCCGCAAGGTGAGGCCCCCTCCGCAAGGTGAGGCCCCCTCCGCAAGGTGAGGCCCCACGCAGTCTGCATGATCGGCCTGGAGGGACGGCCCTGCTCTGTATAAACTGCAACCATTCTTCACAAGATAGAGCATCACTTTGCCTTCTGTTTCACCCTGTCTGACCATAGGTTTAACATTACAGGACAAATAAGCAAACATTATAGTTAAAATAACAATTATTTTTAACTATCTTCAATGTCTTTATGAATTGCCTTTTCATTTTTGCTTCATTTGAATTGCCTTGAAATTAGCTATATAGATAAACTAACCTTAACACAACACTGCTTTCATTTCAAATCCAATTAAACCTTATCGTACATTTTCATAACCGTTCTGCAAGAAAATGGCACAACGCTGGTGGAGAGGTTATCATAAATCATTTTGTGTCACGGTCATACATTTGAGTTATGGTGTGCAGGCATGGTGATGAATTTTAAAGCCAGTCGAAGCATGTTAAGTAGAGGATGTGATTTTATCTGTAAGATGACCGCTCTTCTTCTTCCTCCTCCTCACAAATGAGCAATGCAGGTGCAGAGACGCACTTGGAGTACAAAACAAGAGCGGAAATCACCTAAAGGCATGTAAACATCTCCTGCTCTCCTTTCACTCCCTTCCCTTCCCCTTTCCTGACTGGGGTAGTGTTTCACCAGCGAGGAGAATACCTCACCAGGAGGAGAACACCCTCAACATAAAAAGCAGGTCATAGCAACTCCATCCTGACGGAGATTAACGGCCACCCTCGCCAGGAGACATCCACAATAACAAATGGCGGGCAGCTCATACAGCACCTTTATGCCCTTTGACAATAAAATAAACGACTCCTTTTACACTATCTTCCGCTTGGTAATCTCTTCCAGGTCGACCGCAGACATTTTAAGGAATGACTCATGCATAGTGTGTCAAGGACTTATTAAATTACAAATAAAGTGCATTGTTCACGTCACCCTTTTTTCCTCTACAAGCTGTGTAATTGCACATAAGTCAGCAGGAATAACATCAAATTAAGTGTTCTTTTAGGGAGTAATCATCGACTTCTTGAGCCGCAGCAGAACAACAGCCTTTTAGCTCTGTGTCATTTATTTTACAGCTTTGATCAGGCAGACAGGAACTGCAGTGGATCAACTCTGAGCTCAGCTTGTGAAATGAGACCTGAACACAGACAAGTCCCTCAGAATCTACAGGATGTGTGAAATGTGAGCAACACACTGACTATATTATTTCATGTGAGTGGCAGAGGTAATCGCAGGGCAGACAGGGGTTATGAGGAGCACGCTGTATGTGACAGGGGGGTTTGGGAAAGAGAGTGCGAGCATCTCGATGAAAGGCAGCGCTTCATTAGTAAAAGCTGAGGCGCTTCCTGCTCACACATCATCAGCCTGATGATGCACTTTATTTGTCGTAGCTGCTATATACTGCCATGTGGTAAATGCTTGTATATGCTGCTCATGCTCTTTCTGTATGTCATGTATTTATTGTTGCTATGTATATAAATGTCATGTTCTTAAATGTTGTATGTGAGGGAAAATCCGGCATATTTACATTTGAAGCATTATTTGTTTAAAGTGTTCATCAATGTGCATTGTCCCTGTTCAAATAAACAATTAAATGAAATTAATGAAATGAGCAGAGGCAGGCAGGGAAGAGACAACATAAACAAAAAGGGGAAATCACAGGTTGATCTTATGAAAGCATTAAAGGTCTCCTATTATACTGTTTTTCATCAATATATTATAGGTCTCAGATATACACAAAACATGTCTCTGATTGGCTCGAAACACCAAACAGATCATTGTAGCATCCCATAATCCCCTCTGTTTCAGCCCTGTTTCAAAAGTGCTGATTCTGTGTCTGTTACTTTAGATGAAAATAAGGAGCCACTCCCCACGCCCCTCTGAGAGATATTTGGTTAAAAAGAACTCAATGGTGCTCTAGGAGGAGATTCAGGTGATACGGTGGGGGGGGTTACCTTGGTTTGTGATTGGCTAATGGTTACACAAGCCAAAAAATCGTTATGACATCATAAAGTGGCCAAAATCTGATCAGCTCATTTTCAGACAGGTTTTTATATAAATGGATCAGGACAAAAAGTGAGAGAATCTTTTTTCCTGAAACTTTCAGAGTCTCTTTACACAGAGGGGACACATGTTTATAAAAGACATGAAAAGGTGGATTTTGCACAATAGGTGACCTTTAAAGGGAAAAAACATGTGCATCAAAAAGCTTTCTCGCTGTGATCCTCCTCATGAATGCTCTCCATATATTCAGGTTCTAGAGCGAAACTACAAACACTCCTGCGCCGGGCTTTCATGATGCACATCAATATTACACAAGACTGAAAATAGCATCCTGTAAGGGCCTCCTATACTGTGTGGTGGGGCAACGTGAATAAAGGAGTGCTCTCGAGTCCCCACCCTGCTAAATATACAGAGAAGAGAGGGTTATAGTGTACAGAGTGCTGGTTGAGTTGACAAGCAAAGATGACCAAAGGTTGGGGGCTCATCATAAATAATGGTGGTAGGTTGGAATGCTGTTAATATTTCATGAGCCGATCAATCGTGGGGCTGCCATCGCCCGTCGTCAGACAACACGGGGAAAAGAGAGGAGAGCAGTGTGCCAACCTGAGAGCGTAAATTATTTACTATGTCTAAACTCTGCTGAGCGCAGCAAAGCTCAGGCCTGCAACAACATGGTGGAAAAACTGCAAGCGTGTGTGTGTGTGAGTGTGAGTGTGAGTGTGAGTGTGAGTGTGTGTGTGCGTGCGTGCGTGCGTGCGTGCGAGAGAGAGAGGAAAGGGCTTGGCTACATGTGTCCGAACAAAAGAGCAAAGCAACAGAGACAGAATACCGCTGAGGGGAACAAATATTTGTCTTAAATGTCACAAAGGCTATTAAATGCCTCCCTTGAAATTTCTGCTCTCCAGATATCGATCACCATGGGTGGTGCTCGCTTGCTCCTCATCCATCATGGTAACTATGTGAGCTGTGTACAGTACCTCTCCTCCTCCACCAGGGGCCCTCCCGGATGGTGTAGGACAGCTCGTTGAACTCCAGGTCCACAGCAGAGCGGCGTGGGAGGTGGGAGAAGCGCTGAGCCTCCGTGATGTGGTTCTCCACCTTCTTCAAGTGGATGAGCAGCGGGGCCTCCGGAGGCGCTCCACTGGGAATCTTGGTCTCCTCCATGGGGATGCTGACGGGGACCGGATCAAGAGTCCTCTCAGCCATGATGAAGGCTGCAAGGAGGACAAACATGGCAGTGTTTAAAACTGTTTCCACTCCACTCATAGAAGGAGCCTCAGAACATGCGATGCTGATTACGCACCTTCAAGATGCGTTAAAGCTAGGTCAATAATTAAATTAGTCAATAATCAGGACAAAATTATGTGGCCAAGGGAACCATTACCATCATTACAAAACACTCTGCTATATAACATGTGCAATATTATTACTATTATTATTATTATTATTATTATTATTAATAATAATGTTCGATAAATAACGTGCAATTACGTAGCCTAACTACCACTACGGTTTGTGCACTACTAAATACTAAATACTGTGAACATTTACATTCATTATGTGACCATCTATGCTTCCTGTTATTGAATTGCTCTTTTTACTGAACTGTTAGTGTATATTATTATTGTGTTGCTGATGTGTTTATTGTATTTTTGTAACTCTGGCACAACAATTTCCTTCGGGATGAATAAAGTCCTATCTTATCTTATCTTATTGATTAGTTTTGTTTTTTAGTTGGTTCATTGGCTGATCCTTTGCAAACCGGTGCCTCAGCAGATGTGGTAGGTTGCAGAAATGGTTTTAGGATGACTGCAGACACCATCTTGAAACAAGGTGATGGATTTGATCTGATTACACTTTATTTTATGGACTGGCTGAGGGGAATGAGATTTTAAGTGTGAGGGGTTGGGATCTGGTTTCAGTCCTGCAGCATACTCAATCTGCTGATTCACATACATTTCCTTTTAGGCAAGGCGGCTCATCTGAAGTGTTTTTTAAACCATAGTGGCTGCTGATCCATTAATTTTGTAATATTAGGAAACTCTTTCTTCTTCTCAATATTTCCATACTGAAGATGTGTGATAGTGGCTGAATCTTGTTATTATTTCATTAATTCAACAACAGAAAATATTCCTGTATTAAATGAAGGAGGATTATGTGCATGATTCAAATTAGTACATTAGTAGTCCGAGCTGTAAAGAGCCTTATAGGTTGAAAGTTTATACCTGGAAATGCAGTCAAGAAAAGTAATTATATGTGAGATTCATTGTAAAGCAACTGTGGGAATGGTGTGAAGTATTAGGAAAATAATATCAAAACCACATTTTTGTGTCCAAACAGTTGGGACACAGTTGGAAAAACCTCATATTCATTTACATGAAGGCCTAAGATTGGCATAAAAATGCTACCCCAACCAAATAAATTATAACGAAACACAGAAATAAACACAACAATGGCTGTGTGGGTCCGAGATACATTACTGAGGCTTCGGTTTTATAACATATTCACACCAATTCATCTATTGCCAAAGTTAAGATTAGCTCGGGTGCATTTATCCTCATAAAAAGATCCTCTTGTGACACCATTCATGTCAGAATCAAGGTTCCTGTGGTAAATACCGACTGATATGGCACAGTCAACACTGTATACAAACATCCACTGCTATGCAATGCCACATAGTCTTGTATTGTCCATCTGACCAATGTGCAGTAAAATCTCCTCATGTGAGGAGGCCCAGTGAAGGAAATTGACCATGGCTCCTATTGATCACCCTGCCATTAGTGAACTTCCATTACCAGCCTGCATATAAGCTCAGTAAAACCCTGACAGGCTGTAATGGCCTCTCCGTCAGATTGGAGGCCTCCTTGTTCTGTAATGCCGCCCTAAAGCTAGGACATGTGAGCACACACACGGCCATCATTTTAAAGTCTTCCATAAGGGGATGAAATATGGTTATTAAATGTGGCTTTGCAGTGGTGTGGCGACTCTGCAGTGACTTCAGTCAGAGAGCAGGGATGCTGCCAGCTCTCCAAAAAGCACCTGTTAACAACAAACTGATGGGAATGAAAACATGAGACACTATTTATGCAAAATGAGGAAAAAAGATGCATTTAAAACAAAGGTAGATGAGTCATATGATTCTGAGGACAAATATAAGGCTTTACCAGTCAGTCCCTAAAATGTGTTGCATTGCACACACGCACACACAAATTGCACATACTTCTTATTGTGTTGACAGGTGAGATGCTCCTGGTCCTCCTCTCTGGTTCAGAGCAACAGTGCTCAGTTGATCCTTTTAGTCAAAACGGCACAATCCCGCCACATCAGAAGATCCTCCAAAACAGTTAGTCAATGCAAACAAATAAATCAAAAAGAAAACAAGATGCTCACTGTGCGCCACAGTCCAGGAAAAATCCGGTTTGGCTAACAGGCGTTTAATGACAGAGCTGTTTGATCACCTTATCAATATATCTCGGGGTGCGGCGTGCACCATCTCGCATCCACTAAAGCAACTCTTGAGATTAAAATCATGTCCGGCCTCAAACTACGACTGCATACCCGAGAATCGTCAGGGGAGCAGGATGCCTGTCATGGTTTTCCTCCTGGCTAAGATTATTCCTTTCATTGAATCCATCCGATCCGAACTCGCATCGAAATACTCTCACACATCCTCAGCAGCAGTGATAATGACTATCTTCAGTCCCGGTGTTAGGGATGGAACAAAAAGAGGCGACCAGCTCTGCAGATGCTTCAGCAGCAGCTCCGTTATCTCTCACCGGGCAGTGCGTCTGTGTGGTACGCACGCCGGTCTGGGATACAGGGCGTTGCTGTTTGCTGGCAGGATGCTACTGGAGGGGGGGAAATAGTGCTTTGGTTTTGAACGTTTCATCCAAATCCTCCTCCCAACCCTATGTATAATAACCAGGAGTGGATAGGGCATTATGTTAATTCACTTAGTTGATAATAGTCCATTTTAGGTCCATTTAAGGATATGTTAAGGATTCCACATTGATCAAAGGTAATGGGAGTGACAAAAAAGTTAGAGTTAATTCAAAGTTCATTAAGGTATTCCGGATAAGATTAGCTAATTTAATCAAATTAGCCCCCCAGGTGCCAATTTAAACCTTGTAAGTATATTATGGAGATACTTGAGGCTGCTGTCTCTGGGGAAATGAGATGAAAGGGAATACATTAGGATAAAGCTCTCGTGCGCATTGAAGTTTTTTTTAATTCTCGTGTTTCCATACAGCCTGACACCGATTATAAATTCTATATACGGCTGTTGTCAGTCTGTGTAAACACGAGGAAGGTTTTGGTGAGCTTTCAGGCCACGCTGTCTCTTTAAAGGCCGCACCTGCGCAGCTGCATGGTGCTGATGCTGCAGTGCCCGGGTTATTTTCAGTAAAACTGCCGGGGTTACTCGCGTTCAAGCAGGCCCTCCATGGCTTACATCACCCCTGAGAGGAAATCAAAACCATTTTTAGCCAATCGCACCTGCCTTTTAATCAGAGCAATTTAAAACGAGCCCTTCCGTCGCAGCATGAGCAACTTCAGCACAGCAACCCCTCTCTCTCTGTGTGCCTCCGAGCCTCCATGGCTGTATGACCATTTTGTTAGACAGAGCAACACCTAAATACATCATATTAAGACTGTTTTGGTTAGTAAAAAAATATAATTTTGTTGTCATTTTGTCAATAACTCAGCCTTGGTGTGATCGAGTCAGTATACACAATAAAGACGAATTATTCGTTTCTTGGCTTCAGTAAATGGCCATTTTACACCTTGAGAATGCCACAGCCCACAGGGACAGATGATATGCTACTAACATATATAATTCAACTTAAAAGGGCAAAGACTCATTGCATAATGTAATATTTGCCTCCAGGAGATAACCTATCTTTCTCTCTCTGCAGAATAAGCTTGAGTTTGCACACATCAATTATCTAAAGACAACCCTTCTCATACATGCCCTGAGAGAACACATAAATCATGAATCAACTCAATGATCATTAAGTCAGAGATACCAGTGTTTCCCTATTCATAAAGCTCAGATTAATAGTGACTGTGTGTCAACATGTGTGAGGTAAGAGCAAACATAGTTTCAGTATATGTGAATGTGAATAACTTAACAAAGAGGTCCTTGCAAAGCGACAGGCAGACTGCAGGAATGTGCTCATAAATGAGGGTTTGGCCGTCTATAAGTACTGAGTGGGAGTGTTGGTAGACATCTGAAGGGAGAACATTGTACAGGATGGCACTACGAACAACTGCTCTCCTCTCTGTGGGCTTTCTTCTGTTCTTAGCACGAGGAGCTCCAACAGATGCAGGTGAGAATTTAAAGAGGAAATGTCATGCTCATGCTTTTTGTGTTTCTAATGTGACCTGTCTCCATGCTTCAATGTTCAAAAAGGTCATTATTTTTCTCCTATACTCATACTTCTCAAAATGCAAGCTTTTTGTATTCTCCACAGCCAACTTCACCTTGAATGATTTATTTTCCCTAGACATAAATTACAGCTTGAACAAATCGGTCTGTCAAACTCTCCTAATTCATTGTTTAACAACCATATTATATAAATGAATATATTGCATCCCAAGAAGGTAATTATTGGGTCAGTGTGTTAAAGGGTCCTTATTATGTTTATTTTCAGGTTCATATTTGTATTTAGTGCTACTGTGACATGTCTGCATGCTTTAATGTTCAAAAAGCTCTTTATACTCATACTGCCTGTGCGGATGTCACAGAAGTAAACCAAGGAGTCCAATGGAGGTGTTTCAGGCAGTGTGTGGGAGAGGAACTTTGGTATTTTAGCTTTTGCAGACCATTGACATGCACAAAAACCTATATAACACACTACAGGAAATGGAAACCCCCACAAATCATAATATAGCCCCTTGGAGAAAATCTAACCCTTAATGACTCACTTTGTGTTCATGCATTATACAAAGCGTCACTATACCTGAAAACACCTTTGTGTGCAGGTCCGGCGACTCTCCCTCTCAGACTGACTGTGGAGAACGACCTCTCTAACGTGACTCCTGAGACCCACTTCTGCTCGGTGGTGGAGGGAGGCGTGCTGCTGGGCGCTCTGAGGACACTGCAGGAAACTCAGCAGGACTTCAAGTAAGACCCCCCATGACATCCTCTTTAATATCTCTGCATGACATCCTTAAGTATTTTCCTTTCATGGCAATTTCTACTTAAACTCGACTGAATTTCAAAGGGTGATATCCACTACACACTATTGACAGCGTTATAATAGTTACTAGTTGTTTTTTTATATTTTTGCACAGATACCCAGTAACAGTTAATTCAAGTACAGCTGACACAATTCATCCACCAATAAGTCACTTGACAGAAAATCTATTTATTTTGATATTTGATTAAGTCATTTTGTTGCATTTGAGTCTCCGGATTGAGGGGATTTGCTGCTTCTCCGTTGAATAATATGTACAATCTTTAATGTGTTTTTGAATAAGCTTGAGGTTTGGACTGTTGGTTAGATATAAACAATGTGATGGTGTCACCTTGGGCTGTGGGTAATTTGTCATTTCTCACTATTTTCAAAATGGATTGATTAATGAAGAGAAAAAAATCAGTGAATAAATCCATAGCAAAAATATTCATTATTTGCAATAACATTAGCTCAATTTTTTTAATGGAAACAGTGAAATTTTTTTCTGCAGAGTATTTTTAATACTTTAAGTGGACTACATTTTCCTGATTATACTTACATAACGTAACACATTGAATGCAAGACTTGTACTTGCACACAGAATTTGTGTTTGGTATTTATATGTTTACTATAGTTCTGTTGTAGATAGATAGATAAGTACTTTATTGATCCCAATTTGGGAAATGTTTGCGTTGCAGCAGCATAGAAAACAAGGCAATGTACATAAGAGAAATTAAGACACAAGAAATAAACAATCCAAAATATTTCTGAAATAGAAATAAAATAGCATTAAAAGTTAAACATAATATATATATACGTGGATGTGGAAAATATACAGTGAAAATACAACTTTCCAGAAACTAATATAATGCAGGATATTGTTGTGCAAGTAATGGATTATTCAATATGTACATTGGGAGTTTAAGTCCAGTTACTCTGACTGTGTGTCTCCTGCAGGTTCTCGGTGAGGCAGGACCCAGACTTCGGCCTGCTGCTGCTCAGTGTGAACGGAGTATCAGCAGACGAGCGCGAGCAGACGTACTGGGAGATCCTGTCAGAAAGCTCCGGAGAGATCAGCCGGCTGGATGTGGGTGAGTTGCATCCCCAGAGATTGAATAAAACACATCTGATTTAATGAGCTGTAATGCGGCTGGAGAGTTGCTTGTGATTTCACTTATTGTCCCGAGGACGTCCCCTGGTGTGATTTTTCTAAAATAGTAGTGTAGACACAGTTTGACTTTAATATATTTGAGTGATTTTTGTTATTCTGCACAGGTGGTGCAACTATTGGTTATTTTAAAGTGCTTCCTCAGAGTTAAATGATGTGTCCTCATTATCTTCTATTGGCTATTAATGCAAGAACACTCTGATGATCTGAGCACTTAGTTCCTCTCAGAATCTGTGTTTGTGTATTCATTAAAACGTCATTGTTACTGATCCAATCTCTTCTCTTTTCACAGGAATCGGTTGCTACAAACCCAAAGCAAATGAGCACATTATCCTCAGGTTCAGCAGCTGGACCCAACAGTGATGAACAAGCCGACGTGTTGAGGACTTGTGGAAAACAATCAATCAATACATTCATTATATATATTTGTTTCATGTTTGCCATTTATGGTTGTCTCTGGATTATCAAGTGTTGAGACCTGATGTGTGAGAATAAAAGAAACAGCAGCATCTAGTGGCAGGCAGGAGGAATGTCCTTTACAAGTCAAATTATTATTTAGATATTTATGTTGATTGGAAAAACACATGCAACATTTATACATATTTTTTGTGTGACTTCTCCTTTGAGTTAGTTATGATAACATATGATGTTGTTCCTAAAAAATGATAGAGGTTGGTATATAGGGGTTTTAGAAATAAATACAAGACCAACAACTGTTTTAGAAGAAATTCCAGGAAGTGTACTTCCAATCCGTATGAATGCAGAAAGGTAAATTAACACTGTTACAGTGGAATTGTTTTTTAGCTTATACAACCTAAAGTTAAAAAAAACTATTGCGAATTCAGGAAGTTTTAAAATGTTAGATTTCCAAAAAAAACATACTCTGTCACAACTCAAGAAGGTGCTGGAATAAAACAAGAATAAAGATGAATATGCTGCATTGCTGAAACATTAATGAATTGTTTGTAATTGAGATTTGGGTGCTTTGACTTTAGATAGGGCAGATTTTTTTTAAAGTTTAAAATTAATCGTTTCATATTTAAACAATCCATGTAAAAAAACACCAACATTTTTATATTTTGGCAAATCTTTGCTACTTTCCACATGGTTAAAACGTTGCACATAATCTACGAAAAAGGTATATAATCCACAACCTATAACATCAATTTGTTTACAAATTCTACACCACTCTTCGTGTTGACTCTCCACCCAAAGCTCCTCCCTTTGTAACAAGATTAAGGTTTCATCTCCTTCCAAAACAGATGGACTGAGAGGCTAATCTCTGAGCTTTCACTTCCTTTCTCCTTGGATTTATCTGTATTTCATTCCTTTCTCTCTTCGTAGAAACAAGTTAAAAAGAGCAAGTCAGATAACCATAGCTTGAGTTAGTTCAACCATCTAGAAAATGCTGTCCGAGCAACGTTATGATGTCACTTGTCTCTCGAAAATCAGCTTCCTATCTAAAATAAAACATCAACATCTGGCTCTCCAGATTAAACTTTTTATTTAAGACAATATTGAATTCTATTTCAAATAAATATTTGACCGAAGTCTGACACAGCCTCTCAGAGACTGTTTTAAAAGTCACCCCACTTTCTTTTCATGACCCTTCTGCCACCTCACATGACACAAATCGACTGAATTTAGCAGTTAGGCGTTGCTAATATTTCCTGACACGGAGGGATTTGAACATGAAATCTTTTTGTCACGGTGTAAAATCCTTAAATAAAAACCAAGATGAAATTGTTAGCTTCCGTGTGCCAGAGATACAAAAGTAATGTCTCAAAAGATTTGGATTTAAGTCCTCTGATTTTCCACAAAATAGGATGAAGCAGCAAAAACATGCGTGGCTCTGCAGCGTACAAGCTGTCATTGTGTTCACATTTTAAGCAATAATTAACCACATGGAAGTGCATTGGCAGTGAGACAACATTGCAACATGGTCTCCTTATACAACAGTTCGTCCTTTATGTTTGACAGAGTGGCGGGGAAGCAACTCACCACATGACAAAGCACATTCACATATGCAAGGGACACACTGTGCAAAGAACCGCTTCCAGCCGGTCTCTTTGCCCCTACAGTTGTCTAACCGAGAGCAGCCCAGTTTTGGCGGGCCGAAGTAGCTCTTGTTCTCACAGGTGGAGTTACACGTCCCGTTTAGTTCCCTCTCACTGACCTCAACGCGTCCCTGCTGACACATTCCTGAAAGACAGACAGAGAGAAATCACATGATGAGATCAAATCAATTGAATTATTACAAAAATAAGTAATAACGCTGATCACACAAATCCCTTCTTTGTAAAATCACATTCTATGAGATGAAATGGTATATTTTAATATATGTAAATAATGTTCAGAGCTAAAACAAAGTATGACAGTGTACAAAAGTATTTTCAATACATGAGTACAAAATTCAGCTTACCTTACAAAGAGCTAAAAGAAAAAAAGGGAATACAAATATATGCTGTTGGGATTATATTATAGAACAATGCTAACAAAAATATAATTCTTCTTAGACTTTCAAAATAAGTCTTTATAAAGCTATTTTTTTTATAAGGATGTAGGACAGGCATATTTAAGAATGATGCTTCTGCCTGTGCCTTTTCAGTCATATTGAAGCAAATAAATCCCCAATAAATTGAGACGCTAAGAGGCTACATTTGGAGAACGGTGATACGTTCAAAATAAAAGTCTGTACTGAAGTTAAAGTTATCCAAGGTTTAATAAAGAAAACAAAAACAAACAATAACCAAGATTAAACCATATGGTCTACCTACCCATAGACTACTTTAGGTTCATAAGGGTCCTTGTGTGTCCTTGAGCTCAGGTCAGAAGGATTTCATTGCCATTTCTACACTGTAACTTTTTGCATATGACAATAAAACCTTTGAATCTTGTGTTTGGTGTTTACTCACTGAGGCAGGTCGGTCTCGGGGTCCAGAGGCCGTCAGACTGGCAGGTTCTGGTCGGGTTCCCCACCAGCATGAAGCCAGGGCGACAGGTGTACCTCAGCACAGAGCCCACCCACCAGTCGGTACCAAACACCTGTCCGTTATAGTCCACATCAGGCCTCCCACAGTTCACTGCCACGCAAAGCAAAGGAAATGCAAAGGCAAAGCATGGCACACAGCTATATCACTACAAAAACTCGAAATCTTGCCAAGTATATTGGTCTAATATCTATGTATTTACACCTGATATAAGACATAATAACTTCAGAAGTAAAACTGCAGTGAGATATCGGGTCTTTTTTTTAGACAATGCATCATCTTGTTAAGTCAAAACATCCTATTTTGAGTTGTATCTCAGATGAAACACATATTTTTTTACATATTTATTAGAAAATCACCAACTAACATCAGAAAACAGAACACCTTTGAGCATTTGCGGCTCATATTGTAACACAACATTTCCTGATTCTGGTCAAGAGTTCTCCCAGCTAATTACAAGATCTGGTTTATCTAAATATCCCTTTTTATTTCAACATGTTCTCTTGTTCTATTGGCAGATTTCTGTACCTATTTAAAGTGAAAACAGCTTGTTTTCAATATTGTTTAACTTGTTTTTGGAGCAGCATTTTTTCCAGTGTAGCAGCTCACTCAGACCGATGGACTTATGTTCAAGCTCAAAAGAGTGTCGGACATTGTTGTGGTTGTCTCACCTCTGCACAGGGACTTGTATCCGAGCCAGCAGCAGCTCGAGTCTCCACAGCGGTCCTTCCTCAGCTCCGCGTGTTGAGCCTTACAGCCTCCTAAACAAAGAGGCGCTGACCCGGACCAATAGATGTCCTCTATGAAATCTGGTTGGGAAATCCATACCGTCTCACCTACAGTAAAAAAAGAAATGTATCAGCTGTTTACCATAGCTGGACCAAACTATGTTTTAATGCAAATTACAAACTGGAAACGATTTCAGGCTTTGCCACAAAGAGTTTGTATTCCTTATACAGAGAGAAAAACTATTAACCAGCCTACCATGGATACATATTGAGGCTGGCCAACATTATCTCTGATCCCAATCATGTACTGAACAGCAAATATGAATTGTTACCATAAAATCAGAGACACAGGGTCTCACGACTCAATAAAGTTAGACTAAACCACTCATGTGTGCTCCAGTCAATCCTATAATGAAAGTTAAATCCCAGGTGAAATGTACGTCAAAGGGTCCTGAACATAGTCTTCAGTGATAGTAATGTCATGTTAAATGTGTGTTTCCTTGCATCTTAATATGTGTCCTTGTTGATGTTGTGGAGCTGCTGTTATGCAAGGAAAAATTACATCTAGATCTGACAATAAAGCATTATTGCATCGTAACCATTTATCCCGACTTAGAAAGCATGATACTTGCATTAGAGGACGTCTTACCACTACCTTCCATCTCACCAATCCACCCAGGAAACTGAGAAGTGGTTCTTTGAAAGACCCCGAACATCAGCAGCCACAGTGGAAACAACCTCATGGTGCCCAGCTTCAAGATGCTATCAGTTTCTGTAGAAAAGCTGCAGATGGCTCTAATCTGAAGTCATATTGCTGTCCGACATTATTCCTGCGAAGTCAGCAGACATGAAGCCATTAAAAGCTGTCCCAGTAGAGTGAAGGAGCAGAGAGCGGTAAGTAACAAGTCAACTAAGCTCTGCTTAATCTTCTACACACAGCTAATGCCACACCACACACCCCCCCCCCCCAGACACACACACACTAAGTAGTAGAATTTTTAGCAGAAGAAGCTTTTTTAGGAATATATCATGAATGTATCCGTTAGGGGAAAGTATGACATATACATACAGTATTTTTATTTAATCATAGCATGGAGCTGTAGTCAAGCAGTTAGATCCAGCAGGGGGCGCTATAATTGAAGTACAGATGGTGGATATACTATCTATTATGTTACCAGTAAATCATGACCAATAAATAAAAAAGGCTTTTTCTGGTATGAAATAATTAAGTCATTTAAATAACATCTGATTAATACCAAAAAATAAATGTAGAATGTGATTTTTTCAAACATTTAGATTTACTAGTTTATTTGAGTTAGAGATAAAGCACTATGAGGTAGGCCCTCTTTGCCACATGTCAGTGGATATTAATGCAAACACGCCATTCTTGTAAATCATATCTCTTACATTTCACCTCAAAGTCAAAATGTCTCCATCGTATCTATAGTGCCATTTACTCAAATTGAATGGGATGTACTTCAATAGAAAGACAGTGTTTCCTACATGAAATTGTTCACAACATGTCTGTGGGTTATCTTCAGTAACCGGGTCATGAAGGCTGACATCTCTACGACTGATATCACCAACACGCAACAGAAATATCTAAATGAAGAAATAGCAGGTAACAGGAAAATGTGTGTTTTTCAACTAGGGGTGAATTCTTCAATAAAAAAGGCGGCTTTCCCACTTGGCAGTGTAGCATTAATATCCAACCCTTTGAAGACTTTACAGTATAAACTATAATGCATGAATAATGAATTACAAAAATACTGGGCACATTTTTTTCCGCACGCTCAATATCAGCAAATAAAAGCACACGTAAAACCTAACATAGGCGTATAGTCAAAATGTCTTCTCATTCTGACGTTTTAAATTATTATTACGTGCTTTCAACCCCCATTAAAAGGCTCAGAAACACAACAAGATTCTTCCAACATATATCATGATATGTGAAACATTACAGATTGTCTTCTCGTCTATGGTACGTGTACGCAGGGCTGTAGCAGTCAAAGCACCTGCGCTCCCTGATCACTATCGTGGATCTGCTGCATGTCCGAGTCCTCCGCTGGTGACAAACCCCCCGTGAGGACGTACATCATCCCCTCCTCCTCCTGACCTCCCTCCTCAGCGCTGGCTTCTGGCTCCTCCAGTAAAACCCCTCTCAGTTCTACCTGCAGCTCTGAGAGAGCGGCCCCCGAGGGTTCTTCCTCATTCATGCCATCGTCCTCGTCCTCCTCCCCTTGCCTACTCTGCCGCTCCCTCATCAGCTGCTCGGTCAGCTCCACGCTCTCGTAGCGGATCAGTTGCAGCCGCAGGAAGCCGTCGTCGTGCTGCTTATACCTGGCAGGGTGAGGAAGAGATCATACATTTGGTCAAAAAGATACAAAATGCAGCATTCAGGGGTTGTTGTGTTAGTTATATCAATATTCCAATTACTTGTATATAGACTATTCTGCACTATTTCTATTATATTACGTTTTATTTTATTTACTTGCACTATTATCTGTTTTATTGTTGTTGCACTGTGGGAGGAGCCTGTGACCTAAGATTTTCATTGTCATAACTACACTGTAGCTATGTACACATGACAATAAAAGCCTTGAAACTTGAATCTAGACTCACCTGAACCTTGGGTGTCCTGAGGGCCATTTGAACTGGTGCTTTTTGTGCAGGTGAACGGTCAGGTTGTTGCCTCGGGTGAAGCACTGATCGCACACATGGCACTTGTAGCGAGCGACGAAGTTCCCCTGATTACAGAGAGGAAACACACAAGTATAAATTACATTTAAAGGTCACCTATTAGGCAAAATTCACTTTTTCCTGTCTCTTCTACATCAACATGTGTCCTCTCTGTGGAAAGAGATTCTGGAAGTTTCAGCAAAAAAGATTCTCTCTCTTTTTGTCCTGATCCATTTATATAAAAACCTGTCTGAAAATGAGCTGATCAGATTTGGGCTACTTCATGATGTCATAACGATTTTGTGGCTTGAGTAACCATTAGCCAATCACCAACCAAGGTAACCCCCCCCTCCCACCTTATCACCTGAATCTCCTCCTAGAGCACCATTGTGTTATTTTTAACCAAATATCTTTCAGAGGGGCGTGGGGAGGGGCTCCTTATTTTCATCTAAAGTAACAGACAGAGAATCAGCACTTTGGAAACAGGGCTGAAACAGAGGGGATTATGGGATGCTGCAATGATCTGTTTGGTATTTCGAGCCAAACACTTCAGAGACATGTTTTGTATTCTGAGACCTATAATATATTGATGAAAAACAGTATAATAGGGGACCTTTGAAACTCCCTCGCTGAGTATAAATAACGAATATTTTTCACCTCATGCTCCTTTTTGTGGTGGATCTTCATGGTGATGAAGCTGCGGGAAGTGAAGCCACAGCCGGGATCATCGCAGTGAAATGCCGGCTCGCTGCTGTGGGTGTCCAGGTGTTTGCGCAAGTCTACCAGATTCTTGCAGCTAGAAAACACAAAATCAAAGATGGGAGTATGAAGAAAACAATCCTTTCAGTGTGTGTGTTCATGTTAATCTAGCTTTGAGTCGCTGCAGCTCTGTGTGATACCTGTACTCGCAGTATTCGCAGCTGTACGGCCTCTCGTTACTGTGACGGAACTTTATGTGGTTGCGCAGAGCGGAGGGAGTCGGACAAGTCATGTCACACAGCGGGCATTTGTAGTGGCTCACTGTAGCGACAAGACAAAACGAAAAACAAGTGATGAGATTTAATCATCTAGAAATAGTCACATGATCAATCTGGTCAAAAATGTAATGCCAAGGAACCATGATGAAATGAGTTTTCACTGTTGTTATAACAAGACAGACATCTATCAGAATAGCTTTTATTGAATGCAAGGGTATCTCTTGAAATATTAAGGCATGGTGTGTCAAATGGTTGTTAGTAGTAAGAGAGTGTGCGGTTCAAACATGCAGATGAATAAACTCGGCACTAACCGTGGGTTCTCATGTGATCTCTCAGAAGTCTTTCTGTTGCAAAACGTTTGGAACAGTGAGAACATTGGAACCTCTGACCTGCAGAACATAGACAAGCTTAGGATTACTTCAAGAAGACATATTATGCTCATTTTTCAGCTTCATATTTAAAGGGACTGACTTTTTCACTTACGTCAACCAACGTATCTGTTTTTTTTTTTTTAAATGTCCGCACATCTAGATCTTCTATGGCACACTCATATTTATTCTTATGAAAAAACGGTCCATAATATATTTCAATTTATTCTGTATTGTGTCTTATTTATACCATATATATATATATAGTGTATCAATTTTCTAAACTGCTGTTTGTAATGTAATTTATACTGCCTTATACTGTGCGAAGTAATGTAAATACTGTCAGATGTATATTGATACTATACTTAAGATAACTATGCACTTCACTGTTTTGCACATCTGGTTGGATGTAAAATACATTTCGTTGTCTTAGTACTTGTACTCTGTGCAATGACAATAAAGTGAAATCTAATCTAATATTTGCATTTTGTGCCTCATTGTTATTAATCGTCCGTTCATGACTTTGGTTTTTACCTTCCATGGCACTCTGTCGTATGATGTGGTCAAAGAACTTGGTGTTGTTTGCATACATCCCCCCGCAGCCGGGACACGCCACCAGCTTCTCCTGGGTGTGGCTGCGCAGGTGCTCCCGGAGCTTAGCACGCCCTTTAGTCGTGGCTTCACAATCTGTAAAGTGACAGGCCCAGAACTTAGAATAAACAACCCAACAATCCTAGTTCATAGCAGAACATGTCAGCAATCACAAAGGAAATGGCTTAAACCGGACATATCATATAAAAAAACTGCTATGATATAATACACAAAATATTTGTACGGGAAAGAATTACTGTCTTAATGACACACAAGACCAATTTCAGGAAACTTACAAAAAAAAGTTTAAGCAATACATATTTTAGAGATGGCTATCCTTTGATTGAATGTGCTTTTGTTTCTCCTAAAACAGATAACATCCCCTCGGTTTTTTTGTGGATTTATTTGTTTATTTGAAATGTCAATTGTGCAAACTGTAATTGTAATATTACGTGACTCCATATAAAGATTTTACAAACCTGTTTGACCATAAATCTGTTGTTTAGTCGATATTTACATTGATATTTTAGCCATAAATCGACATACCTTTCCATCCACATCGTATTGGAAGTTCATATTCTCCTGCTGGTATTTCTATGCACTGGCTGTGCATCTCCACGTGGCGATAGAACCACTCTGGGTTTTCATATGGTGGTTGCTTTAAGAAAAAGAAACAACACAAATATTAAGATTTCATGAAGCAAGGCTTAAATTGTACTTCACAAACACTTCAATGAAAGAAAGTATCTGACTATGTGCACATGAAAGTGAAGGCAGTGTCTAATTGCTTTGCTCCCGATATAATTTGCTCCAAATTCCCCAAACAGCAAAATTAGGTGAACATATAGTGTTTCCCACAGAATTTCGTTGTTAATGAGTGAGACACACCGGAGTTGAGGATCTGTGGGGTTTATTCTCCCAAAAATATAATTTACAATTTAGGCATTTAGCAGACGCCTTATTCCAAAGCGACTTGCAATGACCAACGGTACGTCCACACAGCAGCGTTAAAAAAATCTTGGAGGTGGGCGTATCTGAAGCTTGGGGATTTTTTGCAAGCAACGCGACCAACAACCAATCACATGAATCTCCCGCCCCCGACATACAAAGCAAAAAAGCCCGAAGTAAACTGGATATAAACTCCCCAAACAGGCGAAAACCTTCCACTGTCTCTGCCACCTCCCTCCATGCCTGGCTCCTCCGGTTTATATCCCGGTAGGTAAATAGGGACTGGTCATAAAGCACCGGGTGATTCCCTACCGCTAATTTCTCCTCCATTTTTTGGAATATGAGGAAATGACCTGCGGTATGTCTCTCCCAGCATACACGCGGTTTGATTGGCTAGCGCTTGAACTGTCAGATTTGCATAAACGGGATTTGATTGGCTGATGCTTCCACCTCAGCTTCAAAAGTTGAACATTGCTCAACTTTTGAAGCCTGAGATGCCTGGATATCTCCGCTTTGCTTCCCACAATGCAGTTCGGCGAAAAGTGAGGCAAAGTGACGTCACCCCATTCAAAGTGAATGGGCAGAAGCGTTGGAAGATTTTTTTAACGCTGCTGTGTGGACGGGCCGTAAGGGACATTCTCCCTGGAGTAACTGAGGGCTAAGTGCCTTACTCAAGGGCGCACTAGTAGTGGTGTTCCAGGCGGGATTTGAACTCGCAACCTTCCGATCATCAGCCCACCTCACTATCCATTAGACCACCAAAATAAAAATCAATGTATGGGAAACACTGCGTATAAATGTAACTGAGGCTGACAGTGTTATTTATTTTGTTGTCGTGTCACAGATGTAGACTGCTGCAGAGAGAAGTCTTTCCTTCTGATGTCTGCTTTGCTTTCTTGCATACTAAATTGACGACTGTGTGGGAGTAGGTGGTTTAAAAACAAGATATACTGTAAGGAATCTTTCCTTCATTAACAGCAGCACCAAGCTTACCTCACATTCCTCCCAAAGACAGATGAAATTGTCAGGGATTTCAGGGATGATGTTGCGGTTCTGGTAGCCGATGGCGCAGGTGCCGATTTTTGGCCGGGTGTTAAGCACCTGCTGACCCAACTGCTTCAGTTTTGTGTGGTAACAGTGAAAGAAGAGATGTCGCCGCATCTCCTCAGGACCCTCCATAGAACAGAAACCACAATCTCTCCAAAGGCAGTTTCTTTCTCCTTGAAACAAAGAGCAAAAAGATTGCATTAGTAGGCAGGAATCAGTCTTTTCTTTTATGGCTACACAATGCAACCGCAGTGAAGTGAGCTTTAGGTTGGATATTATGCAGACAGTCACTCTGGTGTCCTGACTCAGTTTCAGAGACTTTCAGCAGTCAGAGGATGGTTATTTTAAGTGCTAAATGCTCATAATGTATGCTTGAATATAATAAGTGAGTCATAGTTAGCACACATTTTTTGATTACTGATGTCTCATGACTAGATTTGATAAATATTTGAATAGCTGCCGTGTCATTCAATAGCTTCCATGTCATTTGACCCATTAACTCCCAATCCATAGCAGATATTATTAGCACACTGTACAAATGAGACACTTACTCTTTTTATTGGATTGAAGGGCTTCTTGTAATTTATCTAAATATTGCTGTACAAATCCATTCAGTCTCATGTGTCGTTATGACTCCAAATAAATGCACAACTACGAACCCTAACCCTCAATAGCTTTCAAAAGAGGTTGACATACTCCAGTGTTGTAATACAATGCTGTATTGATTTGAAGACATTAGGTCACATAAAGACGATTGCAAAACCCATTACAAAAAACACACTGGACGCTGCACTAGGTCAGAAACCAGAGGAGACTGTGAAGTCCACTGCAGACGGACCACTTTTGGACAAAATGTCCTTTCCATTAAAGGCAGCTCATTGTGGAATAGCCTTCCAACTGAGACACGGGATTGTCCCACTCTCAATAGCTTCAAAGGTCAACTCAAAGAATGGTTGAGAAACAAACAGACGTGCAATCACCGCTAAATGCACTTTAACACAGGGGGATCTCCTCTTGCACTTTATGTAGCCCTTGTATCTCCTCTTGCACTTCATATGTCGTAGCTGCTATATTGTATTACCATGTGATAAATACTTGTGTATGCTGCTCTTGCTCTTTTGCACTTTTTGCACATCATGTATTTTGTTTTTGCTATGTTTGTAAAAATGTAAACTTCTTAAATGTTTTATGTGAGGGACTGCGGATGGAAATTAGCTCAAAGCTAAATCTGGCACTGTTACGCTTGACACATTTGAATGTTTTAAGTGTTCCTTACTGTGCATTGTCCCTGCCAAATAAACGATTAAATAAAATAAAATAAAAATTACTGATTCCTTTCTGGTCTCCTGCTACTTTATGAACCATCCAGAGTTCTCAGGTCTTCTGGGACGGGTCTGCTTTCTGTCCCCAGAGTCAGAACTAAACCCCGAGAAGCAGCGTTCAGTTATTATGCTCCAAATATCTGGAACAAATTACCAGAAACCTGCAGGTCCGCTGCTACTCTGACTACTTTTAAATCCAGCCTGAAGACTCTTTGAACTATTACTGTAACTTCTAGTCATGTATTTTATATATTAGCTTGTTTTATGTTTATTTGATTATCCTTGCTTTTTACTGAATGTTTTTAAACGCCATTTTATAATGTGTTTCCACTGCCCTATTTCTTTCATTTTTGTGAAGCACTTTGAATTGCCTTGTGTTAAAAGGTATATAAATAAACTTGCGTTGCCTTCCTTCTTATTAAAGAACAGCCACATTTTCATAAAAATATTCATAAAAGTAGAACAAAACACTACACACCTATGAGAAGAAGTGAGTCATATTGGTAAAGTGTAAATACAGTCTGTGTAGTCAATATTTCTTATCGATGTAATATGTATTGGCACTACATCACAATTAAAGAGCCAGTTTAGTATGCATTATTTCCAAATAGCTTGCTACAGCTCTGAATAAACAATATAGATATACTTTAAACAATAATACTAATATAATAAACCTACTCACCTTCTATTTCCTCTTCTGGCTGCTCCTCGTCCAGAGCACTCAGGTGACCGTCCGCGTGCCTGCACAAGTTGTCCATCCGACTGAAGGACTCCTGGCACGAGCTCCATTCGCAATCCACCTTCAGCGTTTTCTTCAGAATCCGTTTGCTTGGAGCCATCTCTCTGGGTCATAAATACGTGTAATGTGTAATGTGTTTTATCCGACTAAAGCTATAACACTGGACCATAACCTGGAGCTAGCTAGTCCTGTGTGTTGGTTGGCAAGTTGTGTTTATAGACTCTAAACATGTACAAGCTCTCCGTACGTTACACCGTTACAAATAACATTCTGGAAAACAAGAAGAAAACACTGAGACTGTCGAAATATTACCAGCATAGGTCTTTCAACACAATAACGTGCTATTAAAAAGCACAGACGTGATGAAAAATTGAATTGTTTTGGCCAGCCGCAAAAAAACTGAGTGTGCAGCGCAAATGTCTCCCCAGAAACAACGCATTATTCAACAGTTCCGACCTGTCTTAATATGTTCTGCCCATAGACAACAGAACACTAAAGAGTTTAATACAAATCCTTTGCGATTTGATGTACGTCAGTGAAATATTAAAATATAAAATATTGTAAGTGATTACTGTAAGTTACTGAGTCATTGTTTTTATGATACTGAGGTGTTTCTTTTAGAAAGCTTCTAATTCTGAATTTCTAAAGCCAATACTGACGTGAAATATTTGTTTTAAGTCTTTCACGTCTATATATATTTAAAGACACATAATCTAAACATTTATGAGAATGACCCCTGCCTGTACATTTAGCATTAAATAATTGTGAACAATATATTTCTGGACTGTTTTTTTACTTGTTGGCCAATTTATACACTAATAATATCTCTGAAAATGTTTAATTATGACCTTTTGATAGTTGATACATATCCTGATAATACAGTTGTCAATGCATGCCATTTATTTGTACATTGTCATATTATTGTTGCTATCTCTTAAGAAACTGAATACTTTTTAAACGACTGCAAATAATGACCCAAACCCTCTTTATTTTAAATGTCTTAGCCTTTATTTCTCAATTTGAGGCTTCCATTTCAACAGTAAACAGTTTCTCACTTGTAGATACATTCCTTAGAAAGATAATCCAGTGCGAGTTTACTTCACATTGATGTATGCTGAACGCTTAGGGGAAAAATGCATATCAGTCACAAAAATACAGCTTTGTATCCAATAATATCAACAAAGGTATAAACAATCAATTCTTCTTTTTCTCATCAGGACACCGTTCACCTTCTATAGAACTTAAGTAACGTTGTATGAACAATCGAGACATCCCCTCTATGAACCTGTATTCACCTTATTTGCTGTTTTCACGCTGATAAAAGTATTTTTACCTCTTCACAATGACATTGTGTGTGCGTTTGTTTAGAGGTAAAAATAACAAACAAACACAAATCATATATTAACTTATTCATTCATATTATGCATGGATTGAGTCATGGAAAATGAAGTGAACGAGTTCATTTAACCATAGCCATTTTTGCTTTAACAGCAGATTCGAGCAATAGAGCACTGCGTGAATATTTTCCGTATACCATAACCTCCTTATATCTGTTTTCGAATAGTAACAATTTAGAAGCAGCCATCAGTTTATGTTGGCTGCCCTGATTACTGAGCATCATGCCCACCTACTGTACTTTCCTTTAAAAAACCATGTACAAAAATATACCTTCATTAATCACTCATACCCAGTTACTTCTTCCTGCTTGTATTTACTGACATTTAGGAACACAACACTGCTGTTGACCCCTTGCAGTTGATGCTGTATGTGATACTGTTCTGTGAATTAAAATATATATTTGAACCTTGCCCTTTGTCTTTACTGCAGGTAAAGTCTTAGGCGGAAAGTAACAGTGAGGTAATGGAAACTATCAAAAGGCAGATGAAACACAAGCCTGTGAAATAGATCCATCGAACAATATCATTTTCTCAGTCAGCGTTCGCTCCTCCTTTCCCAGAAGGCTGTCTAGACGTCGTAGAAGAGACGCACCAGATGGTAACGGATCCCAAAAGCCACTGCGCTGCCCATCACCTGGGAGGGAAACAGAAAGGATCATCCAGTGTGACAGTCACATCGTAACACTATTCCCTTGTCATTTAAAAACAGCAGGAGCTTTGTTGTACCTGCATGATGAGCATGATGACTGTGAGGTTTCTCTCATGGATAGGACCGAGACATTTCAGAACCAGATTTATTAATGTCATGTTGTTGCACTCAATAAATTCATCATCTCCCTTCTGGCCTCGTCGCACCTCTAGCAGCTTTAATAACTCTGCTACCTGTAGAGGATAACAAAGTATATTGTTAGAAATGAATAAACATAGCAGAAAGCCTGCCTCACATGTGATTACCCACCGAGAGTAAAACTCAATACATGCACTTTTTCTTTTTTCCGTTACCTACTATAAGATCTATGAATTGCTGCCCACATGTTGAAATTATGCTGCTAAAATGGTACTCCAGGTTTAATCAGGTCAAGTAATGTGTGCTAAACAGAGCATGAACAATTAGTGAATTCAATGATTATTTCAAATCAAACTGATTTTCTTTTCCTTTTTCAATTGTGTTGTGAATCAAGTGAAATGACCAGGCATTCTCTAGGTCCATCTAATCAAAAGATGTTCTCTGTTTTATATACAATTTTGTATTAAATAGATTTTGTTTTTCACCGTTGGTCTGACATTACTTGGGGCTCTGGGAAAATGTGTGATTTCATACCATTTATTATTTTTCTCTTGACAAAATGTTCAAGCTATTTTTAAACTAGAGAATCATAGAACAAGAGCATTACCTTCAGAATGAGATGTCCTAACTTAGAGAGGTCTTTTCTTTTAAATTTAGAGTAGCTCATCTCCAGTTTGCCTGTGTCTGGATTCAGCCTTTCATTGGGAGAAACAAAGGAACAAAAAGGCAGACAATGAGAGTACATCATGAGGAAGAAACCATGTTAAAAACCCATTTTAAGTGCATGCCTGGTTACCTGGGAAGCCGGTGTCTGGGACAGGGAATGACGTGAAAAAGCTGAGGCAAGGAGTAGACAAAGTTCACCACTTGAGGAAGGAAGAACAGCAGCATTGTTTTGCTGAAGTGTCCCAGGATGCCGACTACAGCGAAGGTCATCCCAGCAAAGTAACAGAAAGTGTCTCCAACAAACACAGATGAAGGGTACCTGGGACCAAAAAAGGTTGCAAGTTGAGATAATATAGAGGCACATCACATTGAAGTACGTTTTGTTCTACGACATTAAATACATCAGCAGTGACGGTGATTTCTGAAGAGTTTACGTGTCTGAAAAACGATGGTTGTTAACAAGTGGCTGAATAGGACTACAGAAGTTGTCGAGGCCGTTGTACGTCATTACGCCGAACACGTAAACACTCCTCTAAGTTTGTTTGCCCTGTTCTGCTTGAAAGCAAGTACCTGCCTCCTGCAAACTGTTCAAACAAACGCTTCAACTTGTACCATTTAGAATCTGTAGTTTTGAATATGGATCTTAAGTTGGCGTGACGTTGAAGCAGCGACCCTGCTGTAGTTTGTTTATAGCATAACGTTAGCATTTTGCTTCTGGCGACTAGATTTATGATTCGAAAATTATAAAAGTAGGGTAGACATGTGGAGATTATCCGGCTGAACAAAACGTGATCCGTCTCTTCAATGTGTGTCAACCACAGACCTTATTTCCAGCTACTTTCCAAAATCCTATGGAGAAATTGCATTGCGTTTTTGTTGAAGGAACCGGAAGGAGTTTACTTCCGGGTTTTAGGACGCGTCACTGTGGCACTCTATTAGGTTTAACTTACCAGTTGTGGTAAAAAAGTGCTAATGTGGTGAAGAAGAATGGTATCATGAAGTAGAGGGAGAAAACATGGTCATCACGGTAATCTCCTGAGAAATAAGATTAAGACAACAAACTGATAGTTAGAATACACATTTCAGTATTTTGAATGCTAAAAGGATTTTCGTGCAACAGGAAAGACTATAAAACATTCATAAATGATCACTTTCAATCTGAAAAAGGGTGACAAATTCTTGCGGTGTGATACAAAAACTCCCCTACTTATTATTCCTTAACTGTATTTAATTATTCAAGGAATGTCAAGTTTGATCAATCAATGTGCACAATACACTCATGACATCCAGAGGGTATGATCTGTGATGCCCGTGATGAGAGAGTGAACAGCCACACACCGCTGAGCTCCAACAGGTTGAAGACAATGATGGAGCCTGAGATGAAGAGGGCTTGACCCGACTCGATGCCGTTGATGCCTGCTAGGATGTTGATGGCATTTGTGCAGAACACCGCAAGCATCCCCATGTAGACGTAGTAGAGAATACCTGCAGAGTAAACATACATTAAACGAGTAAATATGAAAATTAGAGCCGAGACTAAGATCTTGTGACGATAAAATAATGTTCACAAGCAGATAATGCTCTTCTCTGAACTGTAACTAATTGACGCTAAGCCAATGGGGAGGGGCTATGTGTTTATCAGGGACTGTGTTGGCCCTGGACTGCCATTCTGATATTGTTGCAGCGAAGGCAACAGCTCTTGGATTTTGTGTACTGAATATTTAATTGAAAGAAAACCTAATTTTGATTAACCCTGACTTTGTTTATTTAATTTATTCTATTTCAATATTCTGGTCAAACAGTATATATTTTTTTGTCTTTGTAAATCAAACTTTTTGAGCTTTATTTAACCGACTACGCCTATGTTTACGGACGGACAAAGAGAACCCCGTCGCATCTTGCTTGAGGGATTATTCATCTAATCTGGCCTGGGAACATCTTGGGACCTTTTGGGAGCTGTACGATGTGATTGTTGTATAAAAACAACCACATGACTCACCCAAATCCAAGTGCAGCCCAAGCAGGGCTCTGAAAGGCTTGGGCACCACGATGACTGTGTTGCCGAAGTTGGTAAAATAGACCATGAGCAGCGGCAGGGAAGCCAGGGTGGGAAGCAGGAGTTTGTGTCTCCATCGCAGGTTCAGCACGTCGTCAGCAAAGCCCAGGAAGATCATGCAACAGATGGCCAGAAGTGCGCCTATCAGCTGTACTAACTGAGCAAAAACAAACAGCAGTTGAGTTTCAGATTTGATAAAAACACACAGGTTTTTTTATGCATTGATAGACCCACCTCATCATGTGGGAAGCCCATGCACTTGTCTCCTACAAAGCAGCTAAGGAAAGGCACTGGGATGAAGCAGAAGAGGATAATGAGGAAGACCGTGCCACTGATCACTCCTTGGGACTCTGGGCTGCAGCACCAGGAAGAGAAACAAGAGGAGAATTAGTGAAGGAATAACAATCACATGTGACTTCCAAACAAGAAGTAGCATATCCAACTTAAAACTTTATAAGGATATGTAATGATAGGTTAGATAAGATATGACTCACACTTCCTTTTTGGACGTTTTGTTTAGGTCCATTCCGTACAACCTGGCTGAGATGAAATGGTCTTTGAAAGCAGGAATGAGTTTCAGTGTGGCCAGACAGCCGAGCATAGACAGGAAGCAGTTGATCACCAGCGGCAGGACGGGAACAGGTGACATGTTTGCAGGCATTTCGGTGGTCCTTTTCTGACAGATCAAATCACGTTTCAAGCTAATCTGACGAGGCGATCGATCAACGAGCTTTGGTTGTCCTCACTGAGGTAAACACATGTCATATCGTTATTTTAAAGCAAAATACAGCTCCGTGCTTCCGGTGTCACGGAGAAATAAACCAACAAGTTGCAATGGTAATCCATACCATCTTTAATTACATGTTATTAATGCTAATATCTACTCACTGCCTGGTTGTCTAAACTCCACGTCCTATAAGCAACCGGAGGAGGTACTTTCGCTCTATCTTTTCAAAATAAAAGTGTAGATTGTGTAATAATAATTCAGAACCTTTATTATATTGTTCTTAAAGCGGATATTTAAAAACAAACGGCCAAGTGACGAAATAACAGTGAACCCCGTGTTGTTGCCTGCTTTGCGTTTGCCAGACTGAACTAATTAATGTTTCATGCTTTTATTTTGAAAGCTCCACCTTTCACTTCCGTTTTACTGCTGCGTTCCTCCTCTGCAGCGCCACCTGTGGGCCTCCTCCGCATTGCTCTTTCTTTATCAAACCATCATTGTGGAGAGGTGACAGAGGTAGGAGGGTACGAGCAGCGGAGAGCCTAAACCCTCCGGACTCTGTCGGTTTTTACAGAGGACAGGAGGCTTCATTTTGAATCTATTAATGACCGCAGGGAGACCTCAGTCAAAACGTCGCTTCAGATTTGGAGATGGGACAAACACATTTGCTGTTGGCAGGTCATCGCCATGAAACCAGCTTCATGTTACCAATGCATCGCGTTCGTTACCCTGCAGCCTGCAGCACGGACTGTTCAAGTTAAACGGTAGGTTGTTATGAAGCTACAATTTATAATCTGTTGTTATATTTTCCGAATAAACCTGCTGCTACATCGTCCTCTTAGATAATGCACAATTAATCCTTATCTACGTAACGTTAACGCAGGTTCAAGGGCTTTTGCTTCATATGCATGGTGTGTTGCATGGGATATAAAACCAAGCATATTAAAGTCAAAGTGGTCATAGCCTCCGTGTCTGTGCATCCCCTTTGCATTTTGGGTTATACATTGTTATGACACATTGAATCAAGATGACTGACTGATGTATTTTGCCTCTACTCACAGGGTTCTTCAGCGGTTCTGCTCTGATTGACAGTCCTGATATTTCCATCTGGACCTGGTGGTATGAGAGGCTCCAGGAGACGGTGATGGAGCTCCAGGAGTTGGGCTGGCTGTGTCTGGTGGGTCTCTTCCTAACCTCCCTGCTCATTGTGCTGGGATGGCTGCTCCAGTACTTGCTGACCGTGCTGCGTCTGTGGAGATCCAGGAAGACAGCCAAGCAGGACAGGAGAGATATAGCCTGGCAGCAGCTCTCCATCACACAGCCCCAGCAGAGCCTGGCTGGAGGAGCGTGGGGCTTCCTGCTGAAGCTCCGCTCGGGCCGGGGTGCAGGAGCTTCATCTGAGGCAGGGGTCAAAGGCCTGTTGACCTCTCTGTTCTCCTTCAAGTCCTTCAGAGAGCACTGGCAGAGGACCTGGGTCAAAGCTCTGAATGAGCAAGCGTGCAGGCATGGGGTGAGTTGTTAATTTCAGATATTGTTACCACGGCTATCACAAGATTTCTGAGGAAAATACTTGATATCTAGGGCTACCAGCTCTAGTCGATAAGTCGACACAGATTTCTGTCGTCCATGATTCATTTTTTGGACTTTTTTTCCTGCTAAATGTCTGATGTTAAAGAAAATTATGAGCACATCTCATCTGATAAGATAACCAAAATCCAAAATGTATGCTAGTCGACTTAACATTTCTTAAGAAGAGGACAGACCTATATAAATATTGGGTTGTTCATTAATGCTTTAACAAAAGTTACATAATGACATTTGTATTATTAATCCTCAGAAATGTGGATAAAAACCCTCAGTGGCATATAACAGAAGAGATAAAACAGTCTTGATGTACAGAAAGAAGCCAGAAAACATTTATGAACAAAATGTACCACTTCTAGGATATCTATGCTCATGTCCCAATACCGACTTAATATTAATACATGTCCCAGCCATGAATTGGAGGAGGTGTAGCACATATCATACTGCATAGGAGAGATGAATAAACATGATGTCAGTGTGTAAAGGAGCACGGCTAAGGTTACTCCGCTGAGCAGAGGCATTAATAGTTAAGCAAGAGCTGATACAGTCGGTGTGCCCTTGTGCGCTGGAAGTGTGTGTAGGCAGCGAGGTGGAGGTGTGGGAGTTGGAGTGTCTAATCCGTAAGAGGATGGGGGGCAGAGCGTTGCGTAACAGCTCTGAATCAATGCACATAAGAGAGGAGAGGCAAGACCAGTCAGCGTAGTCACAGTACGAACACCCACGGCTGATAAAAATAGTTTGATACCCCGGCCTGTGATGGGGGAAATGGATGATTTTGATCGAAGTCTATGAAGAATAGTTGTCTCTCACCTCCCCCTGCAGCTCATAGATTGTATTAAAACTGCAAGAGGTAGCTGCTTCGACCAAGAATGTGGGATTCAGTCTGCTGAGAGTCCAGACGGTCGGTTGTCTGGCACGTGTTGGAGGATTAGAGTACGTTTCGAAAAGGTCTTTCTCCTTTTAAATAGCTCCTTTTGATCTGTGTGAATCAAAGTCTTCCACACGGTTAGATGTGAGCACTGCTGGAAGAGGAGGAGGATCCTCTGCACCCCCCACTCAGAAACCGTGTGTGTGTGTGTGTGTGTGTTGCATGAGAGATGAGTTGGCGGCGAGTTTAAATGGGTCAGTTCAATCCACAAAGCAAACATGCACAACAAACGGCACTTGATTCTGATTCAGAAGGATCAGCCTCGCCTCAGATGTTCGAGTGAACTCTTTGGAGACAGAACAATTTGGTGATGGTGCAAGTTTTGCATATTGGTTTGATAAAAAAATAAAGAAGGAGACGATTCAATAAATAAGCCAGTACTTGTTCAGCACATTTCTTAAATGTATTGTTTTTTAGATACCCTGCTAACAAATATTGAACAGTATTTTGCATGCATTTGCAATTTCATATTGGTTATATTGGTTATATATGTCGTAGGAGTCTGACTGTATGACCTAGCTCTGTAATAAACTTGATCTTCATGTAGTGCCATCCAACCAAATTATAGATGTGAGGAACTGTAGTGGCCTTCAGGTATAGACAAAAGTGGAAGGCCACCTATAATGCCAGTTTTTAGTTTGTCCTTACTAAGCTACTGTAGAAAGATGGCAGTGCGACATGGAAGAATTTGTGGTAGAGGACCTGCTCCCTATGTTGATATAAAAAGCTCATTCTGAACTACAACAGTTGTTAGTTTGAGAATATTACAAATGTAAATGGCCATCTCTGCTAATAGATCCCAGTGTTTCCCATACATTGATTTATTTGTGGCGGGCTGCCACAATTAAATATCGTCCGCCACAAATGGATCTAATACATTTTTTTAATTTGAATGGATAGTGAGGTGGGCTGATGATCGGAAGGTTGCGAGTTCAAATCCCGCCTGGAACACCACTACTAGTGTGCCCTTGAGTAAGGCACTTAGCCCTCAGTTACTCCAGGGAGAATGTCCCTGTAATTGGTCATTGTAAGTCGCTTTGGAATAAGGCGTCTGCTAAATGCCTAAATTGTAAATTATATTTTTGGGAGAATAAACCCCACAGATCCTCAACTCCGGTGTGTCTCACTCATTAAAACACAGAGCAACAAGAACGTTGTCTACAGTAGCCATGAACTCGCATGAATTTTCTTATTTGAGGGGGGGGTGGATGCGTGGGCCACCCAAATAGGTTAAGGGGCCTTTGGCTTTTTTTGCCGGGGGGGGGGGGAGGAATCAAATTCTGTGGGAAACACTGGATCCCCCTAAATCGTACATATTGGTCCCTTCAAGGAATACTGTCTAGTCTTTATGCTAAGCTACGCCAACTGTAGTTAGATTATAAATTAAGAGCGTGGTATTGATCGTAACATTTAAAGCCAAAATTATACTCTCCGCATCTGTGAGTACACAAGGGTCCCTGTGACGTCGGTGACCACAGCTGTCGATTTTCAGTCTGCTCTGGAGTACATCAGTCCCTTTAGTCGGTGCAACACGATGCACATTTCCAAAAATGGAAAAGGATGCCTTTAAAGTCTGACAGTGTTTGTGTTGTTTAGGATATCCATTTAGTATAGAGAGAAAAGTCCTTCAAAGCCAGTCTGTTCCGTGTAATATACCGTACAAACTGCTTTAGTTAGAGCTTGAACATGTTTGTGATTCTTTGTGTGAATCCTTCATGGTCTTATGTTATATCACATGTCTTTTGGTATGCAGCATTAAGTTAGCTGTATTTTTTTTCTCCCAGTGTTACGCATTTTTGAGCTTGTAATAAACAGGTCAGTGAACTGATCGAGTGTATTTCTCCTGTAACTGCTTCTCTCTGATATATGGCGGTAAATTGGAGCGTCTCCCAGCTTAGTTTTCTTTCTAATAAGTTGATCTATTGCTCTCGGTTACCAAGAAACTGCACAACATTGGAGTGAACCTTGGGTGAACTGTGGACATTTATTGAGGCTTAGTATAAAGGAGATATAAATAGAAATCCCTATACAACCTAGCTGTATTTGCTCTTTGCACAGCTACTCTGTTTGTGGTGGAATTAGCATCAAACACATGAGGGAGGCTTAGAAAGGGTTTTAAAAAAGAAAGTTGCCATGGAGATTTATTGCACGTAAGAACCTATAACCTTCATGTTTCTTCTGCTCTTCTATGACCTTTAGGCGTATGATTGCAGGGCTTTTGCCCAGCAATCATAAAACATACAATGTTTTTTTAAGATAGTTCTCCAGACTGAGAAAATGCGTCAGTGTGTGGTGGAGGAGCCAAGCGGTCCACGTCTGTCTGTCCATGTGTTGTTAGTTTGTGAACTGAGGGTGTGAGCCAAAACTTCCCGAGTTTACTCATCACAATAACAAATTGTTTCATGCAATCTGTTATTGTTAATGTGTTTTGGGGCGTATGCAAATCACAAACGCGTTTTTTAACGAAACTTTGAACGAGATACGAATATAAGAAACATGTCTTGCTGTATTTAGAACAGCTTCTTCCAGTAGTCAGTCTAAAAGGCTAGCTTCGTCCAATCACTGTCCTTATCCTGTCACCTAGGTTTGGCATCTGCAGCTTTTATAATTAAGATATAACATGTGGTAGTATCTATTTAAAGAAGCCATATTATGCTTTTGGGAGTTTTCCCGTTCCTTTTGTAAAATGTAAA